TCCACTACATTGGATACAGCGTCCATTCGCTGACAGACTGAGCCACATCGTCTTCACTTAGCTCACTCGGTTGAACTCGAGAGTCAGGCTGCGGCTACAAACCGCCAAGAGGTGATGGCGGAGGGGAGAGCCGCCTGGCCGCCTCGCCGCCCTATCTGTCCCTGGCTTGCCCTGCCTCAGGCTTGAACACAGTTTCGGCGCGGCTCAGCCTTGTCGTGGTCTGCACCAACCTTGCAATTGCCTTGCTAGGGACGTGAAAGTACTTGCTGCATCTGAGTCTCTCCCTCATTCCCTGCGGACTTCGGTTGCTCCTCTGGATGATATCCAGTATTTGCCCCAACTTCTCCAGGGCATCTTCTCCTTGTATACCCTTTTGTGATACTTCGACATCGAAGTTTTCTACCAGTTTTTGGCTCACAGCCCTCTTACGCGCCCGCCATCCGAAGACCTCTAGACAGCTCTCGATATCCATACACAGTCCGCTTGCTCACTGTAAATTACCACCGAGGCGTACCACTGCATGCTTCCGATCTGCATTCTCCCTTCTGCATAGCCGCCGTCAAAGTCCTCGAGAAACCTCACCACATCCTCGCCTTTTTTCTACCTCTCCCGCTCCCACCATGTCTGCCAACGGCGAACTTCGACTCAAGCGAAGGACAAGCCCAACCTCAGCCGTAGAAAGACCTAAAAAACAGTTAAAGCCAGAAAATGGAGTGCCAACCCCCGGCGACGCCACTCCTCAAAATGGCTCCGTGTACGACATCGAGGCCAACTCGAGCTCAGTCCCCATCATCAACCCCGTTCCCGCCGCAGGCGACTCTCCGGAATGGCAGGCTACTATAGAACGAGTGATTAAGAGCGTGGTGTCTATTCACTTCTGCCAGACATGTTCTTTTGATACCGACTTGTCCCTTTCCTCCCAAGCTACCGGATTTGTGGTTGACGCCGAAAATGGCTACATCATGACCAATCGCCACGTCGTTTGCGCCGGTCCCTTCTGGGGTTATTGTGTGTTTGACAACCATGAAGAAGTGGGTTACCGTTTGCCTGCGCCATGGGCCTGCCATTTTGACAGATTGCTGACAATAATGTAGTGCGACGTGAAACCTGTCTATCGCGACCCCGTCCACGATTTCGGTATCTTGCAATTCGACCCCAAAGCTATCAAATACATGAATGTCCAGGCACTCAAACTCCAACCAGAGTCTGCAAAAGTGGGTGTGGAAATCAGAGTGGTGGGCAACGATGCCGGTGAGAAGCTCAGCATTCTCTCCGGTGTGATTAGTCGGCTGGATCGCAATGCTCCAGAGTATGGCGAAGGTTACAGTGACTTCAACACAAACTATATCCAGGCTGCTGCTGCGGCCACGGGTGGAAGCTCTGGTAGTCCAGTTGTTAATCTCAGCGGACATGCGGTTGCTCTGCAAGCGGGCGGTCGTATTGACGGCGCCGCCACTGACTACTTCTTACCTCTGGACCGTCCTTTGCGTGCACTGCAGTGCCTTCAACGAGGAGAGCCGATCACTCGAGGGACAATCCAGACCCAGTGGATGCTAAAACCGTTTGACGACTGTCGGAGGTTGGGTCTGACGCCAAATTGGGAATCGGCGGTTCGAAAAGTCCATCCGAAAGAGAACAGCATGCTCGTTGCCGAGATTGTACTGCCCGAAGGACCTGCAGACAACAAGATCCAGGAAGGAGACGTTTTGATTAAAGTCAATGGGGAGTTATTGACATCCTTTGTCAAACTGGATGCCATTCTTGACTCCAGTGTGGGAGGGAAGGTGGATCTCTTATTCCAGCGTGGGGGAGAGGATCACGAAGTTACACTGGAAGTGGGAGACCTTCATGCCATTACCCCGGATCGATTTGTCACTGTGGCTGGTGGGAGCTTTCACAACTTGTCCTATCAGCAGGCTCGATTATACGCCATCGCGTGCAAAGGGTTGTATGTGTGTGAGGCTGCCGGCTCATTCAAGTTGGATAGTGCTCTTTCTGGATGGATCATTGACACAGTAGATCAGAAACCGACCCCGGACCTCGACGCCTTCATCGAAGTCATGAAAACCATACCTGACCGGTCTCGAATCGTCATTTCATACCGCCATATTAGGGATCTTCATACTCGGGCCACTACGATCGTGCATATCGATCGGCATTGGCACCCGAAGATGAGGTTGTCGGTGCGAAATGATCAAACTGGCCTGTGGGACTTCAAAGACCTGGGTAAGGCGCTGCCCGCTGTACCACAAGTGCCAAAGTCGGCAGATTTCATTCAGCTAGATGGCGTCAATCTGCCTGCCGCGGCCGAAATTATCCGTTCGTTTCTTAAGATCACCTGTTACATGCCTGTTAAGATTGATGGATACCCTCAGGCACGAAGAACAGGTTTTGGATTGGTGATCGACGCCGAGAAAGGCCTGGTGGTGGTGTCCCGAGCCACCGTTCCGTACGACCTCTGTGACATTACCGTGACAGTCGCAGATTCGATACAGATCGAGGGCAAGGTGGTGTTTCTCCACCCCCTGACCAACTACACGGTGATCCAATATGATCCGTCGTTGGTGCATGCGCCAGTCCAGACCGCGAAGCTATCCACCGAGATGATTAAGCAAGGCGCCGACACGATCTTTGTGGGATTCAACCAAAACCACAGGGCCGTGGTTGCAAAGACCACGGTCACGGATATTACAGCGGTTGGTATTCCTGCCAATGCAGCCGCTCCGAGATACCGGGCGGTCAACCTCGATGCGATTACCATCGACACAGGTTTATCTTCCCAGTGTGCATCGGGTGTGCTGATGAGCGCGGACGGCGTCGTGCAAGCTCTCTGGCTCACCTACATGGGTGAGAGGAGCCAAGGCAGCCATAGAGACACGGAATACCATCTAGGCTTGGCTACAAGCATGATCAAACCGGTGATTGATCAAATACGGTCTAGTATTATACCGAAGCTTCGGATTTTGAACATGGAGTCCTACGTGGTCCAGATGTCACAGTGTCGGATCATGGGGGTCTCGGAAGAATGGATCTCTAAAGTGGCCAAAGCCAACCCGTCGCGGCATCAATTGTTCATTGTGAGGAAAGTGGACTGCGGTCCAGCCAACGGACCTAGTGATGGACAACTACTGCAAGAGGGGGACATCATCCTCACGCTGAATGGACAACTTATTACCCGGGTCAGTGACTTCGATATCATGTATGACAAGGAATGGCTCGATGCGCTCGTTGTCCGGAAAGGCAAGGAGATTCGCCTCCGCGTACCCACAGTACCTACAGAAGACCTGGAGACGTCGCGGGCAGTGATCTTCTGCGGAGCTGTTCTTCAAAAACCACACCATGCCGTCAGACAGCAGATTAGCAAGCTTCATTCCGAGATCTATGTCAGCGCCAGGAGTCGCGGGTCGCCGGCCTATCAATACGGGCTGGCACCTACCAATTTTGTCACCCATGTCAATGGGGTGAAGACTCCTGACTTGGACGCATTCGTCAAAGAAGTCAACAAGATTGAGGATAACACGTACTTTCGGCTGAGGGCAATGACCTTCGACAACGTGCCGTGGGTGGTGACGATGAAAAAGAATGATCATTATGTAAGTTGCCGCGATGCAGTGGCAGTGTGATGGATACTGACAAGACCGCCCGAATAGTTCCCCATGTCCGAGTATGTCAAAGACCCAACCAAAGCCAATGGGTGGAAAGTGATCTCTTACGGCCCGCGGGGCAAAAAGATAAAGGGCGAGGAGGGAGCGCCGATGACTTCGGATTCAATGAGCGCCGAGGACGACGGGCTAAGCGACGGAGAGGAAGGTCCAGATAGAGGTTGATGTTAGAGGACATGGTTTGAAGACTCACCCTAGACGGGCAAGTGGGGGGAATGAAGAGGAGTTGGGTTATCATTTCCCTCTCCCGAAGAAATCAACCCCAGTGTAATAAGACTTGTAGAGACACAGGGCATAACCAAGTTGGCTCCCACTAGTGGCAAATGGGGCCTGACGCGAGGCTGAAGGCTCGAGGCTGACAGCTGAAGGCCAAGTTCACAAAATGATGCCAAGGACATGGAGCATGATTATCACATGTCAAAAATGCACAACCGCTGCTCCGTACTTGGACTGTGTACCAATGTAATCGTCGTCGGGGGCCCCCCAAAGGATGAAACCCGCGGTGGATTGGCATTAACCTAGGCTTCCGCCCAGAATGACCAAATCAGGGGTTGTTTTGAGAGCCCAGAGGCCACGAAAGACGAGATGGACTTTGTCGAGACCAACAGGCAGCTTTTGGGCCAGCGTGTTCATTTGGATGCAAGAGAACTATGAACCAAGTAGATACCAGGTGCAATGCGGGCGGTGGGATGGTAGAGCACGCGACCATTTTGGCGAGGATAATGGAAGGCAGCAGAAAACAGGGGATCATTAATGTCCCGATTCCCAAGGGCCAGCGGCACCAGCACCAGGGAGTGAGGACAGTTGCGTCAGAGGGAGGAGAAGGTGTTGGGGCGTTTGCACCTTCGACTTGTAGGTACCTGCGAGTCCTGGGCGGGTGATGCAGGTGATGCCCGGCGACAGTGATGCAGGTGCCAGGGATTCCGTCAATCAAAATGAAACCACCTGCAGCTCCCGCAGGTTTTTGGCTGAGATCACAGATGACCGCAACTGACGTCCCACACACGCACACACACACGCACATCCATCTGCTCTCTGCTCTCTGTCCTCATCTCTCAAACTCTCACAAACCCAACACCTCGATCCTCCCCTAAGCTCCAAACCGCTTTCTTTCCCCCATTTCATTGAGCATCCATCTGCAATCTCATCAGTCCGTCCAGGATCCAATTCTTATCCCCTTGTTACCAAAAAGTCAGTCGATGTCCCCTGTTTGCACTACTGCTACTCCTGGTTGCCATCCTTAATTGTTACTTCCGCCTTCTTCCATCCCAGACACCTCCCTGATAGATGTCTTCTGCAGGCTACGATTCATCAGCAGAGCCGCCTACGCATACCGACATGTCTGCCGCCGACGACTCTGCTCCTGCTCCTACCACCAATGGGACCAGCGAGCCCACCTTGAAGGAGGCCTTCGTCAACAGTAAGGTGCGCAAGCTCATGCTCTACGTCACAGTCCAATCCAAGGAATAACCATCATCGCTAATACCCGTGGCCAGGTCTGAACCGGATCTCCTCTTACTTCCACTGACAGGTTTCCAGACGCTGCTTCAGCGGTCAACACGGTGACTGAACACCCTATCACCCAAAATATCGTCAATGGTAGGGCTCCCGCTCTGAGTACCAAACACTAGGCCCGTCGTTGATACCTCTCACAGGCCCTGTCGCGACCTCAGTCAAGGACCATGCCGCGTCCACCAAATCCGAGTTCAGCGATCTGGCCAGCGCTCGTCAACCTCCTTCGTCCACTGCTGCCAACGATACTACTTTGACACGTAGGCCAAAATTTCCCACCCCCTGAAAGATTTCTCTTCTGATTTGGAGCAGACTACCATTCCTTCTTCTACACCTTGTTGAGCGTAAGTCTCGTGATGATCACCTAAGTGGCAATGCTGGCTGACCGCATTTCCAGTGGAAGAACAAGCGAGCCACCGGCATCACCTTTGCTTCCGTCGTTGCCTTGATCTTTGCTTGTCGCTACCTTCCTATCATTCGATATGTGATCAAGATCACCTGGATGACCCTTGGTGGTATGTGTGAAAGATCCGAGCAATTTGAGGGACGACCTTTGACAATGGGAACAGTGGTCACACTTGCGGAGGCTTCGAGCAAGGCGTTGATGGGCTCTAGTGTAGCCAGCTCGCTTCGACCTCGACGATACTACAAGATACCCAAAGAGACTCTCGAAGCTTCTCTTGACGATTTAGAAAACCTCATCAACTTTTTCGTCATTGAGATGCAACGGATTATTTTCGCCGAGAACGTCCCAGTAACTGCGGCTGTAGGTGGGCTCGATACAACAATTGTGATCCGAGACTGACCGTGACAGGCTTTCCTGACTGCCTTCATAACCTACTACCTTATCAAAATCGTCCCATTTTGGGGGATGGCCTTGATTGCCAACTGCGTCGTCTTCCTCGGCCCCTTGATCTACATCGAGAACAAGGAGTTCATCGACTCCCAACTTGAGCACGCCGGAAATGTCATTGGGCAGCAGACTACCCAGATCCGTGATCTGACCGCTCAACATACCAGCAAGGGCCTTGACACGATGAAGCAATACACTGGGACATATGCTGCCAAGGCTCAAGAGATGGTCGGAAGCGCCCGCCAGAGGATCCCTTCTCCCACCACCGGCAAGGCCCCAGTCAAGGAGGGTGATTTCCCCTCGGCGCCCAAGACTGAGCTCCCAAACACTTCGGACGATTTGCTACACCGTGAGGCTGAACCCATCGTTTCCTGAAAAGCGGCCTAATTGCAGCAGCATGACGGTATGATTGCTGAGTGCGGCGAGCGGTTTGGTTTGGCTAGCAAAATCAAGTGCACGCTGGAAGACGACAACCTCATGTCAATGACAAGTGCAATGAGACGGCGATGAGCACTAATGATGAATACCTCCTAAGTTGACAAATTGGTACTGTTATGCGAATGGCGATGTTTGTTGGCTCGGGCTTCAGCGATTCTCTTCTCTAAGGGCTGGAGGAGCATAGCGGCCTAGCACGGAGAAGCTAGGGACGACGAAACAAAAGGTGACGGGCCTTTTTTTTTTTTTTTTTTTTTAACTCTCTTGTACTGTATGATAGACTGCAAGTATGATTTGGACAATCCCGAATAGCATGCTTATTGATTACAGCTTTCCTCCCTCTTGTAACTGCCTCTACCTCTGTCTCCCTGATGGAAGAACCCTGTCCCGCGGCGTTCCCAAACACGGGGGTCATCCCGAGCATTCGAGAACCCATGGATGTAGACAGACGCACGGTCCTGATACATACAACGGTCGAAAAGGTCACAGGGGAGAGGTCGCTCCATGCCACCGCACGAGCTCCATCTCTTGTCCAGGTCCCTCGTGCTGGTGTTTCAATGAGCTTGTTTTCAGGTCTCACTCTCGCTCCTGGACGTCTGGGCTTTCACTGGCAAAGGGCTCTTTCGATTTCTCGGTAACTTTCTTCGACCTCTTGAGCTGTTTCAGGGCGCAATGCGGTCTTCCTCACACTTTTTATTTCCACAGCAATGTTTCACCACTGGCTTTCCTCGGCTTCACACTTCGGCCAATTGCTTGAGATACTCTATTCATAGGTGTTTCGTGGCGCCGCTTCTGTGCGACTTTGGCGTTCTTGGTTCTTTTGCTCTTACAGCCTTGCTCTTACAGCCTTGCTCTTTCTCTCTCGTCTCTAACAACGACGCCTTTCTTCCCGCTCCTGGCCATATCCCGTAACACTCTCCTGAGAATCTTTCCGCTCGGGCTCTTTGGGATCTCGTCGACGAACTCGATCTCGGTGATCCATTTATGCCGCACCTTCTTGTCCTGCACGTATTTGATGAGCGTTTTGCCCGTTGCCCGCAGGTCGCCAGATCTCTTGGATGGTTTGAGGACGATGTAGGCTTTGGGGCGCTCGCCCGAGTAATCGTCTGCAATTCCGAGCACGGCGACATCTTCGACATCGTCATGTCCGAGGAGAAGATCTTCAAGTTCAGCGGGGGCTACACCGATTCCTTTTACTTTGATCATCTCCTTCAATCGATCCTGCAACATCATCCGTCAGCCTGCACCAAACGAGATACAACTCCAAGGAGAGGCGCGAGCCTGAGACTTACTGTGATTGTAATCAACCCTTCTTCATCGATACTGCCAATGTCGCCGGTATGCAAAAACCCATCCTGATCAAAGGTCTCCCTCGTGGCTTTCGGATTGTTAAGATAGCCCATGACAACCTGTGGGCCTCGAGCCCATATCTCTCCCGGTTCATTCAACCCACATTCTCTTCCCGTGTCCGGATCAACGATCTTCACCTCCGTGGACGCGACGATCGTGCCTACCCGGAAGGCGTATTTATAATCATATTTTTCCGGTGGATGGGCAGTAATGCACGAACACGACTCCGTCATGCCATAGCCCTGTTTGAATCCCGTCCCGGGGAATCGTTTTTTGAGGAGTTCCAGGATCTCTGCGCTCAAAGGAGCGGCGCCCGAGCTGAAGCGGCGGAGAGAGCTAAGATCGTACTTTGACAGGGTCTTTTCGTCGCGCACCATGCGGATGAGAATCGGCGGGACCAGGAGCATTTCTTCGAGTTTGTAGTCCTGGACGGTTTGAAGCATGCTGTCCATGGTGAATGCTGGCAGCATGTAGACGTTGGCGTTGAGGAGGATGGGCAGGTGCATTTGGTGCACCAGACCCGTGATGTGGAAGAGTGGCAATACCGCAAGAATGCGTCGTAAAGTGGCCGGCGAGATCTGTTGGATTTGAAGACATTGAGCGATCACATTCGAGTGTGCGATCATGACGGCTTTCGGCAAGCCCGTCGTCCCTGAGCTGAAGGAGAGGAAACCACAGACATCCTTGTTCTTCTTGCCAGGAGGAAGGCGGAACGGGTCAATCTGTCCTCGGTCTCCGTGTGAGCGACCCATCTCAAGCAAGTCCTTCATCGTTGTGAATCCTTCCATCTGTCCCTCTAACAAAAACACCCTACTCTGTGGGATTCCCGCATTCTTGGCCGCTGCGGCAGCCACCTCCATGGAACTCGGTACCGTGAATAGGAACTTGGCCTCGGCGGTCTTCAACGCGTAGGTCATTTCCTCGATGTTGTATGCCGGCGACGCACCGCTCACGACACCCCCGGCGCGTAGAATGCCGAACATCGCGCACGGGTACCATACGGTGTTAGGGGAGAAGAGAGCAACGGTCTGGCCCTGGAGCAGGCCGTAGTTTTTCACCAGGGCGGTGGAGAGGTGGGTGGTGTGCTGTCTAAGGTCGACATAGCTGAGGTGCTGTAAGGGGCCACCGAGCCCACGGGTTAGCATATATAATATATCCTTGGACGGTACTATCAAGGGGAGGAACACAACGCCCATTACCTCCTTGGTCACCGCATTAGTAAAGCCCTGGATATCTTCCGGTTTATGGTGTCGCATCGGACTATATTCAGAATCGAAAAGCCAGGTCCATACGGGCAGATGCCATGGCACTGAGCCCAGAGAGACATGTCAGTTAGCTCCAAGGTCAAGCAAGTCGGAGAAGAGACGGGAGAGACTTGGAGAGACAAACTCTCAATCGGTGGTTGTAACGACTTGAAGATAGGCATCTTGACTCCCTCTGCAAGCACTTCTGTCAAGAACGGCTAGGACCGTTCGCCGTCAACTGAGTCGAGTGGAATGAAGAGGGGAGGGGAATGGTGATCTGGCAGGTTCAGCAAACCAGCGCAAGCAAAAATAAAAAGCAGACAGAACGGTTGACTTGGAGAAAAATATTCAATGGGGATTGATTAGCGGGAGACAGAGCTCCCTATCCGAGTTCCAGCACCTTACCTAGTCCCAACTGCATCCTGGGTACACTGACTCGAGCTTCAAGACATCGCAGCCTCGGACGGAAGCGAGACAATCCTCGGCTGTTATCCAAGTGCGGAGAAGCACGAGATGTTTCGCTTCTGGCGTACTAGGTACTAACCAGAAACGGAAAGCCGAAGAGTGGGGGCGAGGCCGGCAATAAAAGGCTGAAGGCGAAAAGGGCCGAGCACGTGAGTAGCGTAGGACTTGGCACTTGGGCAGTAGGTAGAGACCGAGGTCTGGCTGTGAAGAAGGCAATGTTCATGTTCGTCTTCGTTGACCGTCGAGCCCGTATATCCAGCATCAGAAAACATGTGTGCGCCGATTCCAGATCCAAGCTCTGTACAGAACCCACGTCGACCTGCCCTCCTAGTTATTCGGTTTGGCTTCATATCCAAGGTGCCGCCCGTATTCAGTAATCTGTCCGCCAAAGATCTCTCCAAATGTGTCCTTCCGTCGAGGCCTTGATCCCTAAGCAAATGCTTTTCACTCGTAGTCATTTCCCCAAAGGAAATGAAGCAAAAACTGTTGTCGATGATGCAACTTTGTCTCAATCCATATCATCAACCACCCATCAAGCGGAAATTCTCCACACCCATGGTCGGCGTCTCGACGAGGCTGTCTCGCGGGACCCCCTCCTGCTTCCGTCTGCTGTAGAAGCTGCGACATTCATTCAACACCTGGGCCCATTCCGCTAGTGATCGTCCACTATATCGTGCTGTGCCCATTTCATGCTCTTTGGGTTTCAATGGCTTCACTTCTGCTACTCTGCCTCGAGCTCGAGTGTCGTTACTGTTTGCGCTTCCCGCGCTTCCTCCGCTTCTGCTGCTGCTGCTGCTGCCGCCATCACTGCTGTTGCCACTACTACTACTGCCCCCGCTCTCCGAGCTCCGTCGCGCCATGAGGATGCTTTGCGCGTTAGGCGGAAGTTGGGGTGCTCCCAGCATCCGGTTCTTGTTCTCTAAATTCGTTCGGCCTTGCAAGAATTCCAGGGAGAACTTGAATGAGAATGCCTGGTGTGGAGGAGTAGTCGGTCTCTTTTGTGCAGTAATGGCACTGTTCGGGCCCGGACCATCACCAGAAGTCGAGACGCCGCTATCGTCAGGGCTTCCCGGCGGTGTGACCTCTCCTGGCCGATTGTTTCCGGGGCTGCCAAATACATTCAGGCCACGGAACAAACTCCACCGTTTCCTGTTTCCTTGAGCAGGTGAATCCGCCGCTGGGATTGTGCTGAGAACGGAAGAGTGGTTTTGATAGGGCGAACTCTGAGTGACGATCGAGGCCGGCAGATACCTCTCGAAATGTGTCTTTGAGGGTGTCATGATCGGTTGACTGTCCGTGCGGATGATGACGAGGACACGGCTAGGTGCAGGTGAACAAGGGGCTGATGACGGTGGTATAACCCCTCGCATTTCAGCTTCCGCAATCAGGTATTGGTAATTCGCCCAGCATTTATTTAACCTAGCTGCCAACGTCTCCAAGATTTCCCTGCTGCGTTGTCAGTGCCCCCCACGAAGAAAATCCCAGATTCCGACTTACAAGTCCAGGTCTGACACCTGCCCATCGTATCGCGCCACCCTCCAGCACAACAGGCGGTAGAAGTAATGCCGAACCATGGGCGACCAGTGACAAAAGAGCTTTTCGAATATGTTCCCATCCAATAGCCACTCCAGGACCAATTGACGCTTTCGTCCTTCATTATGTATTAGAATGGACCAAGTACTATACAAGAATGCGATCGATCGTATCTGGGTTAGAGTGGTTAAACTCTGCAACATCTGCTTGCAGACGTCTAGCCAGAAAGGCCAGTCGAGCACTGGGGTATCGATGTATGTCTGGTGGTAACGGAACATGATGGGAAGAACTTCTTCCATGAAATCACAAATCACAAAACATGCGTCGTTATTGTACAGCGAAATTTTGACAGTCGCAGCCTTGGTGACACTGTCGAAGGACGTCAAGAACAGGTTTCGTAAAAGCGAGTGTTCAGGATCGAGGTCTCCCATGACATCTCTCAGCAACATAATCAATCGGTTTTCAGCAATCGAACGAGTTGCATTCGCAATTGTCATGGGCATCGGAGCCAGTGCATCCGGGTTGTCCATATGAGATCCAGTACCAGGTGCATAGCTTTCGATTCCAAACTGACCAGCTTGCCGATAGATCGTCGTCTCCAAAATAACCAACATTTGCGCGCACACCGGGACTAGGCCAGGAATACTCGCGCGGTCCTTCAATGGGATCTCTTCAGTTAGAAACTCAGAGACTAGAAGGTGATATTGCTTGGTGAAGACAAAGAACAAATCGCTGTTGTGGCCAGACCATCTCGTGACCCAAGGTTGAAACCAATTAATCCTTTCAGAACCGGGCGGAGTCGGACCTCGTTGCTGAAGCCGGCGCGAAAAGGATGCTTGGGATCCAACACAAAGGCTGCGGACTGGCGGCGGGAAATTCCTTGCTAGGGCATTCGAGATCAAATCAAGCTTCTCTCCATTTTCGACACCGAATTGCCTGAACAGCCGTCGTAAAGCGCTCGAGGGGAGGCACCACAACCTAACCAGCATGTCTGCCACGCCAGGGCAAAAGAAGAAGGCATAGGCACACGCTTTTCCCGCAAACGTAACCAGGCTTTGAGGAGCAGTACGTAACGACAAAATGCCGGTCACAAACTCCATTTGAGAGAGTAAGTTCTGGACGAAGATGTTACGCACATTCTGGTGAACCGAATCGACCAGGAAGTCTGCCTCTTCCGATTCGAGAGAATTCGTCGACTTGGACTTGGGGATCGAATGGCGCTGCGGGCTTTCGCCTGGGATTGAAGCGAAGCCCGGTATCCTCCATTCCGGCCGAACCATGATCCTGGTAGCGGATTCCAAAAATGCAGGCCTGTCCGTGCCAGAAATTGACTGGTTATTCGCTCCATGAAGCATCTCCAATAATCCGGTCCACCACTTGTTCAGAATGACTACTCGTCGATCTAGATCCTCGGCTCGAAGAGATTTATGAGACGGATTGTGTTCGTACTTGACAAGAAACGGGATCAGAGTCAATCGAAGCACTTTAGCTTTCTGAAGGCTCGTCTTTGCTTGGAAACCGCTGTACTCCCCGTCGAGGGTCCTAAAGGCAGTCCATAGAGGGTCTTTCCTCCGTGGTGCTTCGGCGCTGAGAGCCGCTAGGCGATCGGAGGAAAGGGAAGACGGCAGAGGGGGGACTTTGTTAAGCGACAGCCTCGATTGAGATCTTTCGTTCGACATAAAACTCCTCAGAGAAGTTGCTGAAGAGTTTCTCGACATCCGTTTGAGATTCAGGTCGCTCTTATTCCTAGTTTGTATGACGGACAGTGGTCTCTGCACGGGTGTAGGGGTTGGAGCGCGTCTATCACCGGTTGGAGTTTGTATGGCATTCTCGAGCAAGGATTCGCTCTCATCAGGGGACGTCCGCAGGGGAGGACTTGACGCCGCTGGTTCCGGGATTGCGACCGAGTTTGCAGCGATGATAAGTTTCCGCTTGCTGGGTGACCAACTTCGCTTTCTCTCTGGAGTCCTATCTCCTTGGCGGGCAGGAGATGAAGATCTCGATGACGCAGCCCATGACTTTCGGGCGATGGTCCGAAGCGTCCCTGCAACAGAGCGGCTGAGACTTCTTGGTTGTCCATCCTTATCGGCGTTCGTGGTACTCGGCTCACGCAGCTGGGGCTCATCATCATCCGGCGACAAGGAGAAGCGAGCACTGGCCAACATTTTCCTCTTTGCTTTTCTGGAAACCCGGCGGAACAGTTCCAAGTTCGCCGAATGTGTGCTTTCATTAACCTTGACTTTAGGATCAGAGGGAAGGGAAATGATGTGTTCAGAGAAGGTACGTTTGATCGTAGAAGAATCAGAATGCTCTGTTTCCAACGCAGGCAAGTAAGTGAAGCTGGCTGAGCGCACCAGGTCCCTGGGAGGACCAGGTTCAAAGGACTCCGAAGAAGACATGGCAGCGGCCGGATGAATGGGTAGAGGAGCCAGAGCGTGAACAGGGAGGGCGGGAAGAATCTGTCCTTCGACATGTGCAGCCATGGCCATGATTGCGGCGTGCCAAAGCTGAACCGACTCTAGGCACTTGTGTCGCTGCGGTTACGCCAAAGCAAAAGATGTGAGCTTTTTCCTAGTCCTCGCCATTAGGTTCGACACAACAGAGGAGGAGCATCGATCTGAGACGAGAGGGACAACAGGTTCAGCCAGCCGGGAAGAGCGGATCGGTAGACGCTATTGAAGGGGCTGGAGGTGGGAGGAACAGTGTGGTATCCAATATACAAGAGTCAAAGATCTAAGAATTAATGACGGCAAGAATAAGAAGATTGGGAAAGGACATGAACGAAGGACAATATGAGCAATATGGGCAGAGTGAAGGACAAACGATGGGACAACGAAGCAAACAAGGAGCAGTACGTATCAGTTGGAACAGTGGAAATCAAGATTGTGTCAGTCTTTCAGGCTCAGGGCGCACGTCGCAAGCCGCATGTTTGGAGGTCGCAGGCGGAGGATTAGGATCAGTGGTGGTGGAGCGCCTTGGCCCTTTAGGGTGTCTGAATGGTCCAGCGAGGAGCCTGAAGAGAGACAGTCGGCGTCATCAAACCCCGATGGGCCTGGACTGCAGCCCCCCAGCCCGCCACCCCTAGCGGCTATGGTGCTTCTTGGGTGTCTCTTGGATGCCTCTTGCATAGCCTGTTTTCGCTTCCTCGACGCCCGCCCGCAATCAGCTCGACAAAACTGGGTTATCGTTGAGGTTGACACCAATAGTGCCCTGTCGAATCGCATCATCGTAGGAAGATATTCCATTTTCTTTTTCCGTCTGATGCATATTATCCACTCTATGATAGGAGCATTAACTAGGTCCGGACTTTATCCCCATCTGGCCGAATGGACCACCCCATATACTACCCATATAATATCCCCCTGGTACCAGCCTAGCTGGCGGTCCTCCGCACATTCCCGCCGTCGCTCTGGCATATGTAACACATCTAGGTTGCCCATTGGCCCAGATCTCAATCACGGAATGCTTACTCGGTATGCCGCAGCTGTCAAGTCGGTCTACCTTATCGTCACCACGGATTACGTAGATATCAGGCACCTTGCCCGGCCGCTACTGCAACCTCTATCCGCTGTGAGTGGTCTTGAAGCTGGAGTGTCAGATTTTGTGGGGTACAAAAACTTGTGGGATGCCTTGGAGCATTGCCGTCGGACATGAACGTGATTGCCTTCGGAAGGTAGAGGGTGGAAGAGACACGGATTCTATGCTGGCAATAAGTTGGCGCCGCGGACGTTAGCAATCCATCATGGAAGTTCGATCCTTGCTCTGCTGCTCTCTCCTACCAACATGAAGCATGACAACGATCGAGCCATTCTGGATGGTTGGAAGCGGGAACTGGAACGGCACAATCAATCTTACAGAAAACTGCAGAGTCCCACTGCGAACCTGCTCTTTCACATTTGCCAAATCCTTCCGATAGTCGGGCTCACGTTCAAACTTCTGGAAATGTAAAACTCTTATTGGAACGCGGTGTGTAAACGGGCTGGATTCTGCATAGCGTCTGGGTTCCGTTGTGCAGCAGAACTGAATTGACCACTCCCTGAAAACCGAGTAGCTCCCAATGTTTTATGTCATGTCCTGACTGATTTTACAAACGATTTTATCAAGACCCTTTCCGACGACATCAATGGTGTGCAGGTTCATCTTCCTCCTCAATGTCCTCGAAAAAGTCTTCTTCAGGCTGTGTCTCTCCTGCTGCAGCCTGTCCTTCAATCTCAACAACCTGGTCTTCGTATTCCTTCATTTCGCTTGCAAGATTGGTCTCTTCTGGTGACTTGGGCACGGCAGGAGGTGTGAATTTTTGAACGTGTCCCTCGGCATCCGAGGCTTTTTGTGGCGGGGGCTTGTACGCTCGTAGTTCTTTCAGGTACAGGTCTTGAATCAAGTCCGCTGTGGCTTATGAGTAGGTTTCTTGAAGCAAGGAGAAGGTGTACTGACGCATCCTCGAGACGGGGGCAGCGACAAAGCTTCGGCGAGAAGCTAGCAGCGTTCTAGGGCTCATCCGAGCACAGAGACGGGTCTAAATCACCGGTCAACAGCAGTAGGAGCGCCTGGATAAGACACTTACACTGGTCCTGAGAGCCTGCGCCATTGCTGAGATTTGACAAAGGTACAATGAGATCCTCCGTCTGTGTGAAGAAGCTCTCATCGACAACGATCAAAGAGTAGCTTCTCAAGAAGGACTAACTGCATTCGGTTTAATGCCAACACAAATCTGTCGCTCAACCACGTGATCAAATTTAGGCGCTGACTTAAGGCCTTTCTGATTCCCAACGTGCGCCTCAGTCAGAGATTTCTACCACCTTCTCTCCACCATCCCGCCATCTACTTGGTACATATCGCAGAGACCGTCAAGAATTCGCCTCTGTCATCGTCGCTTCATCACAGAACGCATTTTTGACGCTCTTGCGCAACTTTAACGATCCGCTGACAACGACTCTTCGTGTTCGAAAACCCCTCGGCTTTCCTTGACTCACGAGACCTTCGCTGGTTGAACGGTCAAAGTCAGATCCACGTTTCGTTGACGCCTGCGCTGTATCTAAAAACAACTGCGATAACCTCTTCCCCGTCATCGACTTTGCGCGAGAAAGGTACATCACTTTAGATAGTTGACAAGAACATCATTTGGCTTCAGCGTTTGGGTTGTCTCATTCACTTGTTGATGACCTGACTGACACCTGCCTCGTCCAGTGTACGACGGTCCACGACCTCCAAGTCTGCGTCTACACTACCTATCCGCTCGTTCTAATACAATAATATTTTCAAAGTCCATTCCTATCGGTTTCATGACCGCCTTCCCTACCTTCCTCCTGTGAAAGCAGCCGGTCAGGTGTAGGGAGTCCTACAGTCTGTTGGGACAGAATTCGGCCCCACCGGCCTTGTCCTTGATTACCGCCAAACTGTATTCGCCGCTGTTCGTCAAGACCTTCGCAAATAACCACAACCTGCGGACAACTTACAAGGGGATCAAGCGACGACAAACCCAGCGCCTGCAGGGGAGACTCGTTGGTCGTGTGATAAAGAGTATTCTGAAACCGCCCGGGCCCAAGCCAGACAAGATGTCGACCGCGGGCGTCGAGAACCAACCTCCAGAAGCGCCAGCATGGCGCGAAAACCTCAATACTCATCTCATCTGTCCCGATTGCAAGCAGGTGCCTCCTGATTTGATTGAAGAAAATGCCGATACCATTTGTGCCAATTGTGGAATGGTCCTTGCTGAGCGCTTGGTCAGCTACGAGTCCGAGTGGCGTACCTTCAACTCTGACGAAGGCAAAGGCGAAGATCCCAACCGTGTCGGTGAAGCTGACAATGAGTTGTTCCTCACCAACAATGCCGGTACGATGATTGGTGGCGGCGGACCTAACGTATCGAAGGAGACACGGAAGCTCAAGAAGGCGCAGGCCATGCAACAGGAGAACAAGGCGGACAAGGCTCTGCAGACCGCCTATGCCCAAATCGAGGCTTGGGGCGAGAAGGCCAAGCTCACTGCTACCATCAAGACTACCGCAAAAATGTACTTCAAGCGGGTCTACGAAGCGAATGCCCTCCGTGGTAAGCAGACAGAGGTCATTCTGGCTGGATGCCTCTTCATTGCGTGTCGTCAACATCAGGCGCCGCGGTCCTTCAGTGAGATCTTCGGGTTGACATCAGTCCCCAAGAAGGAGATCGGACGAGCATACAAAAACCTGGAGAAGTTCCTCACCAAGTCGTCCAATGAGAGTATCCAGGCCATTGAGGAAAGCGGCGGGATTGCGAATCGTAATCTGCTGGGTTTCAAGAGCACCCAGTCAACCAAGCCTGAAGACCTCTGTGACCGGTACTGCAATATGGTCGGACTGCCTTTTCGAGTATCGACTATTGCACGAGAGCTTGCTCAGAAGATACCTACTGTCGAAGGTTTGGCTGGGCGAAGTCCGTTATCCAATGCTGCTGCATGCACCTATTTTGCTAGTCACCTGCTAGGGTTTGGGAAGTCCACGAAACAAATCAGCGAAGTTGCTGGTGTGAGTGACGCGACTATTAAGCACGCCTACAGATATCTTCTTCAGGCAAAGGACTCCTTGGTTGAGCCCAGCTGGCTTGGTGAGCAAGGAAACGCCGGCGGGTTCGGCGACCTCAAGAATCTCCCCGGTGCTTGATGTGCTCCACACAATGGCATAACGCTCGATGTTGGACGGTTTGATGGATGGCCACGAAGCAGATGTAATCAACAAAGGTCGATTTTGCATGGGAAGCGATTGTGCGCAGACGGGCGCTCACAAAAAGTCAGGTGTCATTGTAACGGCGGCTGGGGCGTCGGCATGGACGAAATGGGTGGCTTTGGTGCTTCATGATTCATTGTTACCGTTATGATGCTTTCCTTATAGGCATTTGTAATGCCAACAGGACTCGGCATGGCGTTGGTTGAGGGGGAGATACCCACCACACTGGGAAGTACAGTCGTGTGTGTAATGCTAGAGCCAATTGGCAAAAATGAGCACCGGTTAAAAATAAAATCTATTAAGGCTGATGTTTCCGTCATCACTGTGCCCGCTGTGTCTGGTCTCTGGCTGCAACATTACGAATAGATGCAACAAGTCCGCCAATCTCTACGCCCCACCCAATCAACAACGCTACCTGAGAGCATCTCTAGCCATCTCAGCGGTCAAGAGTCAATCTTTCGACTAGTCCCCACACCACAAGGCCCCACGGTCGGTTCCTGCACTGATGACTATCTGCTCCATCCAGATCCTGGGGTCACTATCTGTCTTGGCGCTTTTTGACGCCGCTCGATCGACAAATAAGTTGACCACAAGGGCGTAAAAGTAAGCCACAGAAGCCGCAGGGCGCGAGCTGTTGCTGATCAGTATTGTTCTCTGGGGAAACACATCGGGAGAGGATATAGTAGGTGGCCGCCTTGGTGTGAGGTTTGGCTGACTATCCTCTGTTTGAATCGAGCGCATTTCGAAAGCCTTCGTCTGGTGGCCTCTTAACAACGACAATGTCCGTTCCATCCCATCTTACATGCCACTGCGGCCTCGTCTACGAACCCTCTTCTCTCCTCGCGAATTTATCTATGCCTAATGACTCCATTATGTGCCACTGCAACGTATGCCGACATACAACGGGATCGCTAGGTGCATGGTATGTGACACTCACTGGGGCGCCCAGTGAAAAGTCACTCACATGCACCACTGCCTACAAGTCTTCCGAGAAATATACCCGGTATTTCTGCAAGAAATGCGGCTGCAACGTCTTCGTTCGCTCTGAAAGGGATGGGAGATGGTTGGCTTGTGCTGGCATCTTAGAGAGAAGCGAGGAGGGTATAGGCGAAGGGAGTCATGTGAAAGGAAAGGGAAATGTCACAAATATCATGTGCCACTGGTACCTCGGCGACGCAGCGGATGGTGGCATCGCGCCATTCCTCACGAAGCTCGGCGACCGCAATGTCCCCTGCTATAGGACCGAGCCAAGCATCGAAGACAATGGTCCCTTGAAGGAGGGCGACCTTCTACAACTCCAGGAGACGTCGCTGACTCGGCCGTCCTCATCGCCCAGTAAAGGCCAAATGATTAAAGTCTCTTGCCACTGCGGTGGGTGTCAACTCCTCATTGCCTCACCGCCGTATACTTCCACCAGTGAAGGGTGGTTTGTACCTAAAAAGGATCGCGGCAAATACTACGCTCGCCTCTGCTGCTGTCGGTCTTGCCGCCTGACATTAGGCTTCACCCTGCAGCCATGGACGTACATACCTCCATCACAATTCTTCACCCTGGACAATGAACCAATCGTTTTCGGGCCCCTGACAAAAGAAACGAGACAGATTGACAAGCTCAGCCACTATCAATCCTCGGAGTTTGTGGTACGGAGTTTCTGCTCTGTATGCGGGGCGACAATCTTCTACCAGAGTTTTGAGAGACCATATATCATTGATCTGAGTGTTGGTGTTTTGAGGTCGAAGATGGGAAATACGATGGCTGGGGAGTGGTTGGATTGGGATAGGGAGATTGTGAGCAAGAGGGATGAGGCTATTGATGAAGCGTTAGTAGAGGCCTGGCTTAGGAAATAAGTCTGCAAATGATCCTCCGTACACGCATATATGTTAATGTTTGAGACATAATGATAATCATCAGTGAGAAGTATGGGGTAGATAATTAATGCGAATTATGTGAAGCATGAAGATAATATGTTGACCCTCAGCCTTGCGGACGATGACCTTGGATGGCCAAATGGCGAGGGAGTAGACTCGGATAAATCTTGCGAATGCTTGGCATTTTTACAACGTTGGTCTCCTACTTCGTTTTCTTGTGATCCCATGGTGATCACCATTTCGATATCGTTCCTGCGATCACCTCCTGGCGATGTTTTCACTGCCATTGCACTTTTATCAGGGCATATCGAAGTAACAAATCTGCGCTACTCAGTGTGCCACGTATTCGTTTTGCAGAAATAGTCTTCGAGACAACACCTTTTCACCATGGCTGCCGCTGTGAAGCCGACAAAGAATCAGCTTAAGCGAGCAAAGAAGAAGGCCGAGAAGGAGAAGAAAAAGGTATACTTGTTCTCTTGTAAACCTGTACACAAGATTAACAACATGCAGGCTGGCAACGAACAAACCCCTGACACCGATGGAAATACCACCAAACCTGAGCCAAGAGAAGAGCCACCCGAAGCACCGAATGGCGGAAAGACTAGATCTGAAGAAGCGCGCAATGGCGGCCCCATAAGTGAGCCCCTCATCGTCGACGAGGAGAATCCTCTGTTCGACATGTATAAAGACGTCATGGGAAAATTCGAAGAGGTGGATAAGGAAGGTCCCGCGCTGAAGGAGCCAGAGAAGCCTGAAGTGTATTATGACGACGATGATGATATTCCAGATGAAGATGAGGAGAATTCAGTGCCAAAAATCTCAAAGAAAAAGAAGAAAGAGATGACAAAGCTGTCTGTGGCAGAACTGAAGGCTCTTGTCAAAAAGCCTGAGATGGTGGAATGGACAGACACCTCGGCACCCGATCCGAAGTTGTTAGTCCACATCAAGTCATATCGAAACGTTGTTCCTGTGCCGAGCCACTGGTCGCTTAAGAGAGAGTATCTGTCTTCCAAACGGGGTATCGAAAAGCCGCCTTTCGCGCTGCCGAAATTTATCCAAGAAACCGGTATCGCAGAAATGCGAGACGCGATTTTGGAGAAGCAGGAAAACGCCACATTGAAGCAGAAACAACGTGAGCGAGTACAGGGAAAGACAGGCAAACTTGATATTGATTACCAGAAACTATACGACGCGTTCTTCAGGTTCCAGACCAAACCAGAGTTGACTAGGTATGGCGAGGTCTATTACGAGGGCAAGGAGTTTGAAACGAATCTACGACACCTGCGACCCGGGGAATTGTCTGATGAATTGAAGGAGGCGCTCAACATGCCCCCTGGTGCACCTCCTCCGTGGTTGATCAATATGCAGAGATACGGACCCCCCCCTTCGTATCCTGCCCTGAAAGTCCCTGGAGTGAATGCTCCTCCCCCACCCGGCGCAAGTTGGGGATTCGCACCTGGACAATGGGGCAAACCACCCGTTGATGAAGCAACCAACAGACCTCTATACGGTGGCGACATCTTCGGCGTACTACAACAGCAACAGAACGCCCAGCAAGGCGAACCCGTCGAGAAAGAACTGTGGGGTGAGTTACAAGAACAAGAAGAATCAGAGGAGGAGGAGGAAGAGGAGGAGGAAGACGAAGAAGAAATCGATGGTGGGTTAGAGGCTTCAACTGGTCTGGAAACACCCAGCGGCATGACCTCTGCCGTGCCCACTGAGATTGGTGGCACGGAAACCGTCTCCGAGTTCGACTTACGCAAACGCCGTGGCACGGAAACCGAAGAGTCATCTCACCCACGGTCCGCATATCAAGTCATTCCGGAACGCCAGTCTCGTGTCGAGGGTTTCTTCGGTGGCGACCGTGTCTACGATTTAAAGGCCGCTCAACAGCAAGCCGCCGCTAACATCCCTGTCCTCGGGCAAGATGATACCTCTCGGAAACGCAAGAAGCCTGGCGATGTGGATGTGTCAATGGACCCGGATGCTCTTGCTGCACACGATGGAATGGATAAAGAAGAACTGCGCCGGGCGTACGAGCAGGGTCGTAGAGCGGAGCAGAATCCAAATTGGGATTTCCAGGAAGATTTGTCCGAGATGATTGCGACAGAATCAAGGAAGAGGCAGAAGAGGGATGAAGAGAGGAGAGGAAAGAGATGATTGAGAGGCAGGTACACCACCATCGAAGATCATGTCCTCAATCGTGACAGTGAGCGCATGAGATGATATTCTCGTGTCGTTTCTTGACAGGTCGGTCTTTTCACCGTATGTTGGACAAATTGTCTCCCGCCGGCGGTCGATCAAAGAGGTTTCGCGACGGGACGTTCAAGCAAAACCACCCTCAAATGCCTCAGCCGGCTTCTTTCGTGCCTTTGCTTCGAAGCCATACCTCGAATGCATGGCGTGTTTGTCATTGTTTGCGAGTTTTTTCCCAAGCGCCTTCGACCTGAGCAGTCAACCCAGACTAGGGGTAGCACAACAGGACAAGGGAGTGCTCAAGTGGTCGACGTTCTCGCAAAGGTGGTTAAACAGAATTGCCGGACTGCGGTTGGTAAGGCAACACGATGCATTTAAAGGCAACAAAACATTTTGGCACTGTATACGACTCTTGGTCAGCCCGTTGCAGCGGAAGACTATATACCCCAAGGGACAGCCACCACCAAGACGCGTGCATACCTTGGTCACCCTCCGTCGAGACCCACTCTTCAGCACTAGCCAAGAAACATATGTATGTTGCGCGTCTTACGTCCTACCGTCGCTCGTCCCTACAAGAATATTAGTGTGATTCTTCGGTCCACTTATTTGCTTCCAGCGATTCGGAATCCACTCTAACCGCCAACATTTGAACCAGGCTACATTTTGAGCTGAGGCTCTGGGAGATTGTTGGAAGATGGCCACCACTGGACGCTCTGGCTTGACGATGCAGGGTCCTGAATGCGGCGATAGATAAACTACTTTGAATTGTTTCAGCTGTGCCAGTGTTTGTTTCCCGACCTGATGTCCCGCAGACCACGAGTTGATGGGGCGCATCGCGCTGGAGTTTGGGGCCAGCTAGTGCGAGTGCATTCCGTATCGCCAGGGGTAGCGTCTGACCTCAGTGACAAAACCAAAGGGATCGAGAAAAATCAGCACTTCTAAATACTGTACATAGCTACAATCAGAAGACTATTGGAGAAGCAAGAGCATCAGCTGTGTTCATCAGCAGCATTCTAAGGACGGAGTACCTTGAGATGAAAAGTGCCACTAGTGAGTTGGAGAAAACTGCTGGAGCCTTGTGCTGCGAGGCTGAAGGCTTGGCATATATTTTCAGGATCCAGCGAGCCAGGAACGCATCCAGTAGTGAAATCGCCTCCAAGCTACTTGGTGAGTTGGCAATCTTCCGTGCCACAACCCCATCATGTGCGAAACTATGTACCGCCAGTTCAAAGTGAGGTGAATCTTAGTAGGCGGCATTTCGCGCTCACTTCTTGTTGACCTCGCTACTGACTGTCCTCATGGACCGCTACCGGGGGTACGTTCATCTTCTCCGCAGTCCTGACTTCGAGATAACTGACTCCTGTCAGGTCCCGGCGATCGCCCGCGCCTCGCGACAGACAACATCGAGAACGAGACCCCCATCCAGACGTTGAATATTTTGGCGAAGGTGAAAGCTACAGGCCCGGTGGCTCAGGAGGCGACAATTCGTACAGACCTCCAAATCGTGATCGGGAGCGTGACCGCGATCGCTTTATTGCAGACACATGGACGGCTGACAGAAGAGAGGCGCGGCGGGATGAGCGAAGAGATGACATTGATTCCTACGTCCCAGCGACGAGTGCACGAGCAACTAGACCGCGCAGTCGATCCCCAGTCTTTCGCCGACGTTCACGGACACCACCAAATAGAAGAGAAGATTTATTCGCAAACAGACGATCACCCCCTCGCCGTTATTCCCCCCGAAGATCGCCACCGAGAAGGAGATCTAGGTCACCACCTGGTGGGAGAACTCGTAGTCCACCAGACTCGAAGAGATACAGAGATTTCTCCCCCGATCCTGGGCGACGCTCTCCGAAACGCGAACGACGGTTTTCCCCCGAACGAAGCCGATTTGATCGTGATCGATCACCTATCAGAGGTTCACCAAGAGGTGAGAGTTACAGACCTAGGTCAAGAACGCCCCCACGTCGGAGGCAACCTGACAACTGGGTGAGACGGTCTCTCTCGCCGAGAGATTCTGGTGTAGCATCGCACAACACTTCACGAAGGTCGTCTCCCCCTGTTCATCCAGACCGGGCAAGCTTGGCAGGCTCTCAGCCGAGATCACCAGCACATCCTACTCGAGATCATTACGACAATGCCGACTCGGCAAGCTTTCGAGGCAGATCACCTGCTCCTCGTTCAGTCGCAGATGGAGATCAACGGTCTCGAGAAACCGATGTGAATACGCCGCGGGACGAGGTGCAGATGAATGGCGAGATCCGACAACCACCCTCTGGTCCCAGCAGTTATCGAAACGGTATCTACGAGCGACCACCACCCACAGGTCCATCACGCAGTTTCAGTCAACCAATCCAGTCCCCACCTACCGGGCCTGCGGCATCAATGTCCATGTCTGCTCACAATCGTGGCGGAGGCGCCTCTGCACTTAATGCCCCTACCAGACCTCGCGGTGCCGTCGGTAGATTCGATGGTCCACCATCTCGAGATTTCTCGGGTCCTCCAATTCGTGGTCGGGGTGGCTTACCATTCAGAGGCCCAGCTCCCTACGGACCAAGAGGGGGAGGTTACGGGCGCGGAGGCGACTTTGGCACAAGCACCCGCGGTGACTATGGTGGAGGGGTCGCTTACCGCGGCGGGTTTGGACGAGGCGGCCCTGCCGGAGGCGAGCCCACATTCCCGTTCCGCGGCAACAATAGCACCAGTACGACATACCCTCGTACACAGCGCTTCAATACCGTTCAACAACACCTCGCAACTAACGAGAAGATCGTGCCGGGGGGCAAACTGCTTCCCACAGGCCTGCCCCCTGACCAGGAGAAGCGGATCAAGATGCTCGAAGCAGAAGCCGAACGAATGCGGACCGAGATCGCCGAGAAACAAAAACTCAAGCGCGAAGTGCTGAATGAGTGGGATGTAAGGGAAAGAGAGAGTGAGAGAGAGTCGTTGCGTAGTGACCTCGCAGAACAGCATTTGCAGCAGCTGATGGAAGGGGAAGATGGAATCGGAAGAGCAGCGTTCTAGGGAATCTTACCTGGTTGATTGGGTGATCTATGGCGGCTCCGGTCTAAAGGGACTGAGGACAGTCCCTCGAGGAGCACAATTTGCGCCGTCTTTCTTCCTCATCAAGCAGCCCTCTGTCCTACGAAAGAAGTCCTGGGAAGGAGAATGAATTTGAGCGGGCGCGCATGTCATTGAATCATATCATTTCACCAAAAAGCATGACACAGGATGGACAGGGATGACACTACAGATGAAGACTTGTACTCGAACTTGATGCCGGAATACTAGCAAAAAGGAAATTGGAATGGATACTTGGATAAGAAAAGGCGTGCGCGCCAAGGAGAGCTCTCTTCTCTTTTGCTTTTGCACATCTTGTCTCCCAAATGGAGAGGTCTCAACACAAAAGTCTGATCGGATGCGCTGTGACGATAGTCCAGAGGATGGTCCACATTTTCTCCCCGAGATGAATTTGAGCGGAACCAAGCAGGATTGAAGAGATAGGGAAAACAAAAGAATTGGTTGATGTTTTCCGGTTCAGAGTCCATATGCTTTTCTGCCTCATACACCATCTACTGCTCAAACCTCCATGGCTAACGCTAACCCTTATAACCTACGAACCAACGGCTCTGCCGCCGTCAACCTCCAAGTTCACGCCAGTGATAAACTTGCCCTCGTCGCTCGCCAGAAAAGCCGCCACATTGGCCACGTCGGAGGGATCCGTCAGTCTCCCCAGCGGGACATTGAATAAGAACTTCTTCATGTTTTCCTCATTGTAGGGGACTCCCACAAAGGATTCGAAGAGGCCGGTGCCGGAGAGTAAGGGGCAAAGGGCGTTCACGCGAATTTGGTCTTTGCCGAATTCGGCGGCGAGACCCTTTGTGGCCTGTTCCGAGAAACCATTAGCCCCAAAGATGGAGGGGGAGATGCAGATATAGAACGAGTCAAGCTTAGATGGACAGAAGAAACAGCAGAAGACTCACATTCGCAACTGCACCCTTGCTCGCATTATACCAGACTAAGCCTGGCCTGGGTCTCATGGCTCCTATACTGGCAATGTTGATTATACAGCCACCACCCCTGCTCTTTAAGGCGGGGACCGCAGCCGGTATGCTCAAAAAGATGCTCTTGACATTCACGGCCATGACCTTGTCGTACTCTGCCTCCGTAACCTCCAGAGTAGGTTTATTCTTGTAGGATGTGCCGGCGTTGTTGACCACGATATCCAGCCCACCGAATTTTGATACGGCAAGATCAACCATTTTGCTCCAATCAGTGGACGAGGTGACATTGGCGGTAAGAGTTGCAACGTGGCTGTCTGCGGCACTTGCGTAGGCTTTTTGCAGACCTGCTTCATTCATGTCCGCAGCGACGACTTTGGCGCCTTCATCGAGAAATTTTCGGACACATGAGAGGCCGAAGCCCGAGGCGGCACCTAAAGGCGAATTGCATTAGGCATGGAATGTGGTGTCGAATCACTCTTTGGTTGCTTGTGCCAGTTTTACAATCGCACGAACAGAATGAGAATCGACATAGACGTGGCCACTTACCTGTGACGATGGCAACTTTGTTGGCCAGTTTGCCGGAGCCTGTTTGGACCTCATGAAGACCAGACATGGTGCAAATATCTATGTAAAAGCAGTGATTCACTCAAATAGGGGTAGCTCACGGTGCGTTGGAGAGAGAAGAGGGTAAGACGTGAAACGACAGGAAGACATGCTGCCACCGGAAGTCGAGCGTGAAAGATATATAGGCCAATGGGCCATCTCTATGCCCCGCAGTGACCCAAACCATCTGAGAAGAAGGTTCGAGGACCATGATGTATGAACAAGGGGCAATCAACAGAGGGGTAGAGTCGTCCGTGGGAAAGGAATTTTCGGAAGAAGCTTGCGGGGAAGAAACTTGCAACAGCATGCGGAGATGGTTTCTCGAAACTGACCCTGGCGAATGATGGCGGGCGCATGTCGGAGCCAGCTCATTTTCGAGAACCGGGAAGCCGGCAATCCGCCGTCCCTTGGGATTTGGTAACAGACGCATTTGATAATTGCGCCAAAGAGGTTGGAAAGTCACCAAACATTGTATTGGCAGCCTCGGCCGATCTCGACTTTCAGAACCGATAATACCGACTTCGGTCGCCGGTGGAACGGATCGCTGCAATGTTGACTTGAATGGCACCACCCCTTATGCAAAGAAAATCTGCGACTACCAAGAGTCGGGCAGAGCTTTGGGGCGCGCGAATACAGAGGTTGAGGATCGTTGCCAGAGATTGAGTGCAAGGAGGCCTGGTGGCCGAGCTAGCAAGGACATGAGAGTCGCAAACCGAGCATGTATCAAATTTGTGGAGGGTATCTCAATGGTGATATACAGCAATCCGAGACCGTGTTTAGCTAAGATTATTTCCTCTTCTTGTGGGCGCGACCCTCTGCAGGATTCATTAGTTTCGTGCTTGCTCCCGGCGAGTTGGGCGACTGTACCTGCTGCCGTTTTCTTCTTTTTGGGCGCACCCTTTCCTCGTAACTTAGCAAAAGCCACATTTTCCAGTCTGTCATCCTCATCTTCGTTGAAACCCTCCAGATCAAATTTTTTGAATTCGTTCAGGACATCTTCCACAGTGGCGGATCGTCTGGGGTAGTACGAGGCCAACGCAGGCCCTCTTAGTCGCTGACGCAGGACTTTGTTGCCCAGTCGCTGCTGCATCGGGTTGAACGTCGTAGAGAAGATTGAGCATTGAAGCTGTAGAATTTTAGGCGCATTAGCAGGATGTACCCTGAAGGGATCGTCAAGTTTGGCCAGCGTTTGGCCAGGGGCGCGGTGCGTTGCTGGGCTCGAGCATACCTGCATCAGCTGTAATAGTCGACCCCTCGACGGAGAAGCCATTGCAATGCTATACGGAAGAGAAGTTGGCTGATTGAATGTGCTGGGAGTGGGAGAGAGAAATGCTGGATTGAGTGAATTCGAGGCCTCGGAACTGCGGTCCGGCTACAGTTGCCCTAAGAGATGCAACCCGCCTCCACTTTCTCTTTTCGCCATTTTCCAAACTTGGACTTCACCTTCATCTTGCCTTCCACACTCTACCATGCCATGCCAGGTATCTTCTCCAGGTACTGCTGTTCCACGGATCATAAGAACACTTCGAGCGGCATTCTCTACCTAGGTATTCATCCAGACCATGCCGGACTTCGAGAGAAAGCGCAAGTTCGAGGGCGACCAGCACCACCGCCCGAAAAAGCCACACAGAGACGACTCAAAGCCCTCGAATCACAACAGTCCTCAGATCCCAATCAATCATGGATTGCCTCCTCTGCCACAAATTCATGACAAGTATCGATCAGTTGTCTTCACTCACCCAAGTCAGGCACCCGGCAATGTCCATGCCAGCTACGACAGACTCGAATTCCTAGGAGACGCTTACCTCGAGCTCTTCGCTACTCAGATAATCTTTGACCGGTTTCCACATCTAGATCCGGGCAAGATGTCTCAAATTCGAGAGACGCTGGTCAGAAATGAAACAATCGGCCAATATGCTAGCCTCTACGGTCTTGACAAGCAAATCCAAAGCTACAAACAATTCCAAAATCAGGCGCCCCATGCCTGGCTCAAGATCAAAGGAGATGTCTTCGAGGCCTACGTCGCTGCTGTAATCCTGTCTGATGCGGATGCGGCAGGGTTAGCGAAGAAATGGCTTCATGAGTTGTGGGAACCAAAATTGCAGGCTGCTCTCGCCGCCAATCACGGCCCATCAAAAAAGAGCAAGGAGGAGCTGGCCAAAAGGATTCTTGCAAAGGGTATTAAGATCAATTATGTTGATGAAAAAGACCCTATTGTTCACTACGGTCAAGGCAGAGAGACCTACTTTATTGGAGTGTATTTGACTGGCTGGGGCTGGGACAACCAGTACCTTGGCAGTGGAAAGGGGTCCAGTAGAGTTGAGGCTGGACAAGCGGCTGCAGCGGCCGCACTCAACAATCGTCCACTCATTGATGAGATTGCAGCCAAAAAGGCAGAGGCTTACGCCCAACGAGACAGAGAAGCCGTGAAGAAGAACGAGGTGGAAAAGGACTGACGCTGTCTATTGATGTGTCATTCTCAAGCGCATTTGAAACCTACCCGTCCCTCACAACAACTGCCTCATGGCGACGGCGTCACGGAACCTGAAACAATAGCAGCCAGCTACAAACATCAACAGATATCGAGCTTGAGGTGTATGACCTGACATACAATATCATTCGCCGTCGTGGAATCCTTCGTCGTCGGAGACGTCCCAGCAAAGAAGTCCATTGCCCAATTGTCTGGCTGAATTCGTTCTATATTGTGGTGGAGTAAAGAATTCCTTGTTCACATCCACATGTCTCGACACACCTGTGAATCTCTGTAAGCCTGCGCCGCTTACGACAAAGTATCTGAACGATATGGTTGCCGCCGAAGTCGAATCGCCCGTCACATGAAGGGGAGCTTACGGTCCGCTTTCAGGGCTAATTGCTCTTTGGCAGGACTCTGCGAATCCAAAAACAACACCTGGTGCTTGGAAATTCTAGGGCGGGTCTTTGATCTGCATCTTCTTTGCAATCGTCCTTTTCGCTCTGCAGCCAGCCAGAAATGCGTATATTCAGCCTTCCGAAAGCTCTTCGCTCGTTTCCGTTCGCTTTTCCAGAAGCCATGATCTCCATGCAACCAACATCTTCATGTGCCGTCTTTGTTCCAGTGTTCGACACATTGGCTACGACACCTTCCTCGTCCAGCTTATCTCTCATTATCTCGGCCTGGGAATCTTGTATGGGTGTCTTCTCCGACTCGGTCACAACCAAATCTTCGGTGGATTCGGCGCACGTCCAGGCCCCGAGTTGATCAACGAAGTGTTTCTCTTTGTCTGACCAGACATAGCGATAACTGATTGCGCCGCTATATCGAACCATCTCGAATTGACCTCCGCTCTGACCAGCCGCGCGTCGACGGCGTCGACACGCCTCGATACTTTCGGCTGCACTGCCATCTGACATCATCGAGACTAATATTAGGTATTGATAAAGTTCCCTATCTCTGAGCCGAGATCTTGCATTGGCGAGCCCAACATACAACCAGCTATTGCATGCAGTGAATACTATGCGAGGATGGAACGACATGCTTGTGAAAGGATGAGAGGACAGAAATTAAGGAGTATTATGAACGGCAGTTGTCTCTAGCCGTGACAGGAAGAAGAGAGCAGACTGCAACGTCAACCCTAGCAGACGCATGTCGTGTTGATATCATACAAAAAGGTTGAAGCAGGGCACGATCCTGCGACTGTTTGAGCACACGGTGTAATGGGCAACACGGTTGCCTAGTTGCCCGGCAGTGAATATTGGAGGCATTAAAGGACACGGCTTTGCTAAGGACGTGAAGCAAAATTCCACAGTCTCGCAAACACCGTTGTTTGCCAACCGATTGAGCCACCAGTAGACCATCAGAAAGAGTTCACACGATCATCACCACGGTATCGGGGTCTCTCGATGAGGCAGAGCTCCTTTTCGCAGCCAGCCTCGTCATATCTGGTCGCAACACATCACGGGCCACCCAATAATATGCCACAGACAGAGCATACTCATTGTCTCAGTCAATCGACTTAATGGAACAGAGCGCTTTGCCGATAAAGCCAACAAAAACCAGCGATGTCTAGAGCAACAAAGGCTTCAACAATCGGCTCCGGGGCTCCGGGGCTCTGACTTTATTTGCTGTCTTCTTTTGATAATCTTCACTTGAGGGAGATCATTAAACCACGCCAGCACCCCCCGATTGCGTTACGTCCTGTTGCAAACATGGAACACACAAGAAATCGAATCTACACCACAAAGATGATACACCCGTCTGACCTCGTCTTACTCTTCTATACAAGGCTCATTGCTGCCTAGCCCTCCCCGGAACTAACGTATCTGCCTAAGGGCCAATGTGCCTACTCGGGCCAACTCGTCTGTGCGCCAGAATCGATGTTCGCCATTTGCGACGCGTTTCTCACGAGTATCATTCAACCCTCGCCGCAGGTGATACCCGGTGTAGTAGCTTCGCTAGTGTGAACGCAGCACCGGCCCTTGCTGCTTCGTCTTCCACTGTTCCTCCTCCCGCCTCCTCCACTACCCAGGCGACCCTGGGATTCAAGAAAACAGTGGCGTCAAAAATAGCAACAGCGTCTCAAACGCCGTCGTCAATGAAGCCAACTCCAAACCCAAGTCCGAAACGAACGACCAGTATTCCTCCAAAAATACCAAAATCGACAGGCACATCCTCCCCGGCCTCAAAGAAGACCCCGAAACAGACTACCTCCAACGCTCACCCAACCAAGTCCTCCGCCATCACGCCTTCTCCACATTTCGCAAGCAGGCAGCAAGTCATCCCTACCACTCTCGCAGTGGTGCCGACAGTTCCTCCTCGGGATGGATGCAATCCAGGAAAGAGTACCTGCGCAGGAGGTTGACGAAGTATTAGCCTAAAAAGGTGGGAGGAACAGCAAGAGGTCCGCCGTTGATACCCTCCGATATTTGTTAGGCGTTGATGGTTCATCATCTCTGAAATCTTTGTTGCGCACTACCGAGCCTAAATATGCCTAATCACCGTCAAAGTGGCAGTTGTGCCTCCGTCTGTCGCGGCGAAAGGTCGTCTACCACTTGACACTGCCATAATGCATGCATTTTGGATGATCATTCAACCTCCACAAATACGCGGAGGAGTTGGCCTGAACCTTTGATTCTTTCGAGTAGTTTATTGATTGCCTCGTACTCTACAACGCTAATTGAGTTCGGATCCTTTTTAAAGTCTTGCTGGAGCCACTTTTCACTGACCCTGAGGAAATCCCGGTGTGACCGAAGGGACGGAAATTCCATTTGAAAGCTCACTGGGCAGGCCGCAGGCGCGGAATCTTGTCGATACGAATGATAATCGAATTGAATATAAGGGTAATCACATAGTCGCCCTTACATCAAGCTTTCTTAGACCTTGAACATCGCATTCCAACTCTCAAAGAGCGGCCCAACCTGGGGCATGCGAGAAAATCGTATGTTTAACCGTTCATTTGTTTCCTTCTCATCAGCAGTGTCTTAAACGGATTCTTCGCCTTGAACCTTAGGAACGTTGCCGAATAAACGACAGCGTAATTGAACACGATAAACCCGGTGAAAATCCCAAAGTTGCGCCAGTGATGCGAGTAGTATACGGAGAACCCGTGGCCAAATTGGTCACCGGTCGCGTACTGGCAGAACTCGCAAAGACCATCGGCTCCGACCTGAACGTAGCCGCCGGCTTGAGCAATATATTGTTGCGTATATGATTGACAGGTATAGCCTGGGGGTGCGCTCTGAAAGGAAAAATTAAGATATTGACCACTCAAATCGGAAAAATTGACTCACGAATCGAGCAAATTCTCCCTGGTTGCAGCGGACAGGTTGGTTATGGATGATTGACTACAATGGCTGTCAGTATAGCTTTCGGAATATAGGCGGGACGTCGCAACTTACCCCTAGCATGGCCTCAAGAAGGTAGTGGAATGGGGTCAGCCAATACATCCTGGAAATCATCAGCAAGAGCTTCAATATAACTTCCGGGATAAGGTAGCGGCCGAGGCCTAGGGCGAAAGACACCTACCAACTTCGCCAAAATGTTGGTAATTGGTGCGGCGGCACGACGACACCACAAAAGCTCACGACGAACAGGAAAAAGACCGGCACCAGCAGACTCGCAAGCAGTTCATTTGGTGCGAATGAGGCGATAGCCTGTCCAAAGCTGATATAGTATAACTCGAAGAGCAGTATGCAAAGCAATAGGAAGCCTGAGATGAAAGATGAGGTCGAAGTGCGGTAGCCGGCGATTCCGAACCACCAACAACAATAGAAGATGACTCCAGCGACCAAGGAGTAAGGGATTTCGGCGAGAACAGCACCTGTCGTCCAAGCAAACCAGCTGTAAATCTTAGCATTGTTCTCTCGTGACCGGAATGTATTTCGAGAATGAATAAAGACGGGTTGCAGTTGCTGAATGAGCGGTGGAGAAATTGTGAGCACCAGAAAGACAGCAAAGAGGCGTGATTGCATGTCGATAGAGGCAAAGCCGAGGTGGTAAAAGGTGAAGGTGCTGAACAAGCCAGTCATGATATGAAGGATGAATTTGCCGAGAATATAGTTTGGAGTCCGCTATGAGGAAGTCAGTCGAAATGTACATGGAGAATAGCTTTGGTACTCACCCAGTATGCGACAAACGACCTTTTAACTACCGCAATAGTCTGGGTTCCAAGAGGCATGGCATATTCTCGATCGTCCTTGACATTCTTACTCTGTTCCACGTTCTGCCTGCGTTGGATCATCTCGGATATCTCATCAGATCGAGCTTGATGGTTCGTGCTTTGTTCCCAGACATCGCCCCAGTCGCTTCCCTTATAATTGGGATCGCCAGCGCCAATCACTTCGAGCATGTACTCTGCGGGATTTGCATCTGGAGGACATTTCCGCGCTCCATTCTCCTCGAAGTAATGAATGAGCTCTTGCGAGTCATGACCAAGAGGGCCGTGATACACAACCCGACCGCCAGCCTTGAGCAAGATGAGCTCATCGAAATGTTCGAAGAGGACTGCTGACGGCTGATGGATTGTGCAGAGAATAGCTTGACCAGCATCCGCTAGCTTCCTCAAAAATCTCACAATATTGAATGCTGCACCAGAATCAAGGCCCGAGGTTGGCTCGTCCAAGAACATGAGAAGCTCTGGTTTGCTGGCTAACTCAACGCCGATAGTCAATCTTTTCCTCTGTTCTTGATTGAGGCCCTCACCGACCGTTCCGATCGTTGCGCCTGCAATATCCCGCATTTCGAGCAGATCGATGATCGTCTCGCAGTATGCGTACTTCTCTTTGACCGGCACCTCTTTCGGTTGACGAAGTAAAGCCGAGAATTGAAGCGCTTCTCTCACTGTTGAGGTCGGCTCGTGGATATCCATCTGCTCCGCAAATCCCGTAGCGCGCTGAAAAGACTTGGGCAAAGGGCGGCCGTCGACAAGAAACTCGCCCGTGACCGTGCCGAAGTTGATGCGCTGAGCAAGAGCATTGAGGAGCGTCGTCTTTCCTGCACCACTTGCGCCCATTAGGGCGGTGAGTTTGCCGGGGCGAACATATCCCTGGACATTCCGGAGAAGCTTCCGCTGACCCTTTTCGTAGGGAATGACATAATTAATGTCCCGGAAGGTGTAAATTGTCTCGTTCTTGGCCACATGTTTCAGAAGGGAGTCATCCTGCCTTGTGCTCGTGGACTCGTTGCTTTCACTACCAGGAGACATCACTTTCTCCATCAGATTTGCTGGAATCGAGCCTCTGGACTCCTCGTCCCGATCGAAGTTCTTGTCTCGGCCGCCCATTTCAATCGTCTGCTCCATTTTCTTGGGGACCTGGCCACGCTTGAAGACGGTAATAGCGCCACCACCTGCATTAGGCTTCATTGTTTCCATGCCAAAAGCGGCCAATGCGAGGAAGAATGCGAAGAAAGCCCATAGGAAGCCGAAATTTCGCCAGAGGTGGGAACGGCTGTACCCGAAAGCCTGGTGAATGTATCGAGCTCCATTCACTGATGTTTCACCCGGTCGGCTACCAGCTAACGTGCACGACTGGTACTGAGGTCGTGCGTTTGGGCCCTGAGGGACAAGAAAGGGAGGCACACATTCCATAATTAGACCAGTAAATTCATTGGCCATTAGACATTCAAACCCATACTGTATCCAATTGATTCGTCGAAGCCAGCTGAACCAAACCTTCATCTGGTGCGGTGCTAGGGGTTGTCAGCTTTTGAAGGAACACGGACACAATTACCTACGAATGAGATAGCCAGTATACACAACCAATATCTGAATGGAGACGCCGGTGAAACGAGTAGCATCGTCCAGAGTCTTGCACAGGGCGGAGAGCATGCGGAAATAAGCATACGTGACCATTGTAACGGTCCAGATAATGAAACAGGAGATGAAGAACTGAGAAGCAGAAGCGGCAAGCCCAGCCATCCAGTATATAATGATGTTAAACAGTAGGACCTGGATGGCTATCAAGGGGATGTCGACGACCGTTTGTGCGAGGGTATATGCTGCGGGACGGTAGAAGGAGAATGATTTGTGCTTCAGGAGGATCAGTTTGGAGGCGAAGGCGGCAGTCATTTCTGCCAAAGCCAGTAGGGCATTGAAAAGAAGGACGAAGAAGATGACACCGCCCCTGGGAAAGGCTCCAGCAGTTGTGTCTGGCATCTGGAAGAACAAGCTTCCCACAATCAGTCCCTGGGATTTTGTCAGCAAGGTGTGGCCTGCGTGGGCGGTCGCCCTGCACACGTACCTGGAATACAATGCCTCCCCACTTCCCGATCAAGGAAGCTTGGTCGCCCAGCATAACCAAGAACTGCCGCTGAGTGCAGGCGAGAACCTGCTTGTGAAAGGGGATGGCATAGTTCTTCTTGTTGTTCTTTGCAATGTTCGGCTCGCCAGATTCCCGTCGCTCCTCCAACTGAGCCTCAAAGTCTCTAATGTCTTCAAGGTTTCGTTGATAGGCCTGGGATTTCCGATAGAGAGCAGCGAATTCGTCTGCGTTTCGTGGAATTCGATCTTCCCACCCTTTCCTAACAGACCTCGCGTGCGGATCGGTAACCGAGGTTAAGAAGTCAGAAGTTGTCCAACGTGGCTTACATTCAAAACCAAGGTCGGTGAAGTATTGTTTGGCATCATCAGCTGACCCAAAGTACAGACACTTCCCTTCGTGAATCAGCAGGACCTTGTCGACAAGTTGGTACAACGATTCTCCAGCTTGATACAAGGACACCGCTGTAGAAGTATGGGCCATGTTGGTGAGGGTACGAATGCACTGGACATACTCGAGTGCAGTACTTGCATCCAGACCTCGACTGGAGTTATCCCAGCCTTGAACAGAAGCCCTCGTAATCATAGCTGTACTACATCAGTGACCAGATTCACACCACGAAAATGGGAGCGTACCTTCTGCTATGCTGACTCGTTTCTTTTCACCACCAGAGACTCCTCGAACAAACTGATCACCTACTTTCGTCCCCAAGGTGTGTTCGATCCAGAACAGTTTCGTGACCACTCGCAGAAATTCTTTCTTGTAATCTTCCCGAGATTCTCCTTCCAGTCTCGAGTCTTTGCCCGGAGTCCGAGTTTTTAGGGCAAACATCAGAGTCTGCTTGACTGTCAACGTTGGATAATGTAGGTCATCTTCCGGATTGTAGATAACTTCTCCACGAAAATCCCTTTTCATGGTCTTTGCATCGATGCCACCATAGGTAACTTGTCCTTGAACAGCCTCGAACCCCTCTCTCTGGTTGCAGAATGCTTTGAGAAAGGTCGAACAGCCCGAACCTGGTCTCCCGAGAACCAGCAGCATCTCTCCAGGTCTGACACAGCCATCCAGATGGCTCAGAAGTTCTCGCACGGGTGGCTTGCCGACGGCCGCCTTTGCGCCTTTGGTGAAGAGGGTTTTGATCATTCGGGGCAGGCCGAGGAAAATATCGCCCACGGTGGGCTGAAGGCTGGCGCCCAATCCGACACCTTTCACCGTCAAGTCGCGAAACACAACGCCGCTGTGACGGGTCTTCTCTTCCTCGCTGTGCGCCTGTCGAGCTTTGCCGAACATTCGAGACATGAGTTTCTCTATCTCGTCGTTTTCCTCTTGAAGCTGTGCCTCGGTTTTGCCCGAGGCGCTTGTTCTTCTGCGCGACAAGACATTGAACAAGTCTTCCTCTGACTGGACGCTCCTGTGCTGCTGAAGACGCCTGTCTTCAGCTGTAGAGGCGGCTCTGAGAGGTTCAAACTTGGAGCCTGTTCTTCCTCCTGTGGAGCCGTCCGATGTGTCTGTTACTGAAGAGGCGGACGACATGCTGTGAGGATAGGCGTGTTCGCTTGTATCTTGGTATGATGCTTCCACCGGAGCACCATGGGCTATGGTAGTCTCGCCGCACGAGGGAGTGTCCCTCACAGCCTCGTCAGGTACAGTCTGTCGACTATTATCATGGTCCTCGTGACTTGGAGGAACCGCTTCGTTCATAGATGAGATTAGTGAATGGGCAGGAAAGCGACTTGGCACGTCTGGAGTCGGCCGATCAACCATGGTGAACGAAGGGTCATGGAGAGATTGTTGAAGTATGGATACACGAGGAAGAGACAGTAATTGAGGTTAATACGAGTGACTGCTGTGGTCTGATGATAGTGTGCGCGAACAGGAAGGCCATGGTGTGATAAGTGCGTGCATGGAAAGCCTGGAACAATATACTTAGAGTCAGGTTAAGCCGGCTCGGTGATAAGGCATGAGGAACATACAAGTACTTGTTGTACTCGAGACGCGAGCTCCATCGAGAAATGGGAATCCCCAGGAGGGCAATATCGAGGTCCGTAGTTTGGGAGGGCGGAGGAAGCAGGAGCCATGCAAAGACGACACACTGGCCATTGAAGGCACAGAAGATGCATCTGGATTACGTTGTTCGCCGCCGAAAGCCAATGGACACATTGCTATTGTGCCCAATGGTTGGATGAATCAAGAAATGTAGTTCGACTAGCTTCTGATGCGTTTCTCATGACGAGCTTGTTGAGGTTGTTTTTGTGCATATCGGAGCTCAAATCCTCCGGATCCGGGAGATTCGGAGAGGTTGAGTGATGCGGGCCCGACTGCGCCTCTACTTGTATACAGAGATATCTCTACTTGTGGGAAAGCTGGGTAGCTGTTCCAGCACAGTCTCTCGTATCCGTTCTCGTATGTCCCATCAGTGTCGTCGTCATCGATTTCTTCATCTCTATCGTCACCGGAACAACTCGGTCGAAGGGGGCTGCCAGAGTCATGTCTTCCATCCGGGAGATAGGTACATTCAATGTGCGGGTAGGCGCTCGTGTCCTGGACGGTGCTTTCCTTCTTTTCTAAAGTGGAGTGTGAGAACTGCTCTATACAGGTCATCATGGAAGTTACCTAGATCAAAGGACACTCACCATTGCACATAACCACGCATCCCTCACAACCGGATGATCCACTCCTCCAGCTTCCGGAGGTGCATCCGTCACCAAGATTCGTTGCTAGTCCAGACAAATTCAAGATTTTCCCACCAGGAATCTGGGACCGCTGATGATCCGAAAATTTTGCTTGCCTTGCATTGGATCTCTCACCATTCAAGGCACTGTCGCGGTAGGCTTCTTCGGAAAAAAGTCATTCATCTTCTTCATTCCCGACACGTTGACCTTCTTCAGTTCGCGAACGCCTCTTGACTCTCCCAGCTTTTTCTTTCTCTCTTCCTCCTCCTGTTTCCGCTTCTTCTCCGATCTCGACTCAGCAGCTTCGTCATCTTCCAGTCCCCGCTTCCTGCTAAAATCCATCATCGATCTTGATGCCAGTGCTTCAGCTTTGAGAGTATCCAAGGATCTGAGATGGTCTTCTAAGGGCGCGAAGTTGATCACAGAATCTTGAGCAGCAAACCGAGCTCTCAGACGCTCTGCGATCGGACCTGGCAGGTAGGAGGCGAGGATGAAATCCAAGACAACCCGCCTTTTCTGTAGCTCGAACAGCTCCTTGGACACTGGCTCGGGGTCGACAGACCTAATCGAACTCGTCGTGGAAACTTCGGAGAAGATGGCGGATTGAGCCGTGCTTGTGGCCGAAGATTGCGAGTCCAGACTGTCAAGTGCAAAGTCGTCTTCATCTCCTGGTAATGGGCCCGTCTGAGTCGATCCGAGTATCTCCTCCCGCTTAAGGCTGAGTATGGGTGCTTCCAATGCTCTTGTTACAAACTTTTCCTGCAAGCTAGCTGGCAAACCTCGGTCTACGGCGTTGTTCACTTTCTGAATGATCACGCGTAATGTCTTCTCTTCGCTAGGCCTATACATCTGCTGGCCCCCTACCTCAATAGTATCGCAAAGCATTAACATGGCGTTCTCTACCATGGTTCGTCCATGTGCCATGAGGTATCGTAGCTCTTTATCGTCCTGTGTTTGCTGTTCGAGGAGATCGTCAATCGGCTGAAACAAAGCTTTCCCGCCATCTGCCGTTCCCGGCAAAACAAGAGGGACAAGGATAAAGACCAGGTCGAATGGTGCAGCCGTATAGAAGTCTGCACTTTTGCTTATGTAGCCCTTGCTCAATAACAATCCTCTTTGACACTCATCTTGTAATCGTCTCAAGTGAGTTTGTAGGCGTTCGGGATGGCATGCAGTGAAAAGAAGGCTTCGAGGGTCCATCGTGGGCGCGCTGATCCTGCTGAAGTGGAACAGTCCCTTGTCAGGACAGAACAGAAATCTTTGTGCGCTTCCATCGCGGGGATGTCGCAAGAGAAGAAAGCGTGCTTGGTCGGATATATCTCTCGGAAGGATGAAATGTTTCAAGGGTTCTCGTTGTAGGTTGGTGGTGACCGCTGCAGTGTCTTCAAAAGGTTTCTTGACTGGGCTAGCTGAGCCAGCACGAGTTGCTACCGGCATATCGACGATGCAACAGCATTTATCACTCAAAAAATTTCAGTCGAGATAGTATACACGGTACACCGTTAGCACTTAGTACCCAAGACAAGGTAGTTCAAAGGACGTGGTCGAGGAATCCCCTCCGCACTCTGGGTAATACCAAGTTGAATAATGTGAGATAGTTCAGAACGCGCCTATCGGGCGCGTCGAGACGCGTCTTTGCCGGCCAATCGGGAGAGCAAGTTCGCTCCGCAGTCTTGATATTCTCTGTGTTGGCTGTGTGTTACTCTGCATTCAATGGCCTTTTGACAGAGCCTTTATGGTTTCAAAACACTTCCCATCGAAGAAAGTTGTAAAACTCACCCACCCCGTCAATGTAGACAAACTCCCAAACCTCCCAAACCTCGAGCTCAACTAGTGGCAAACCGCCATTTGCTAGCCAAATGTCCTCGGCCATCGCCTGGCCCCCTGTTTCGCCTCATGCTGCGCTCATGAGCTCTCCGAGCGGACGCAAGAAGTACGAAGCCTACCAGAATGACACATTCCCCACGAAGCGATCGGCAACGACTCCTAGTCTGGTCGAGAGGCTGCGAGCTGCCCGCACAAACAAGGACTTTACAACCAAGGGCGAACGCACTGAGGAGGAAGAGGAAGAAGAAGACGAAGAGACATTACAACTCCAATTGGCTGTAGTCGAAGCGAAGTTGAAATTGAAGAAGTTGCAGCAGAATAAGGCCAGAGCTGCAACTCCAGCTGGAGATTCGTCCCGGCCAGCGTCTGCCCACGCACCGTCCAGTTCTCAGGTTGAGGTGAAAGCCTCCCCCAGTAAACGAAGACAGGCACTAGTATCAAAATCACCAACTAGAGTTCTACTAGGAATTGACAAAGGTGTTCGAGGCGCGGATGTATCGCTACGCAGAGCTAACACTACAACCGGGAGTCATCGATCAACCAAAACGAACAGTTCGCTTCCCAGCAGTGACAGACCATCCTCTCGATGTTCAGCATTCAACTCGGCACGGTCATCTGCTTCGTCCAGGTCTACCGTGAGGAGCGAGTCTAGGAAGACATTCAGCGAGCGAATGACAGAGGCCCGCCAACGTGAAACAAGCCGTGAACGACGTCGGGCCACAACAATTCAACACCGCAGCAAAGGGTTCGCCCTCGACCAGACAGAAATAGAGCAGTATAGATCAGCGGCAGAGGAATCTAACAGTCATCAACCATCACAATCACCTACCCGACAATATTTCGAGTACAGTCGCGATGAAGTCCTCCACGCCACGTTGGAAGCTAATATGGGCAGTCGGCAACTTAAGAAGAGTCGAACTATGCCCAATCTCAAAACATCACCATCCAGGCATAGTACAAATCCAGAAACCCAACCGGGAAGCGCGGTATTATTCGAGGGTTTCTCTGGGCTACACCTCTCTTCACGAATTTTGCCACATTCGTTCCTCAAACGCACCCTTCCTTCCGAACAGTTTACCATCTTGCGCATCCCGGACCTCCTTAAAGTCGTCAAATCTCCCGCATATGAACTCCCAGAGTCTGTGTGCGACTATGCCGTTTTTGCTGTCATTGCTTCCAAATCTTCACCTATGGACCATAAGACAATCAACCCTGATAATGGCACAGTCAGAAGCAACGATTGGGAACGCCAATGGGAAGACGGTTCCCGCAATCACCGGCGCTTTATGGCTCTGACCCTCACAGACCTAACGTGGACCATCGATCTGTACCTCTTCAGCACAGCCCTCCCTCGCTACCACCGCCTCACACCTGGCACCGTCGTCGCAATCCTCAACCCGGGCATTCTGCCTCCAAAACCAGGGAAAGCCGATACCGGCGCATTCTCTCTGTCCCTTTCCGATGATTCCGACATAGTTCTCGAAATTGGCACAGCTCGAGACTTGGGATATTGCAAAACTCTGAAAAAGGACGGGAAGGAATGTGGAAGTTGGGTCAACGCCGCGAAAACAGACATTTGCGAATGGCATCTGAACGCGGAGATTAATAGGACTAAAGCCAAACGAATGGGTGTCAACACCGGCACGAATGGCTTTGGGGAGTGGAAAAGTCGTCCAAAGACGCGGGATGAAGACGGCGGAAACAGAGGCTTGCTCTCGCGGGATGGACGACGATATGACAGGGCGACCGAGAGCCATTATTACATCGCCAGCACTGGGCCCAAAGGTAGCGGACATGTTCGACGGGCAGGCGCTGGCCCACATCTTCTGGACAGCGACGATCCATTTCTGCCCGGTCAAGACGGTCAGCTCTCCCGCCCCAGCGACCGCGACGCCCGTCTGAGGAAACATCTCGCCGCACTGGCAAAAGAGCGCGAGATCGCGCAGAGACTCGGCTCGAGAGAGCACGGCGGCTTGGGTTTTGAGAGTACCGGGGCTGAGTACATGCGGCAGAAGACGAAGGCGAGGACAAGGGAGGACGACCAGGCAAAAGTCAACCAGGATGCAAGGACCCTAACTGTAGCAGCAGGCGCAGGCGAGACGCAAAGCCAGCGCTCTGGCCCTATCTCCGGAAGCATTCTCACCTGCACAAGCAGCACCATCAATGAGAGCAGAAAGCGCACCGCCGCAGATGTGCGCCTGTCACCAATAAAGAAAACGCGCTTCGTCACCGAGAAGGGTATCAGAGAGGCAGGCAGAGATTCTCTTGGGACCGCGGGTGGGCAAGGCCTTGGCGGTGGAGGTGAGAGCGAGAGCGAGGATGAGTTGGAAATTGTTTGAGTACCACTGAGGACTCGCTTGATATGAGGGAATGGATATGCCGTCGTCATGACCAAGACGGTACAATTACTATGACTTGGAGGCCACTGTCTCAATTTTACCTTGACGAAACCTTGCAGAAAAAGTTGCATGAATATCCCAGTGGGTTCATTTAGTTGAACCTATTATCTTTGTATCGATACCGAAAGGAGGACTCCCGTGTCTCAGGCTTCTAGTCTAAACAGTTCGTCCCGGGCTCTGCTTACTTTCCAATAGCTTTCCAATAAGAATCCTTCGACCTTCGACCTTCGACCTAGTGTCTCCCATCACCCGATAGGTACTCATCTCTCTCATCAGCAAGCTTACTGACTGTTGCTCTCGTCTCCTTCGTAGCTCTCGTCTCCTTCGTAGCTCTCGTCTCCTTCGTAGCTCTCGTCTCCTTCGTAGCTCGGACTGCCGACAAACACTTGGTCATCTGGAAATTCCGCTAGTCAGATGTGAACAGGAAAACAGAAAATTGAACTCTCATTAGATGCCCCGATGGTTCTGCCGCAATGTGATCATGGTATCTTCAAGCACATTCAACTTTTTGTTCAGCTCTTGCTGTTCAGCAACTGACTCTGCAGATTCCCAGCGATCCTGGTTACCATGGCATCATCCAGTGCGAAAACAATGGCAGGCTTGAAGGGTTCAGGTAACTCATTGAGAAGACATTGTTCCATCGGGTACATACCGAAGGAGTCGACCATATCCTTTGGCGCAACCTATCAATGTTAATGGCAGAGCCTCTGCCATCGTTCAACTCACCCTGCAGTAGGCTTGCATGGTATTGGTTGCGTCAATGCTCGCAAACCTAGCCATATCCAACTCTGTATCCTTTAGTAGGGCATCCAGAAGCGCTCCCGTGTCCGTACTACTGTTGTTTACTGTTCTCCGAAACACGTTCTCCAAAGTAGGTCTCACTTCGCCATAAAATGCCTGTATTTTCTCTGCCATTGCTTTTCGCTCAACTTCGTGGCGCTTCTTCTGAAGATTGTCGGTGAAGTACTGATTATATGCAATTGCATGGCCCTTCCTGTGCGGTCTGAGAACCTCTTCGGCCTTTCTCTTCGACCTTTTTGTGCAGTTCAGTGATAATGGCCTCCATGTCCGTTCGAACAAGGTATCTCATTATCCCATCACCAGTGACTGAATCAGAGATATGTTCCACGACCAGCCCGAGTGTAGCTCTTGCTGCAGGGACGAGTTTTTCTTCCGATTCGTGAAGTAGGGGGTGCCACAGTTTGGATTGATCAAACAACAATTCGTCCATGATTGATGGATTAAACAGACCAGGGAGTTCACGTCCTCGGTTATGGCGCATACGAGCCTCAACGCAATCAAGGTATGCCTGGCGGGAAATGAGTTGTGGACCAGACTTAGCCTCTGACTGCCCATCTGTCACTTTGGGGACAATCTCCTGAGCATGCCCTTCAATACTCATTCTCGTCGCGAACGCAGTCAGCATCTGTTGAACAACAGCACGGAGACGTTTGTGGTAGCCTTTGTAAGTATCTGCCTTCCGAAGAACGCATCCTCGTATGTGCCACGAACGGAAGCCTTGATGAGATCGACAAACAGCTGGCTTGCATGCAAAAGGTAAGCGCGTTGTTAAAGGAGTGAGCCCCACGGAGCACCGAACAATTTCAACCTGTGGTTGCAGATGGTCGATTCTCTCTCAACATCTCGCACTAGAGAGGCAAGTTCTGTAAGAATTTTGCCGAGCAGGAAACGAATAAGCCAGGGGCGCAGATTGTCAATCCCAAATTGACTGCTAGGCAGTGCTGCAGCCCAACGCGGGATTGCAAAAATTCCTTCTCCGCAGCATCTCGCGCTGTAGAGGTCGTGTCTTTGGTATAGTAGTCACCGTTCTGGAGAACGTGCCATCCCAGCTTGAAGTAGACGACGTCATTCTTCGCCAACTTCACAAAGGCGGCCTCGCTATCAGAGCGGCAACTAACAAATCTGGCTTGGTGATGATACCCGATGTCCGCTAGCCGCTAGGGTCAATCTCGCGAGCGAGCTTGGTAGTGACTTGATTTGCCAGGTCGTTCTTCGCCGAAACGACTGCCAAGATTATGCTCCTTTTACTCTTCATGTAGGACTTGACCAGGGATTGCACCAGCTCAGCATCGTTGTCCGACTGGGAAGGATTGCCTGCCCAGAATATGCCCGGAAGATCAACAAGGGTCAAGTTTGGCTGGGTTCGACCGCAAAGCTCGACTCTCAAGATATCCTTTGCGAAAACAGTGTTGCCATTGTCTTGTCCCATGTCTTTTTTGGCAGATTTGACAACGTTAGAAAAGTCGGCGATCGAAGTCGACAGTGGAATGAAGTTTGAGAGGCATTCAGCATCTTGCTCTGTGCGATCCGCACTGGAAATGATGGTGACAACAACTTTTGGAGCAGAGCTACGTCGCAGGATGAGTTCAGTTGCGAAGCGGGTACAGAGATTATCTTTGGTAGGAAGCGGAGGCCCGAAATCTCTTCAAGAATACTAGATTTGCCGGTGCTTTGCTCACCGCAGACAATGACCTGAGGCAGGTCAACATAGCGACTAATACCTTGGAATCGCAGCGTGTCGATGAGGTTGAGAATCTCTTCATGCTCGGTGGTCTGAAGGTTGATTCGCGCCATCTTGGGGAAATCGTCGGGCCTGCTGGTAGTAACATAAGGTTCTCGTTCGGATCCGGAGCGGATAAGAGTGAAGGTCGGATAGGCTTTAAGAGAGCGAGCCTTTTTCCGAAATATGGGGAGCGGTAGGGGTGTTGTTTGCCCGTCTTGATAGCGAAAGTAAGGCAGAGCTGACCAGCGTTTTAACGAGAAGCAAAGGAGCTTCGTAGCCTTTGTAAATGGCCTCCATTTGCGCCTCTTTACAGTGCCAGTGCTCGATCTGACAGCTGTCTGCTTTACGCATGCCGGCGACATGGATGAGAGCCACTGCCTTGAGGAGACTCCAGCCATGTTTTGTCTGTTCCTCAGGCAGGTTGAGTCTCGAATCTGCCTCCTGCAGAGCAAGAATAACCTTGGCGGGTGTTTGCGGGGTAAAGGCCGTCCATTGTCGAATGAATAACACCTGTCTGCGGTGTAATTAAGAGAGCATTCATCTGTTGTGGTTTCGGGGGGATGGATAGGTGTTGAGTTGTACTCGATGCAAAGCGCGGTCAACGGCTTTGAAGAGTGAATCAGCCTTGGCAACAGCTACAGCAATTCGCAAACACAGGAAATCGAACGCCTGAACAACGGGGGAGGACCTGCTATCAAAGAAGATATCCTTCTCTTATATGAATGCATTGTTGCAAGTACATATGCACATCATCATCTCGAACTCGACGTATCTAGCACACCATCTTCCAGCTCTTCTTCCACCATGGCCAAGTGGCTTGAATTCTGCGCTCCTCCTCTAGAATCTCCATTAGATTGGGGACTTCCCTTCGCCCACTCGTAATATCAATCTCGCTGGTCCTTCGGAGTTTGGTCTTCTTCACTAGCTTATAGCCAACATACATGGCAATGATGATGGGGGCGGCAAGGTAGACTTCAAAGAAGCTCTCCACCAGCTCCGAAGCGGACATCTCGGCATAACCGACCGGTGCAAAGCCGGTCCAAAATTGCGCCACCAGAATCAGAACGTTCATGATTAAGCCCAACCACGAGCCGTACACTGTGGCTTGTGACTTGAAGGCGAGTTCGTCCAAGGTTCGGCCGGCAAGGCGCCAGGCGCTACGAAAGCGGATGTGGCATAGACAAATTGTGGCCCTTGAACGTCCAGATTAGTCGGAATACAAGTGAATCGGGAGAACACCATCACTTACCAGGTGAAAATCGAAGCAAGGCCACTAATGGCAATCATCCAATTGAAAGCTTGAGTTGTGGTGTCCGGACCGGCCGCGACAATGTAACACAGAAATCCGATGAGGGAAGAAACGATAATAGCAACCAACGGACGGCCTTCGCGGTCAACATAGCCCAATATCTTAGGGGCCTGTCCCATATCCGCCAGAGCAGCCAGAGTACGGCTGGATCCATACACGGACGAGTTTCCGACGGAAAGAACCGCAATGAGGATGACGACGTTCATGATAGAAGGAACCGCATCAATACCGGCGTTGCGAACGGCAATGACAAATGGGGAGGCGTTGGCGTCCGATGAGGAGCTGCCGTTCAAGAGCTGGGGGTCGTTGTAGGGGACGAGGACGCCGACAACGGTGAGTGATACCATGTAAAAAAGGGCAATTCTCCAGAAGACCTGCTTCACAGCGGTAGGTAGTGCGATACGAGGGTTCTCGGTCTCGGCAGCTGCCAGCCCTACCAACTCGGTTCCACTAAAGGAGAAGGCGGCTGTGACAAAAACGGAGCATAAGCCCTTGAATCCGTGATTCTAGGAGAAGATTGGTGAGAAAAGCAAGGTACGTAATATGGTGCTTGGCTTACAAAGGCACCTGGATCATGCCAGTAATGGGCGCCGATATAGCCTCTTTGGTCCCCTGGGACACCACCAGTGTTGATAATAATCCCGAGTATGATGAAGCCAATAACAGCGATGACTTTTATGATCGAAAAGACGAACTCAGCCTCGCCGTAGCCTCTGACGCCGAAGAAATTGATGATAATGATGGCCACTAGGAAGATAGTTACCCAAGCGGCCCCATTAACATCCCGACTACCGGGCCAGAATTCGAGTGTAAGAGACGCGGCGACAATCTCAAGCGGAAGAGTAACCAGCCATTGGAGGGCGTAGCTGGGAAAATGGTCAATCTCGACAAATTTCGAGGACAAGATAATACTCACTTCCAGCCCATTGCGAATCCCCAAGCCTCATCCACGAATCTGCTAGCGTAAACAGAGAATGCTCCAGCGACCGGGTACTGCACTGCGAGCTCGCCAAGAGCATGCGTGGTGCAGTACAACGTGACGCCTATCAGGCCATACGCAATAATCAATGATGCAGGACCTCCGTTCGCAAGGGCGGAACCAGAACCTACAAAGAGGCCAGTTCCAATCGAACCACCAATCGCAATCATCTGCAAATGTCGTTGCTTCAACTTCATAGCTAAAGCCGGCTCGGCAGGAGGCTGATCTGGGAGCACCCTGCCATTGGCGTCAATAGCCTGGGTCGTGACCCGAGCATGAGGATTCCGTTTGAAACCGCCAATGAAGCGACCGAATGAGGTGGGTGCTAGAGGGAATTCAACCTTTCCTTGGGAGAAGTCGAGGCTGCCACTGGGGCTGGCCGATATTGCTTCGATGTCCTTCTCCATTGTGGATCGTTCCGGGGTAATGATTGTAGGGGAAAATCTCTTTCCAAGTAAAAGCTAACGGACCGAGAGGAGCATACGACAGCAACATTTCAGGGCGACGTTGATATTAAAATACACGAAAGAGCCGGCGTTATGCGTTGATCGTCGGCCACATGCGATGACCTCTGATGACAGATAACGAAAGAAACAGCGACAGAATACAGCCGAAGCCGAGTATGTGAAAATTTTGTGGATTGATAAATGTCGCATATCGAAAGCATTGGGGCAAACAGGGATGTTCTGCAAGGCTACATTGCCACCTGGCCATGCCGTTGTTCCGCTTTAAGTAGGCGAAATCGCTGGTGACTCCAATGGCACGCTACGACCACACGATCGGCATCTGAAAGGCTCGATCCATGAAGTTCGAGGTACCCGTTGCAGTAGGATGGACATGGTAAAGTGGAGCTGTGGGTTGTTTGCCGAAGGGCGTGAGGTTGCAACCACATCGCTCCAAAACCAGGGTAATGTTTATGAAAAGAGCCGAGCAGGACCCTACAAGAGCGGCCGGAGCTTCAACGGAACGACCACAAAAGCCCTCTTTTGGAGTTGTTGAAAGTTCCCGCGGCGAGCTCAGCCGGGCTTGCGAGACAACAGGACCGAGTACCAAGAAAAAGGGAAAAAGGAAAATTCTTCATGGGGCGAAATTTCCCCGGAAAAAGATCGGGATGAGGAAAAACTTTGTTCCCAGGTAGTGAAAATTCTCTTCAGCCTTGCATGCAACCGAACGGACAGGGTACTGGCTCGCTGGGTATTATGTGCCTTCTTACGCAGACCTGGTTGCACCGCCCTGAACACGTCGTCCAAACAATGCCAATAGATACAGAAAGAGCTTCAGGCCTCAGTATCCAACGGACTGAATCATATCTCACAGGTTGGAAATGTTCTCCAAGGTTTTCCCCGGCTGTCGAGCAGGATCGACCCTCGGATTTCACTCCTCTTGCACACGTTTTTCTCTGACCCCCAACCGCTTCAAGCCCTTGCTGTCGACAGCTTCACATCCCTTCTTCCTGACGCGGTTGTCCTTGGCTGCTGATTGCTGTTGATAATTGGGCGTGCTTTGATGTGGCGCCAGGCAGCAACAAGGTCTTAACCAATCGGCATAATGAAGGTTGGGACCAAAGGCGAGCGCATCGTATTGTATACGAAATCCTGCATTCTTGTCAATACAAAGGAGATATATTCTCGACCTCTTTCCGAGGAAACCATCGTCTTTCATATCTCATTTCCTGACAACTCGGTTCAGAGATCAGGACTGTTGAACTTCCCTTTGGAATTCCTGTGGTGCACAGCGGTTCATAGCATCCGCCAACATGGCAGAAAAATGGACTCCTCCTAAAGACGGCACGCCATGCTGGATCAATGTCCTTGCTACTGATGTACAGCGAGGTAGGATGCTCATGTTGCAAGTTGTAACCGTGGTTGTCCTAGCGCTGATCCATCTCCGGCACCACCAGCCCAAAAGTTTTACAGCACTGTTTTCAACTGGCGCTTCAACCGTCCGACAACATCGGAAGGCCATGCGCTTGACCCTGCTGAGATTGCCATGTTCGAAGTCCCTGGAGGACCCTGCCCAAATGGGGGGATCACACGGGTGACCCAATCCGAGTGGACAGACTCGCATGGCAAAGGTGGAGTTGTACTGTATTTGTACGTGGACGAGATCCAGTCCTACGAGGAAGTGAGTTCTCATCCGTGTCGTGCGGTCTCAGGTTCGAGGCTGGTTCAAGTTTGGCCAAACTGACACATTTCTGGCGTGAACCAGAAAATTGTAAAAGCAGGTGGAAAGAAGATGACCGACGTTGTTCCGGAAGGGAATCAGGCACTTATGCAGCATTTCGAGGATACCGAGGGGAATTATTTGGGCATTTACACTATGAAGAAGTAGTGAGATTGAGGGGAAAGGCAAGATGAGACGGATGGAGGAGAGCCTTACACAGGCTTTGCTCACCACAATCAATTTGCCGTCAGTGATGCCGGCGGCCTCTGGAATAGTTTCAACAGCTTCGCAAAGCAATTATTACAGATGACGGTAGATAGATATCATGGACTACATTCACTCGGCAGCCATTGGGTTAGGATGTGCTCTCGGCTGCAGTTTTGAGTATCCTAGGTATACTGCCGCATTGATTGTGCTTAGCAAGTTACCCTCCATCTGTCTTTAGTCTCGAACGCAGACGCGCTGAAATGAGCATCAGCCTAGACCAAGGCGAAGACGACTGTCACTTTTCCGCCCCATAGAACCATGTGGGCGGTAGGGTGGACTATATGGAGCACTCATAGGTGGACTGGGGAGGGACTATTCTGGAGGTCGGTCGGATGGAAAGGCTAGAAAGCAAAGTCATGACGTTCCCAAGGAGGTCAGTGGTGGATGTAAAAAAGGCAAAATGCTCTTCCCCGTGTCAATGGAAGATCTTTCAGCTTAAGAGTGAATACCAAGTACAGTGCGGACCGCTTTGTTGGGAGTTCCATTGGCCCAGATGGAATGACTGACAGGTATCAAGACGCAGAAGAGTACCTACGAGTAGGAGTCTTGATTGGAGCGGGTAGAGGGGGCGTGTGGTGTGTGATGAGGTGCAGGTGGCCGGGGAGAAAGCGAAGTGGTTGGTACCTAGGTACTCGGTACTAACCTCGAGTACTGCCAGGTACCACCGCGTCTACCTGCTGGGTACAAAGTACTGGTAAGTTTTGTACTCTGTAGATGCCTACTAAGTACCTAGTCCCTAAGGCACCTGTCCACAAGTAGGTAAGTGACGTACCTGTGCCATTTGAATCTCTTGATCAACATACCTGATGCCTCATTCTGCTCATCGCATTTGCTTCGAGGATAACAGCATTCCACATGGTCGTCATCTTCTTCTGCTGTCACCATGGTAATTTCTTCTGAGACTCGGTAAGCGAGCGCCGTCTAGTCCTTGACAAAGTTCCCTCTGCACCTTTTAGCTGCAGGTCCCGACGGAGGGGATGGGCCTCGAGCTATCCGCGCCTATCAAGGCTCGTCAGGGGCGCCTGAGATTGGCCGCCCTCAGTTCACAAGGCCTAGGGATCTCTTGCCGGCCACTCCACGGACGCCGCACAGACCCTCTGGTGACTGCGACCTGCGCACGCCGCTCCCCGCGCGTGGCAGCTGAACCTTCAGCACCTTTAACTCCCTTCGGCCCTGGAAGGCGCCCGCAGGTGACCAACCAAACCCGCCGCCTTCCTGTGCTTTTCCCGTCTTTGCTCTTTTTTCACGCTTCTCGTTCCGTGTTCACACCTGCGCCCTCCACCAAACACTACTCGACCACAGTAGTACCACTACCAAACTGTCCGCTCCCTCAAACTTCTTTCTCACTCTCTCTACTGACATTTGCAACACGTCATTCTTTCTTGCGATCATCGCCGTCCTGTCTCTGTCGTCCTATGCCCTGTAGCTTTGGACACTCAGCCGAGGGAGCTTCCGAACCATATCCGCTTCCATCCTTATACGGAACAGCTCTTTGTCGCGTCGCAAATGAGTCCTGATTGCCAACTTCAAGTCGATTGATTTGCCGATCAGATCAACTGCGCCGTAATCTCCCCGTCACACGGCACTCAGCCAATTGTCCTTTGGTTGCCGCCGCTGATGCCATGAATTCGTTCGCTGTTCTTGCCAGCTCCAAATCTTTCCTTCGGGCAGTTTGCGCATGACCATGATTCTCGATAGCCAACGTCGACACCTTCGCTGATCCAATGGCCACCGCTATGGTCGCCTCTGAATCCTCCCTCAGCAGCCGTGTTTCCTTGATCTCTCTCGACCCGGCGGTTGCTAGTCACATCACTGGCACCACAAGAACCACGACCGTCCCTTCGGCATCGCAATATGGGTCTAGCCCGAGAAAAAGTACAAAAACACCCGACACTGAAATCTCCCGCACCCACATGAGAAACAACTCTGCTCCTAGTGTTTCGGACAAGAAGGCACCGACGTCGTTGAGGCGCGTCAAGGATAGCACAGAGGTCTTGAGAGAGCGCTCTACAAAGTCCTCTAAAAAGGCAAAGCAGTCGCTGGAGACAGTCCCTGACAATGTCCACGGTCGCAACTTCACCGTGGGCAATGTGGGAACCGGTGGTATTCTCTACCTGACTCCGTCAACGCATCAAAAGGCAAATGGATCTCCACACTCCATCATCTCACCAGTGTATTTGCCTTCGACGGCTCCAGCAATCCTTAGTAATGGCGACCAACGGCCTCCATCGAACGAAAAGGCGCCAACCGCCCGGTCCGTGTCCTCTTCCCATTCTCATCGAACTGCCTCCTCGAAACGTTCAGTGAGACCTTCACCGAGGCCCAAGGTATTGTTCCCCAGCCACGGCCGGTCCCAGTCCTTCTCTACAATTGAAGAGCATCGCCAGTCTTTGCTAGGTCCACAGTCGCGGACTCTGAGGATCGTTATTAACCGCCCAGAGACTGCGAGACCAAAGACATCGCAGGAATCCACCGAAGAGCCGACTCTAGAATTCCTCCCTACACTAGAAGTCCCTATTCCACACTATCGTATTGGTACTTTCCGCCTCAGCACCAATGGAACTCCAATGCTGCGGGGATCCTCGTTCACAAGGGCCTCTGTCACTCCTTCAGATGTCACGCCTACTCAAGCAATCATGCAGGCAGAGGGCTACTTTGCAGCGCCCCCGCCTGCCAGCCTCAAAGCCTTCGCAAAACTCGAAGCCAAAGACACAAGCGTAGTGGAGGAGCCAGCTCCCACTACTCCCCGCATGCCACCGCTCTCCAAAGCTACATCCGCAACAACTTCCAGCTCGTCCAGCCCCGTCCAACCCAAGGTATTTGACGATTTGACTGTGATGTATGATGACCCCTCGGTTGTCCGGTATTGCCAGAACGTGAGGGAAATCACCGCAGCCACTCCTGCTCGGATCATTGCTCAGATCTCGTCGGACTCTTTCATGGACTATGAACTGGTTTCCGACTTTTTCCTCACATTCCGGTCCTACATGTCAACCTATCAAGTGCTTGATCTTCTCCTCGCCAGATTGAGATGGGCTATTGGTCGGTTAGAAGATGACGGGAGGATTATCCGCGTGCGCACCTTTGCCGCCCTTCGTCATTGGATTTTGAATTATTTTATGGACGACTTTTTCGTTGATCACCGCCTTCGGGTACGTTTCTGTAACGAGGTCAACAGACTTTATAATGATGTCAAGGCCAATCCAGAGAATGGGTTTAGCGACCTCAAACTCTTACGCGACTTAAAGCGGTGCTGGAATGGGCGATGCTCATTATGCTGGGGCCCGGAGAACTTTGACCTTGACGGGGAGCAGGAGGACGACATCCAACCCGGAGAAATAGCTGACACAGACCGCACACCAAGGCCGCCGATCGGCGTTCAGCCTGCTCTGGCTCAACTTGGCCCCCCTCAAGCTCCGATTCCACGAGGGCCGCAACAAAGTTGGTTCGAAGCAGATACAGCTGTTAGGCCAAGTCATGATCGTCAAATGTCTGACAATTCTGGTCTGCTGAGTGATGGCAGTGTTCAAGCGACTTCTTGTTTCGTTCCCAAGCACATTCTACGCCCGAGTGGTGGGGGAGGAGAGGGGCATTCAAAAGCTCCTCATCCAGTCTCTGTTCAGTTGAGGCGAAAGAATGCACCTGCGAACCTGCAAGTGGTCACCCAGCCCGCACCAGCTTCAAAGGCGCTAGGCCATAGGAAGGGGGCAAGCTCTATCGATAGCAACAGAGAGCCAACACCTCGCAAAACACAACCCGAGCACCCTGCTCAGGTTGTCGAAGACGGAAGTATCATCCGAGGACTTCTTTACAGTCCAAGCACTCCTTTCGTCCAGATTGTGTCGTCCCACTCCACTCAGTCACTAGACAGACACGAAATGGGAGCCTTACGAGGAGGACCTAGAAGAGAACATGGTACACAATCACCCACTCCGCCGGTTGCGAGGAATATCTTTGGGTCTTTGCGAAAAGTCCTTGGAAGTAAGCACGGTCAGATTGATATGACCCTTCTCACTGTTTCACAATCTCCTCAAGACGTACCGATTCGAGGGCAAAAGGCACATTTACCTCTCAACGTGTCCAAATCTCACGATGAGCTACGTAACAAGCCGGGCACTGGTATGCCCAGAAAGGGCGAAATGCGCATTGATCTTCTCTCGGCCGCAGCGTGTCAGAATTACGAGACAAAATTTCCTTCGAACCATCGAATCAGTTACGCACCCTTCTTTGCTATCAACCGCCCTCTTCAGCCAGCCATGTCTGCAGGAGCTGAGCACGAGCCACAGCGTATGCCAAGTCATGCGACTCGTCAAAGCGGTTCAATTTTGATAGTCGATGATACCCGCCCGGATTTTCCATCAATGTCTGGCGCGCTTCCAGTACCTGACAATGATTTCGATTACGGAGATGCTGCTCCTGTGCCACTTCTTAGCGTTCATAATGCGACACTACTGGACGATCATAAAGCAAGTTTTGACGCGGTTGCGACGCAGAGGAGCTCAAACGTCCTTCCACATGATATAGATCTGCCACCATCACAGGAGAGTAGTGGCAATTTGGATCGGGCCATAACAGACGCGATCAGGCCAGACGACAGGTCTGAGGCCCAATTCAACATATCGGCTGCGGTTGAGAGAGCACATTCTCCTACGACAGCCAGCTCCAGAACTGTTCGGGAGGACATCAAGCCAGTCGATGCTCACGCGACAGCCGAACTTGTTATTCAGTCTGAAGAGGCACCATTTGCGGAAGGCTCAGAGGGCGCAGATGGCGAGGAGTATGATCTTGCTTCGGAGGTGAGGCTACCAACGCAGACCCTAAGGCGGAGGCCGGGAGGAGACTTGCGTCGGGTTGAAAACGTCCAAGAGTTGGATCATTCATTTCACCATACTTCACTGGATACGGCCAGCGCGCTGTCTGAATCACCTCATGGGTCATTACTCATCATGAAAACAGACACTGTCCAGCGCGTTCCTTCGCCAGATGGTCCACCGCCAAATAAGCCGATCTCGCTGATCAATACCCATTCCTCCCAGCACCTCCGGCCTTCTTTCGAGGCAGCTGTTGCCGGGTTCTCCGCGATTCCCGACGATGAAGATGGTGGACTCGAGGCAACTTTGATGAAGCTTGAGGGTCGTTACGAGAAGAGATCACCACCCATGGAACAGCACCCGCTTGACGCTGCTGCGAGACGGCGATCCCTTCCAGAGCTGAGCCGGATGTCTCAACCAGAGCCTGACAACTCCATACAGGCAATCAAGCATCCGACGCCAGCTCCTGCTCTATCCACCAACGTTCGCACAACAGTGGACGAAGTTGCCTCAGAAAAGTCCGCTGACGAACCGCTTACGCCGGAGCCCCTTGTGGAAGAAGTGAAGCCAGCGGCCTCTCGTAGGTCCTCCATCTACGGACTCCCAACCGAAAGCGTAGCCGATTCTGATGAGTCTTATGGCTCTCTGCCATTGTTGAAACGTGAAACAGGCTACGAGAGTACTGCCGAGCCCCTGCCTATGAAGCCAACTGCAGACCTACCAATGATTGCTCCAGGTTATTTTCCGCAAGATCCCCCTCAGCTATTTCACCTACCCAAAGGACCTCCACCAAGCGGAAATAAACATAGAGCCAGCATTCCACGACCGGAGACCGCCAATGACAGTGCTCGATCATTCCTGCTGGACGAAGATGAGAACCTTTCGGATCTATCTTCGGAGATTTCCGTGGACATCATCAATTACTCAGAAGTTGCGGGCCGTTCTATTTCGCCCATGCTCGCTGCCCCTGGAACAGCTATATCTGGACTGGAGATACCAGCACACCCGTTGACCTATGCGTCCGTGGTGAATCTTCGTATACCCACTCCACCAGAGCGAGCATCTGATCCCATTCCACAGATCAAAAACCCACAAGTCAACAGGTCTTCGCACGACGACCAGCAGACCCCGAAGCAGCAGGAACTATCATCTACTCAACCGTTAGCGCGTCTGCCGGCAGGTCCGGCGCACATGCCTTTTATCCTCGCTTGCGATTCGCAAGTCCTTGCCCAGCAAATGACTCTGGTAGAAAAGTCCGCGTTGTCCGAAGTGGAGTGGTCGGATCTGGTTGAAATGCGCTGGGATAACAAGACGGCCGAAGTGCTGGATTGGGTCGAGTGTGTCTCCAATGGAAACGTTCGAGGAATCGACCTAGTCAGCACACGCTTCAATCTCGTTGTCAAATGGACCTTGTCCGAGATTGTTTTGACGCAGGATATTAATGAAAGAGCTCGAGTCATCACCAAATATATTCATGTCGCAGCACATGCTCGTCGGCTGCACAATTATGCGACAATGCTGCAACTCACGCTTGCCCTGACTTCCACTGACTGCACACGACTCGCCAAGACATGGGATTTGGTGTCAAGCCCGGACAAGTCCTTATTGAAGCATATGGAAACACTCGCGCAACCTTTACGTAATTTTCACGATCTTCGGATGGAAATGGAATCGGCTGATCTCAGCGACGGCTGCATTCCTTTTCTAGGTTGGTGCTCCCGGTTACGCCTGGAGGCTCGCATGCTAACTTGTACAACAGGATTGTATATTCGCGACTTGACATATAATGCACAGAAACCCTCTCACGTTGCAGGTGCTCGCGGGACCGAGTCTCTGGTCAACTTCGAACGCTACAGGAGTACGGCTATCATTGTGAAGGGGCTATTGCGGCTCATTGATGCCAGTTCAAGGTACAACTTCGAACCGATGCAGGGAATAATCGAGCGATGTCTCTGGTTGGCCGCTCTAGGTGATGATCGAATACGCAGCGCAAGCAAGACATTGGAAAATTAATCAATGAACAACTTGGATATCGAGTGAAGCATAATGGCCGGATCGGACTCAGTCCGGATGAGCTGCGAGTCAGCTAATTCAGGATTATTACCGCATATCTATTCCCAGTATTTTAGCGACGGGCTCTGTCAACCTAGCGGGCGTGTCTCTGTTTATTGAGGTGTCTGGACCTTTTGCATTTGGGAAGTCGCTCGAGATATTGGAATGCCGGTCACAGACAAGGATAGTTTGACTCTAGCGTGGTGTTGGGGAGACCATGGACCGAGTAGAAATATGGGAGGGTCAAGTCTGAAGCGATTCAGCACTAGGCCCGGTATCACACAAATATAATTTGGGGACTCTCTAGACTGCCGAATTCCTATCTCAAGTAATCAGGAGACCACCGACCACGACTGGGCGGATGCTGTGTGCATCTGCTGGATAGTGGCGGGCGGCGTTCAGGCTGGTGGGCTGTCAGTTTCCCTCCAATGCCAAGCGATTGCCAAAGGGTTAAAGGGCTTCGGGATGGGGGAACCGACTAGATTCATCTTCTCGCATGGAAGTTGGATCAAGTACTCCGTACGCTACGCATCAATCTCCTAGATCTATTAGCAGGGCTTCCACCCAAGAAGCTGCCAGGTATGTTGTTGAAGCATTCCTTGCTTGGTATGCCTCTAGACACCACCGTCAATCGCCCACTCTCGAGACCAGGACCATCCCTAAAGAGCTCTCTTTAGAATTTGCTCTCATTTTTGGCGTTGGACTGTTTCCCTACTGGCTCTGCTGACTGAGTTTCCCTAACTCCGGCCCGAAAGGTTGGTCAATACCTATTCTGAACAGCTGAAAAGACTAACTTGTCTCCATCTGATATGATTCTATTCCGGCTGTCGATGGCATCATCAGGCTATAGCGATGGCATCATTTCGACATGCAATGTCAACCCAATGAGGGGTCTAGAATCAACAGACAACTCCGCATCTCGTCGGAGTAGTCCCTTTTCATTCCAGAGAAATGGTATTCAATGAGGGAGCATTCCGGTGTTTTCATTGAGTACAAAGAGTATGGCTTGGCCAGGAGCATATCCAGCGATTCGGGACCAAGCCCTGCTCCAACGTCCAAGCTTCTCCAAGCTTTTCTGGATACAATGGCACAAAAGCTCTCGGTGACAGACGACAAGGGAGTGTCGAACATCCCAGTGGTCTCAGAGACGCAAGGTGATACTACGATCCATGTTGTCCCTCGTGGTGAAGAAATTGCAGATGTCTCTTCCTTCGAGAACGAGATCGTCGGCTACGACGCTGAACGCATGAGGGCTCGCACTCTCCTGACTGAGGCAGAAGAGGCGAGGCTCATGCGTAGAGTTGACATGCACCTCATGCCGCTGTGCAGTATTATGTTCCTACTCAAGAATATGGACTACCAGAATGTCACAGCTGGTTCCCCCCTATTCTTGTATAGAGCGGATACTGACTCAGAGAGTACAGGCGGCCAATGCTCGAATCATGAACAAGGGGACTGACCACAACATACTGACGCAACTCCATATGAGCTCGAACGATTACAATTTCATATCTACTATTTACTATGTGAGTAGGTCACTCCCCCCAACGCTTCGTCTAAGTACCCATTCCCCATAGATACCTTATATCATCTTCGAGGCTCCAAGCAATTTATTCATCAAGAAGATGCTTCCTTCCCGATGGCAGTCCAGGATTGTGGTAAGATTGATGGGCCACCCTCATAATCCACACCAGAAGGCTGATTCTGCTGTAGGTCTCTTGGGGCATTGCGATCGCCTGCCATGCTGCAGTTACGAGCAAGGCCGGATTGTATACAGCTCGTTTCTTCCTAGGAATGTGTGAAGCAGGTATGTTTCCGGGCGTGTTACTGCAAATGGTGTATTGGTACCGTCCCGACGAGATGTCGATTCGTCTCCTCTACTTTTACGCGCTGGGAAACTTCTCCAACGTCATCAGTGGTGTGTTGGCCTACGCTTTCGACACGATCTCTGGTAGATATGGACTCTCTGGATGGCAATGGTGAGTTTGAGAATGCCTATTCCCCCCAACCAGAAAGGGAAAGTCGACTCATTGATTGTTTCTGCAAGGCTCTTCCTCGTCGAGGGTGTGACCACAATTGCATTCGGCATTTCACTATTCTTCATCTTGCCAGACTGTGAGGATCGGAAACCGCTCAAAGAATTGTCAATTAACTAGTCACATAGTCCCCAAGCAAGCCAAGTGGCTCAGCGAGAAGGAAAAGGCATTCATCCAAGCCCGCTTGCCCGCCAACGCGCCTCGAGCGGAAGAACTTAATTTCAGCTTCCGGGAAATTGTCACGGCATTGAAGGACAAAAGGATGTGGCTGTTTACGCTGGTTTGGGCTACGATGACTGTTGGCACGACGGGTTTGACGTTCTATCAGCCAACTGTCATTGCGAATTTGGGATTTACGTAAGTACTTGAAGCTTGTCGACAGTTATCCATGCTGCTCACTCTGTTCTCCCCAGGTCAATTGCGAAAAGTCAACTCCTCAATATCCCTACTTCATTTCTCTCCATCATGATAATCGCTATCTCGGGATACTTCGCGGACAGTGCCTGGCTGCCTCGCCCTATAATCCCGTTGGGCTTCCTGGTATCAATTCTGGCGTGCTACAGCGTGCTATACACCTTTCCTAACAACGGCGGCGTCTACGCAGCAACCGTCCTAGCCAACTCCTTTGCGCAGAGCTGGTACCCGCTGATGTGGCCGTGGCGAGTCCAAACCACCTCTCGCGCAACGGGTTCCGCGTTCGCCATCGGATTTGTCAATAGCTACGGTCAAATTGGGGGGGCGGTTGGACCGCAGATCTTCCAGTCCAAATATGCACCATACTATACCGTGTCATTCGCCATTGCTATGGCGATTATCGGCGGATGTATCCTGGTCACCTGTATTACGTGGTGGGTAACTAGGCAGACAGAACGGCAGACGAGGAGAATCAAGAAGCTGCGCATGAAAGCGGCGAAGAGGGGTGAGTCAGTGTTGGACGATGTGGACGCGGATGCCGATGTGAAGAGGATAGAGGAGGTGCGCGAGGCAGCGTAGCCTCGTACATTGCCTCGGGGCAGCGTGGAATTGTTGTACAGAGTCTAGAGACGTTGCTTAGACTACCTGGTTTTCCGGGTGAGAAAGCGGTAGAAAAGGAACCTGTCGCAAACTTCAAAGTCAGGCATCTACCTGAAATGGAGTCGCTTCTCTTCCTCCCCTGATGAGTGTAATGGTGCCTTTGCCGTAAAGAAGTTTAAAGTGAAGCACGCTATTAGCATGACCAGATCCAACGAGGTCTTGCCAATCCTCTTTACGACCGCTCTGGCACAGTCTCAAATTGAAGATACGCTGCAACTAATAAGAGCACTCCACAACGACGAAGTGGTCGCTGTGTTGAAGATAGCCAAATAGATAAGGACGGGGCGCTCTTATTTCCAACGGCAACCAAAATGTCAAGTTAGATGAGTCCCCATTGACCCAACGAATCACTTCTACCTTGCGGGCGATACTGTCATTATGGGCTGCCTTTCTTGCACCCTTCCATTCGAAGCCTTCCAGTTCATACTCAGGAAGTCGTGGATTGGGCCTGAAATGATGCATTTCATCTCGCCCGACAAAACTCGTTTACTGGTTGGGGGGATATATTCAGTGGGAAGCGACTCGTGGACGGCGGCCTCTGGCAGCTCGTCGATGAGGCCTGCCGTGCGGTGTATTCGCTTGGTTACTACCAATACTTCCTACCTAGACTCAGAGCAACGGCATTTGACAACAACTAACCTGTATCATACTCTACTGCTGAGGCGCTGTCGGATTCTGTTCATCCGTCTTGCCGTCCCCCTGTTTGCGAGCCGAGGGAACCGCACACCGAGTAACTTCACATATTCCAAAACCTAAAAATATAGAAAATTTAGTGTCATAGGGCGCATAGCTCAGGGGTAGAGCGCTCGCTTTGCATTCTTCTCTTCTCGCATGCGAGAGGTCGTGGGTTCAATTCCCACTGTGTCCAGCGTCTTTTTCTCAACCCATGGTATGGGAAACATATCTACCAATACAACTTTTTTACGTCCCTTTCCTCTCCCTCCATTTTTGAGCTCTGCACGCGATTCCATCGCACTCGGCAAAGTTTCTGAAAATGACGCACAGAGTACCCCGTACCTATTCGCATACTGGGTATTCCCTATTGCTTGGCTCGGCTGGGCTGTCATCACGTGTCCTCAATCCAGCCTGACCAGTAATCGTAAGCCTGGGCCCAAAAGTTTATTTTTATTTTTGTTTGGCCTTGTAACATCCTATCCCTCTTACCGGCCTGCATGTGCCATCAAATCATTGACTGCTAGACAGTTCGATTTCTCTTCAATACTAGCTGTCATGAACGGTACCAAAGTTGGCCCGTCCGTGGCCGATATGGTCAACATGTCCACCGAAGAGAGAATGGCGGGGATGGAACATTCTGAAGTTCGCTACTTCACGAGGTATGTCTCGCGGGGGGGATGACGATGGTGTTGATTGACCCAAGCAATAGTTATGATCACCATGGAATCCACGAGGAAATGCTGGTAAAGACAAAAAATCCACCTGTGTCGAATCGCAAGCTGACTCTGTCTCAGAAAGATGAAGTCCGAACCCGGTCATACCGAGACGCCATCTACCAAAATCAGCACCTCTTCAAAGACAAGGTCGTTCTTGATGTCGGCTGTGGCACTGGTATCCTCAGCATGTATGCGTATCTTCCCTCGCGACTGCAGAGACACCAGTTGACAGCGCCAGGTTTGCCGCAAGGGCAGGTGCAAGACATGTGATTGGCGTGGACATGTCCAGCATCATCAATAAGGCAAGACTCATTGTGGATACCAATGGGCTCTCCAAGAAGATTACCTTGCTGCAAGGCAAAATGGAAGAGGTGGAACTTCCTGCTCAACATTTGAACAGCGGTAAAGTCGACATCATAATATCAGAGTGGATGGGTTACTTCCTGTTGTATGAGAGCATGCTTGACACGGTTCTCTATGCACGCGATAAATATTTGAGATCAGGTGGTAAGATATTTCCCGACAAGGCCACGATCTACATGGCGGGCATTGAAGACGGAGAATATAAGGAGGACAAGATCGGATGTAAGTGCATTCAAAATTCAAGGGTCGGGATGCGGGCTGACTCCTTTTTAGTCTGGGATAATGTCTATGGATTCGACTTTTCGCCTATGAAAGAGAGCGCCCTGAGTGAACCTCTGGTCGATACTGTCGAGCTCAAAGCCCTGGTGACCGATCCATGCCCAGTCTTCACCATCGACCTCAATACGGTCAAGCCGGCCCAGCTGGCATTTTCAGAGCCATTCCAACTCCGATGTCAAAGAAATGATTTCATCCACGCTCTTATCGCTTGGTTCGATATTGATTTCACGGCATGCCACAAGCCAATCCGATTCTCCACAGGGCCCCACACAAAATACACGCATTGGAAGCAGACCGTCTTTTATCTCCGACAAGTTCTGACCGTGGAGGAAGGAGAAATCGTCCAAGGCTTCCTTTCCAATAAGCCCAACAGCAAGAACAGGCGCGATCTTGATATCAAGATCGACGTTGAACTCGAAACGTCAGATCCCAGACGGTCCGCTCGCGGGACGTGCGAGTACAGGATGTAAGCCTCCTTAACCCTAGAATAACCGCGCGTTACTTATTGATCATTTTCAGGTGCTGATGTGGGATGACGGCGGGAATGCCGTGCGTCCTACGCGTTTTGTTCGGCTTGATCTTCAGGTCTACATCTTCTCTGCACAGTACCTTTGAGAGCACATAGCGTGGACTTGCAAAGCACGACACATATGGATGAAACACCTCGTTTGCGATGAAAAAGTGGCCATGATGGTACCCGGGAACGAATCCAAGCTCCTCGTTCTTTGTCTAAGATACCCCACGAGTTGATGCTGATTTTGATAAACGAAAATTCATAATGCATTTGCCGCTAGATGTTATGGCGCCATCAATACAACTGACGCTTTGTATTGAATGCGAGATGCAGCTGACCTGGGAGGGTGTCCAAGGGCGTCTTCAATCTTGGTTTGACAGATGTGATGTGATGATTACTTTCACGGCCTCGATGGTTTGCCGGCTATCTGCATTCTCAACATACAAGTACCTCGGCACGCGGCTCCCCCACGTTTACTAGTACGACCCCAAACCTGAACAAAGCTGACCAGCCTGCCGCAACTGTTTCCTCTCTTATTTTATTATCTGAAACATTCGGAGCTGCCCAGCTTGTGATTTTCGTTGAAGCTCACCTTCTTGTTTCCAAGGTTTCTGAGGGCTCCATCAAAATGTCGGGTCCAGGTGTTGGCTTCGAGTATCCCCCGACCGAAGTGTCGTGGTTGAAAAGAGATGTGCTGCTCTTTGCCGTGAGCATTGGCTGTACAGTGGATGAGCTGCATTTCATCTACGTAAGTGCCAGAAAGATAGACACCCACAAGACACACCGCAGCTCTGATTGACAGTCATCCAGGAACTCCATCCTAACTTTGCCGTGTTTCCTACATATTCAATTATCCTTCGTCAGTCGCGTCCCCTGTGCTTACTCACCGCACTCCCGAACTCACCGATATTCTAGCATTCAAGAAGACCACACAAGAAGTGATTGACTTCTATGCTGCTCAAGCCAGCAACCCGATTCCGGGGGTCCCCAAGCTGGACGCAAAGCGTGTCGTCGACGGCCAGCGCATGATCCAATTCCTGAAGCCTCTTCCTCCTACGTCCGAGGGTCGAAAATTCGAGCTGCGGTCCAAAGTAATAGGAGTGTACGACAAGGGCAAGCCAGGCACGGTGGTCGAAACCGAGCAGACCATTGTGGATAAAGAGAACGGTGAAGTGTACACACGAGCGGTCGGCTCCGGCTTCTTCGTCGGTCAAGGAGGATGGGGTGGCCCCAAGGGACCTTCGACGGTCAACTATCCACCACCAAAGGGCAGAGAGAACAGTCCCGATAAAATCAGCGAGAAACAGCTGACTGCGGAGAGCGCGCATCTATACAGGTAAGATGCTCCCACCTGGTTCGACTCAAGCCACTGACACCGAGTGACCTCAGGCTCAATGGTGACTATAACCCACTCCACGCGACGCCCGAACCTGGTCAGAAGATGGGTTTCGGGGGTGCTATCATGCACGGGCTCTCCACCTGGAACTTTGCCGCACATGCACTCTTGAAAGAACTGGGTGGAAGTGACCCGGCAAACATCAAGGAGTTCCAGGCTCGCTTTGCCGCGCCTGTGAAGCCAGGCCAGAAGTTGGTGACCAAGATCTGGAGGACTGGCGATATCAAGGATGGATGGGAAGAGGTCCGGTTTGTCACCGAGGTCAATGGCAAAGTGGTTCTGAGCAACGGTCGGGCGTTGATGAAGTGCATGGGCGGAAAGAGCAAGCTTTGAACAGCTAGAGGGAGCAGAGGGAACCAGACGCAAGCAAATCCGGATGAAAATGAAGCCACAAATCCCTTGACTTGCTAAGTACCCAGTTCAGTTGTCTCAACACTTGCTTCCAGCTTTGTGGCGTTTGTGTTGGGCGGAGGTTCGCCTAAAAGCGCATCTATATCCCTTTTATCCACCGCCCACTCTTCCCTCTCTTTTTCCGATGGCATCTTCGTTGCAACCTGCGCGCCCAGAGTCATGTCGGAGTCTTTCAATGGCCAGGTAAGGTGGTTATTCCAGAGCGGGAGTCTCAGGAGCAGGAATTTTCATTACCGTAAAGGGGCCCGGTGCCAAACGGCTCTAGCTCCGACGACGCTCAAGGGTCAAAGTCGGATTAAAACGGCGCCAGACGTAGCAAAAGAAGTTTGATGTTCAGAGAAAAGGTGGAGGGCGTCTCGACGTGGCAAATCTGGGGAGCTGGGAACTGGGGCGAGAAGGGCGAGAGAGCATTTGGCTCATCGGCTTTTGGCGCAGCAAATCATTGCACGCGGGACGGCTTTTGGGTGGCGCTCGACATTCTTTTTGTATTGCCGCGACAGAGGAGTCGTCTCGACATCATCTGGGCTCCGCTCCGTATCGCCCCGGGTTTTCTTGTAAGTTGTAACGCTGCAAGCCAAGAAGTTCTCTTCGTCCCGACAGGAAGCATTCCTCGCCATGTTTGTCCTTCTCGCCCATGCTACAAGCCATGGATGAAGCCACCAAGGCTGTCGCATGACGGTGTGGATCTTGGCAGCTTGTCGGATCGACAGTGCGTCTCCTGTTCCGTTGTCCAACTCCCCCATGTCAATGGAAATGCTGTTACATCGAGCTGACAACACTTCTGCCGATAGGCTGCTCATATCCTGTCACATCCAACACATTCCAGGCTCGGGAATTCTTCCAAAGAACAAGGTCAGTATGGTCCATCATGTTGCACCCGACCCCCGCAAGTTGAACTTCTTGTGCTGCACAACGAGAATCCAACACCTTGGCGCTCCCTCTCTTTTCTCCGTGGGTTTGCCAAATTCGGCATCAGGAATGCATTGCCCATGGCGCCCCGACAAAGGAATTGGATGTCCGCAAAGGTTGCTGAAGCTATTCCAAGCCCATCCCCGACCCATCGGATGAAAAGGCGAGAGTCTTGGTGGAGGGCTTGGTATATTTAAGATGAACTGAGTCGCCCTTCGTCCTCGACTGGATCGGTCAAGCCAGTGTCATCTTAGTTATTCATTACCAGGCCCTTCGATCACCGCGTGCATCTGCTTAAGTATCACAAATATGGGTGGAGGTGGAGGCAAACCTTTAAATATCTTCCGTCTAGGGAGTTCTATGGCAGATGAACCCAAAGAAGTCCTGAATTGGAAACTTTGGTTTGCTGTCATCTCCTTTGGCATTATGGGAGCTGCTAGAGGCGTGTGAGTTGTCCCTTGAGCATTGGAGCCCCCAACGACGTGGGCTGACGGCGATTCGTAGGGATGAAGGGTTAATCAGCGGTAAGAAAGCCAATGTTGGTGCCATCAAGTTGGGCTCTACTGATCTTTTGCAACCAGGCACTTTCAACACAGACGACTTCCAGCGCCTTCTGGGGTTTGACAAACTTGATGAAGATCAATATGCGAATGTCAAGGGCAACGTCTCTGCAATGGTCCAGATCGGGAGCGTGGGCGGCGCTCTACTCGCCTTCATCCTCGCCGATCGTATTGGTCGCCTCTGGGCTACTCGACAATTGTAAGTCTTCCCCTTCTTGCAGTCTCGGAGGTCTTTGTGCTTATTATATTCAGGTGCCTTCTTTGGATTTTCGGAATCGTCATCTTCCTGACAAATAACGGGCGATTGGGCCAAGTGTACGCTGGCCGCTTCATTGCAGGACTAGGAATTGGCCAGACTACTGTCATCGCGCCTGTCTATCTTTCCGAAATTTCACCCAAGGCGGTCCGAGGACTTTGCACCTGCGTGTTCTCGGGTTCGGTGTACATCGGAATCATGGTGAAGACGATCAACTCCGTCGTGTCGGCTCTGTGAACTAACTTGCAACAGCTCGCATACTTCTCGACTTGGGGAAGCAGCCTCCATATCAACCAGAACAAGGCCAGCTCCTGGATGGTGCCGACATCCCTCCACCTGATGTTTGCTGGCCTCATCTTCATCTTGTCATGGTTCAACAATGAATCACCTCGGTTCCTGATCAAGAAAGGCAAAATAGACCATGCAGTAGCCAATTTGGCCAAGATCCGAGGACTTAGTCCCGACGACGAATACATCACGGCGGAGATCAACGGTATCAAGCACCAGCTGGATGAAGAGCAGGAAGCAACAATGGGCCAGGGATTTTTGGGCATTCTTCGAGAGATGTTCTGCATGCCCGACAACTTCTACCGGATTTACCTGGGTTTCGGCGTTCAGTTGTTTGGTCAATGGTCAGGTGCTCAAAGTATCACCATGTATGTTCCCCCTCCTCGTAATAGTTCAAGGCTAGCACTTGGCATGGTATCTCTTCTCACGCTTGCTAACGTTTGGGCCGTATATAGATATGCTCCGGATGTAGGTCACCCCCGAACATTGGTCGCCATTCGGAGGTCCCAGTTGTCATTGGCTCTTGTCTATGTCGATATGTGCTCACGCATATTTGCAGATGTTCGCGCTCCTCGGCACTAAAGGTGATAACGAAAAGGTAAGCTAGATGCGATGTCCCCCAATTTGGTTATATTGCGGGCTGACTGGAAATAGCTGTACGCCACGGCAATCTTGTGAGTTCCACTTTCTGTTGTGAGATACCATTTCATATTTGTCCGTGTTATTGATGGTGATTTTCAAAATGCAGTGGAGTCGTAAAGTTTGTCGCATCAATTATCTGTGCCTTGTTCCTGGTCGATGTTATTGGGCGAAAGAGATCGTTGTCCATCGGCATCGCACTACAGGCGATTTCCATGTGCTACATTGCAGCCTTCCTGACAGCTGTGCCCAACATCGACGATAACACAGTCTTCACACCTTCTCAGAAGCATGCTTCGACAGGCGGTATTGTCATGATATACATCTCGGGCGCGGGATGGGCGTTGGGTTTCAATAGCATGCAGTATCTGCTGAATGCCGAGATCTATCCCCTCAGGATCCGTGCCGTGAGCAGCTCACTGGTCATGTGCTTCCATTTTGGTGAGCTTTCTTATCCCCAGCAGTCAGCCAGGAGTGAGTTTCGCGTTAACAAGGCGTTCGAACAGTCAACCAATACGGCAACTCACGCGCGGTGCCCAACATGCTCCTCAGCCTCAGTCCCCGGGGAACGTTCTGGTTTTTCACCGCGATCACGATCCTCGGTGGGATATGGGCATGGTTCTTCATCCCGGAGACGAGCGGTCGTAGTCTCGAGGGCATGGATGCATTGTTCCGCCTTCCCTGGTACAAGATTGGAAGATACGGACAACGGGAAGCTGACATCAGTGATCAGCTGGCGAGAGAGAGAGTGTTGGAGGAGAAGTCGGCTGTTGGGGGAAGTTCTGCCCAGGTGGAGGTGGTTCAACAGGAGAAGGTATAGAACTGCTTTCTCCCGCACGGGATCGATGTGAAGAATGGTGTTTGAAAGGCGCGAGGAATATGTACGTACCTAGAGTACAAGCGTGTTTTGATCTGCTGGTATCTATCACAGAGATCGAAAGTCGACGCCACGGGCTCCATCCACAAGGGTTAAAATCACGGTGGCCACAATACAGGAGGCGTGGCGCCATCGAGAGGGGAAATGGTGTACGGAGGTTTGGGCTGGATTCAAAATCAAGGGAAGAGATCTGACGAGAGTAAGTAATGTGATTTACTGTTAGGTCGAAGCAAGTTGAAGATATCCGTCATTCGCAAGTACACATCCTAGGTACGAGGTAGCCCATATTGTGTTTACCTTTGTGAGTCGGTGGTGCACAGGGTGGTCTACGAGGTATCCTTCAACCATGCTCAGTATCGTTGGCTGTATTTGACACAGCAGCCACTTCTTCGCCGACGTTATTGAGCCCTCTTTAGCTCCAGAATATTAGGTGCAGCGCGTTTTCTCAGTCAGATTCAGCGTGACCTGGTCAGTGGTCGGTGGTCACACCCGCCAAGATTCAGCTTGACGCCCCTAGGTCGTCAAACCAACGCAGGTACCCGGCAGGACGCCCACCAAGCCGCGACACGCACTACGGAGTACTGGGTACTCGGTACAGATTCTTACGTATCGCCACGCCTTAACCAAGTACGAGTACCGAGAAGATCTCACAGCCGTCCGCCATGGCATAGCTGAACAGAGACTCCTTACCGGCACGCAACGACCAGCCCCTCTCAGGTGTGGCTGGACACCATCCACTGGCCCAAGAAACCAGCACTCCATCCCTGCTTGATTCGGTACCCAACTACCTCGTACTCCGGACTCGTTCGGCATGGGCCTGCAAGATGCCAGACATGTGGAGGATTATGATATGACAGACACCACCGAGAGATCTCAACGAGCAGCAGGCCATCCTCTTCTCTGCCCTCACCTGCTCACCATGCTCTTGGCCCACATTTCGCTTGACTTGGATGGCAGCATGTTCCTTGTCTCAGCGCACCCAGAAAGGAAAAGTCGCTCGATCCGAGAAAACCCTCCGGGGGTGCAATGCCTGAAGATAAGGACAAGAGTGGTCAGAAGTGACAGAACCTGGATCCATTTTTGGCGCAACCGCAAAACTCATCATCCCTGAACTCCGAGTTTCTGGACGTGTTTTTTTTTTGGCGTTTCAACACACGCACGCAGCGCATTTCAAAATGATGCCCCCACATGCGACTTGCAGAACGTAATCTCCGCAAGACGGATGAGGCGTTGGTTCTGACTGAAGTTGTCGATCTCGTCGTGTCCTGGTTTCTTACTCTCCCATGGGCAGCGGAGGGAGACTCAATCAACATGAATCGGTTCAACCCCCCCTTGTCCCTTCCCCCCCTTATGCGAAGTGTCCTCTCCATCGATATCTTCTGTGATCCCTACCTTCGTCCCGCTTTATACTCGGATTCTTCCTCCATGTTCCTGGTCAGGCAAGGCTGGAATCTGCTGCGCCAACCATAGGTAGACGCCAATCAGGAGTCTCCGTCATCAGCGGCCCCGCCAGATGGAAATTATATCGATATAACATTCTGCGGTCCCCGTGGCGTGGTGCCTTCCCCCCCTCCCAATACTGGTTGAAGCAAAGAGGCCTCCCTCTCTCTCGTCTTCTTCCTCCTATCGACGTTTGACTAAGAGGAGGAAGAAAGACGATATGGGGATTCGTCCAGTCCTGGACAGGTTTTCTGCCCCGGCAAGAATACAACGGCTCAGCGTCCTCGCCTTAGCAGCGATTCTAATTGTCCTCTTCTTCCAAAGCACATTATTCCCGGTGAACTCGGCGACCTACCTTCACAGAAAAGTGTGTGGCAGTCGTCTGCGAAGCCGTTCATCTGATGCACTCTTAGCTAACGAGTCATAGGTCGACCGATCGCGGTCCGAATACTACCTACAATGGGGGCCTTTCGATCCTTTGCCGATCCCGGGGTTTGTGAACACTGGACTCCCTGGCAAGAGATCGTGCGATACTTTGAAGTACAACTCGACTGTCGGGGTGCAGAAGAGCTTCTTCCTCGATGATGATATCAAACAAATAGCTTTGACCCTCGACTCTCATCCGATGGTCGACTACCCTGACGAAATGATGAATGACCCCAAGATGGAAGCGAGTGAGATCATCGAGAAGACGTGGGCTCGCCTTTCCGGATCCAGTGTGTGGCTGCCGGAACAGAAGGTCTTCTTGTCCGTCACTCGAGTTATTTTCTGCCCTTCGAGGACTCGTTCAGTGCCAAAGATGAGCTTTCTACGAGGCCAACTCTACAACCAGGACTGGGAGCATTTGGACAATCATACGATCACCTGGGGTGGACAGCAGTTCAAGTTTCCACTGGTCTTCGACGTCCCCGCGCAATGGGAAGACGATGGGAGCTTGTATGGACCCGAAGACCCCCGGATCATTTTGGAGGACAATGTCAAAGGCGCCGAACCAGTTGTCATTTTCAACATGATCGCGAAACGAACCGAGTGGAAGCGAGCAATGTACGTCTTCCGACCTTTCTCCAACCACTCCACCGTCCTCACCATCAAGGACACCGACCGACAATCGGCCGAAAAGAACTGGGCACCATTTTTCATTCCAAACGAGCAACAGCAGACGTCGGCTGGCACGAATCCCTCCACAGCGATCGCAGCTCTGCGCCAACCCAGCGAGTACATCCATTTCGTTTACAGCTTCAAACCTCTACGGATCTTGAAGTGCCATCTCCGCTGCGGCGATTGTGAATTCGAATATGAGCAAGAGGTGCCTGACAACTTCATGACGAAACATAATGAAGAGGGCGGCAGTTTGCGTGGTGGTACCAATTTCGTGCCGGTGCCCCTGCCGTCGAGCATGAACATCGATCCCCGAGTTCGAGTATACGCAGCCTTTCCGCGGACCAATATCGAGAAGCATTGTGATGGCAGCTTTTATCGACCAGAATTTGTGGTAATGATCAATATTGGCACACAGTTCCACCTCGCTTTTGCTTCCGAGTCGCTTGACTTCGGCAACGCTATACTCGACTTGGGACCTGAGGACGACCGCTGCGACAAAGGGCGCATTCTCATTCCCAACAGTGTGGCTCAGTGGGATACGAGCAATGGCCATGATGTGATGAGTGTGACATTTAGTGTCAACGATGAGACGGTCCAGGTCGCCCGCATCGAAGGGCTGTTGGCTTTCGTTCGTAATCTGCCACAATTCAAGACGCTACTGAAAAAGGATGGTCTTCTGAAGGGTGCTGACTCGGATTTGATGGGCATCTTATCTTCCTGGGTTGGGGACGATGTACGTGGCTGCCTTGTCGAGGCCGCTCTAAACTACGCCACCGCAGCCCAGGAAATTACGCACCCGAAAGAGGGAGGGGAAGTGATGGATGTGACCAAGGAGCTCATGCTCAAGCTCAAACAGGAAGCAGACACGACCAAGCAGAAGGATGAAGAAAGCTTCAACCACGGTTTCGAACCAGGACATCTGTTTTTGGAACATCCTGCCGATGATGACGGTGCACAACCTTTCCGCTTTGAGATGTTGGGGGAGTTTTCCGACGTTGAAGGCCTGTCGGTTGAGGGTTTGGACGGCAATAGCAACAAGGATGACGAAAAGAAGGAGGCGGTCAACAAAGATGCGGAAGAGAAAGAGGAGGAGAAGGAGGACGGGAAGAAAGGAGACGGATGGAAGGATCGGAAACAGAGTACAGACGAGCAGCAGGACGAGGAGATGAAGCAAAGTGAGGAAGAGAAGGATCAAGGTATGCAAGGACAAGACACGAAGGACCAGGAAAAGCCGCCGGAAAAGCCGCCTGAGATCCAACCCAAGCCACAGCACGCTCACCACCGATATCATAACCATCAGAATCACCGCCGAATGTGGCCGTAATTATTCAATGAAGACGGAACTCTACCTTCCGATACTCATTCCAACAAGTGGCAACATGGAGCCAACCCATAAGGCTCGCCAAAGGTCATGGTCGAAGACGAGATGGCGGATTTGTCGACGGAAATAATGTGGAAGGCAACGAGCCTGCCCGAGGTTACGGGTCCTTTTCTGGTACTCCATTCCTACGCGGCTCTGCCTTTACTTGACGATGACGACCAGCAAGGCCAGGAAGCGACTTTTGGTTCTGTCCAGGCACGTCTGTGTGGATCTCTTACATTTTCCTGGAGTTGCTCCGCCAGCGCTCGGACCCTTGGCTTTTCTCTCCTTTTGCTTTCGTGTCCAGTGACGAATATTCCTTATGAAGATAGAGGGGGGAGGCCTGTTTTGGCCATGGACGGTAGGAATGACCAGAAAGACGATGGCAGGATCAGGATATGTGGAGGCGTTTTTTTTATGCATAGTACAGAGACTGAAAGTTCTTGCTCAGCGAGGAGTTCCGGAACTGGCTGGAGGACCTTTTGAAAGTTTCTAATGATGATACCAGGGTTCAATGCAGGATAATGCAAATATCTAAAGAGTTGATAGATGCCTGAGAAAGGGTGATAGCCCAAGTAGAAGATGGAGAGCATACCGAGTTCGCCTTGGAAGAAATGAAGACCTTGTCGCGATCTCTTGTCCTTTCCGTCTCTCCCGGATCCCGCCCTGTGAGGCTTGTATGCCGCATGGCATCTCCGGACAGATTGCATACACCCGGCCTTTGTTGCCCTTTGGTCCTCCAATCTGGCCCTAGTTCCCCGGGCGAGCAGCGTGGAGTTCCAGAAGAACTTTTGACCCGCGGATCCGGATATGCTATTCCAAACTCGATAGAGCTCGGATGAAGCACCAGAGCCATGTGTTTGCCCCGTTTATTCATGAGATCCTAGCTTTCCCTTTTATCGACCTCAACCAGACCCAATCTGGCCATTGCGCCGTTCATCACCCGGACCGAGTCAACACGAGTAAGCACAGCAGCTCATAGGAAGGAATCAACCAAGATGGATCGAGTGCACTGGTCATCTACTGGAGCCAAGCAACTGGGTCCCCACAAACCATTACTTCCCGACTCAAAGTCCCGAGGCGATGGTCGCTGAGGGGCGGTTCTAGGCACGCTAGAGATGTGCAAGTCTTGGGTACCGGCGATGAGTGATGGAGGAAGGACTTCAGACAAGGTCCGCTCGGAAGTATTTGCTTCCTAGGGAGGGCTAGAACTCGGCTGAACTGGAGGAGTGAGTCTAAGGGACGGATTGATGACTGCCCTTTCCTTTGGGGGTGAGAAAATGAAAGAGAAGCAAGACAAGGCGGTAAGTCAACGAGATCAAGCCTGGTTCAAGAACGCAGGCATCCAACTGTTCGTCGTGTGACAAGACAGAGAGTGAGAGAGAGTAGAGGGAGGGAGGGAGAGGCGAGAGAGGCAAGGGAGGGCTCTTGGCAAGCCCCGTCAGTTACGGACCTAACAAGTACACCAGTCTGACCAGTGCATCCTTCTGCTAACTGGTACATAACATTATCCTAACTGGTACATCACATTATCCTAACTGCGGTATCTGACTCCGTCCACGCTTCTTGTCAATCGCCGTTTCCACCCTGGTCATTGGTCCCCGCAAAAGATAGCGACCATTATTTGCCATCTTCATCTTCCTTCCCCGTCATTTCGTCTCCAGGTCTCCATCCGGGTCTCCATCGAGGTCCCACGGTTCCAGACCCTTCATCCTTTCAACCAGCCTTGTCTCCGCTGACCAGGTGCAGCATCCGGAGTGCCAGGTGTCAGGGCCAAGACGGGCCGTTGTTACTCTTTCTCTGCCAGCGTGCGTCGTTTATTCGCTGCTCCCTCCGACTCGATAGACGATGGACACGGATGCTGGACATGCCAATCAACCAACGTCTCGAGCTGCGGGACGCCATGGCGACGCAAGACTACTTAGACCCAGCCGCCCCTCCTCCCTTGGCCATGCTTTGTCTCGACGTCTCTTGATATCCTCACACTCGTCGTTCTACTTCCACATCGAATAATCCAGCATGACTTCCAAAGACCATAATGTCGAGGAGCGTCAGGCCGATCAGGCCGTCCGACAATCGCTTCAAGATGAGGTCATGAATGAGAAGGCAGCCGCCATGCATGCAGAGAACTTCCATGAAGCTGCAGAAAGAGGCCATGCTGCTACTGACAAGTAAGTCGAGCGTCTCCCTCATGCATCAAATAACCACGGCTAAATGCCCACTCCAGATATGGCCACTCCCTTGTGACATTCGATCCAAAGGCCGAAGCAAGACTGCGCTGGAAGATTGATCTCTATGTCGTGCCCACGGTCTCTCTTCTCTACCTCTTTTGCTTCATTGACCGCGCTAATATCGGTGAGGGGCACGGCATCTCGTCATAAATGATACCCTCCTAACCTCGTCCTTCCAGGTAACGCCAAGCTCGCTGGCCTCGAAAAAGACATTCACTTGACGGGTTACGATTATAACATTGTTCTCTCCACCTTCTATATCAGCTATATCCTCTTTGAGTTGCCGGCAAATATGGCCTGCAAGTACTTCGGTCCGGGATGGTTTCTCCCCGCCACCTCGCTTGCGTTTGGAATCTTTTCCATCTGTACGGCCTTCGTCCACCATATGTCTGCGGCGTGCGGCGTACGTTTCCTCCTAGGCATAGCCGAGGCCGGCATGCTTCCAGGTATTGCATATTATATGTCTCGATGTAAGTCTCTCCCTGATTGACAGACTATCTCCTCCGTAGCTAGGAGTTATTTCAAGTCCACCGTCATTCGTCCGTCCAGACTAACAGATAACGCAGGGTACCGTCGCAGTGAATTGGCATTTCGGCTATCGCTTTACATTGTCATGGCACCTCTCGCCGGAGCTTTTGGAGGTCTTTTGGCTTCTGCCATCCTAAAGCTTAGCCATTTTGGAGGCCTCCATGAATGGCGGATGATCTTTGCCATTGAAGGCATCATCACCTGTGGTCTTTCGCTCATTTCCTTCTTCACCCTGACTGACCGGCCGGAAACCGCCAGATGGCTGAGTCAAGAAGAAAAAGACCTTGCGATTGCCAGAGTCAAGTCTGAGCGTGTTGGCACGACCGAGGTGCTCGATAAGCTGGACATGCCCAAGATTCTCCGTGGTATCTCGAGCCCGGTCACCCTCGCCACATCATTCATCTTCCTTCTCGACAACATCACCGTCCAAGGGCTGGCCTTCTTCCTCCCGACCATTGTAAAGACGATCTATCCCAAGAACTCGGTCGTGTCGCAACAACTGCACACCGTCCCGCCGTATGTTGTGGGAGCCTTCTTCATCCTGCTTTTCCCCTTGCTCTCATGGCGATACGACCGTCGCAACATCTTTATCATCCTCTCGACGCCATTAATGATGGCCGGGTACATCATGTTCCTGGCTAGCACAAATGCCAACGTCCGTTATGGGGCAACATTTCTTATTGCAGCCGGAGCTTTCTCATACGGTGCGCTCTGCAATGCCCAAGTTTCGGCAAATGTCGTCTCAGATACGGCCCGCTCAGCCGCCATCGGCACGAACGTCATGTTTGGAAACGTCGGCGGATTGATTTCTACCTGGTCTTTCCTGCCCTTTGACGGGCCCAACTATCATATTGGCAACGGATTGAATTTAGCTACCTCGTCGACGATCTTGATTTCTGCAATTCTCCTGCTGTTCTGGATGTGGGCGGATAATAAGCGGAGGGAGAAGAAGGATGTCGATGCCGAGTTGGATGGCCTGTCATTGAAGCAGGTGCAGGATCTTGACTGGAAACATCCTGCCTTCAGGTGGAGGCCATGATTGGGTATGCGTCTGTATGAGGAGGCTGTGAAGCGAATGGCGCTGAGGCTGTGTTGGATGGAAAAGGGGCTAGGTTACTTCCCCCTTTCCACCGCGGGTCGCAAGGCTTGCTGATCTAGTAGCCTTAGCATACATGGTCCAAGAAACGGTCATGCATTTCTTCCCGGGCGGTGAATATCCTCGGATCATGTATTGTTGATGAGATTAGTTTCTTGTACAAAGGAAGCTCAATGTCGAGTCCATGCAAGGCCTTGGGTCGTGGTTGAGGAGAGAGCGTCCAGAACGGGGATAAATATTTATCCGGTCACCAACCGCAGATTGCCAACTCCAACAACTCGGATGTCACTCCATCGACAACAACCCTCCTCTTCTTGATCCTTCCACGGACACGCTGTTCATTTCTTCATCTGGCCCTTTGCTGTCCTTGTCCTCACGGGACTGCAATCCCCTGCGCTCCATGTGAGTCAAACCTCTAGTCCTCGATAATGCCAGCTTGTCCCGACGCGGGTAGGCTGGCGTCAATTCAGCCTCGCCAGGCTGACATGATAATCCCCCTGTGTACCTCACTTCCCAATGCTTTGATGTGACTATTTATTGTTCCGTGCTCTTGGGGACGTGGTGATCGTAGCGCATCGTCTCTGTTATCTTTGCATTACGCCCTGCTGCTGGACCTCTTCGACGAGGGATTGAGATACACCCTCGGGAGTCACGCTATTTGCCCCGCTACCCCGGTTCTAGGACTGCTCACAACCAAGCACAAATCCCGAAAGAGCACCAATTTCAACTGGTTCAATGCCGTGCTCGGCTCCTCTGTCGATGGCTTCTTCGACAGCACTTCTACCAGCAGCACGGGAAGGTTCCAGTCCAGAAACCCCCTCGCACCACTCCCTCAAAGGTCTCGCCTCCCTTCCTCCAGAAATCCACCATATGGTTGCAGAACACCTTCCGTACCCCGACTTGCTGTCGCTGAAACTCACAAATACCTACTTCGCAGCCCTGGTCGGCTCGAAACTCACGGTGAAGATGCGCATCAGCTGGGTAAAGAGCAGATATGCGCAGCATCTCCCCGTACCCAAGAGCACCAAGCTGTCCTTCAAATCGGACGCCCTGTTCGTCGCCAATCCCGAGGTTAAAACAATCCTGAGGCGGCGGAGGCATCACCTAGAATGCGCGGACCATGAGCGTGGAGGCGCCTTTGTGTTCTCCATGTTCGCTGACGTCGACCACCAAGGCCGTGGTGATACCCAACAGCCGTGGAGTAAAGTCTGTCTGGTGACGGGGAACCCAGTGTGTCCTAAAATCCAGGAACTGGAGGTCAAGAGGCAGCAGTACAAGAATAGCGTCATGGGGAAAGTGGCGGTTCCCGTGGTACGAGCGATCGGTTGGTTGAGGGGAGTATGGCGGCATCTCAGTGATCCTTGGCCGTGGATCATGGCTGGAAGGCTGCGCGCCTCCGGATTTCACCGGGCATATTTAATCACCCTGTTAGGGGCGGTCGTCGTGCTTGTCTTGATCTGGACCATTTGCTGTTGGAGTGACATCTGGGCGTCCCTCTGCATATTCGCCCAACCATATTGGCGCGCCACGATGGGAGAGCTGGGCGTTTCGGACGGATAGTGCACGAAGCGGTGGTATCTGCATGAGCCTTGAGGTTCCTTCTCGGATCAGTGATGGGGACGCTGTCCTCCTAGAATAACCCCGTGGCGTGAATGCTGGCAAGGACCATCCTGTGTTCAAAAACTGAAAAAAATCACCCTCGGTCCTTTAGGTCAAGCAGAATTCTTCGCTCTTTAATCCGTCGGTGAAAATCGCATCAGAGTCGGCCGGCAGCTCAATAACCTGGTCGAAATCCAAATCCTTCAAACCGGGATCGGGGACGGGAGTTTGTAGGAGCACGGCAGGGCCGACAAATGTATACCTCTGAGCCATTGCTTTGCGGACACAAGCGAATCGGTCGGAACCATCAAGTCGCCCGCTTGCACGGCATCCGAGGCCAAGATAAAAAAAAATTAGCTCTCACCTTGCGATAGCGAGGCTGGGAGTTCGGGTTTCCAATGTCGATCGTTGCCGTGCTGCCTTCAAAATTGCAAAGTTGTGTTGTCATTTTCAATTTGGGCCGGAATATCCCCCTCCCCATTTCCTTATTATAACTTTGTACACCGCCTTCGTAATTAGTGGGCAGGGCAAAGTCGATCTTGGAGGCGCTGTATGATATGCACTGAATGAAGCGCATGAACCGAGCCTTATTCGATCCGGATGTGGCCAATCGATCGGGCAGATCTCCTGTTCCACTTGCAAGAAAGCCCAGCTCGACTCTCCATTTCGGCGTCTTATGGTCCGCTAGGTCCCCCCACTGCTCTTTGAGCATTCTCTCTCCTACACGGGCTATTGTCACCCCAGTAACTGTCAAGCAACCTGGAAGATCGCCTTTCTGTAGCGGGTGGTACTCTCCTACTTTCCCCCTTACGCCACCATAACATGGGCGTTCGGAGTCTTTGAACGCGAGGAGCTTACATGTTCGCCAGTCAGTTACCTATGATGGCATATCTGTTACCTTTTGCGTATAAGAGCGAAAGATATGAAGAGGCAATAGACTTTGGGAATTTCGGGTGAGGTGGTGGGTGACATCCTGGTAGACTTCGGTATTTTTCTGATAGTCCACGGGATATGTTTGTTCATCACTGGCGATCACGGTGGTGAACCCCTGATGCTTGATATTGACCTGCTCCAGCATCATTCCGATCAGGGCATACACCCTATCACGCGGATCGGAAGACTCAAAGCCCACAATTTCCGATAGAATGTACATCCATCTCATCAGTTTACTATGTGGTTTGTCGAGGGGATGCCTGGGCACGGGATCTCTCAAAGCTGCCAAATTGTACGGTCAGACTTCTTGCCGCGTAGAATTCCTGGCGGATCTAGGTCCTGCTGAACCATGGCCGTTTAAGGATCTGCGAGAAAGCCATGTCGATGTGCTCGAGTTCTGCAGGACAATCCTTGTCGTGCACCACATTGAGAGACTGACGGCTCCACGTCGAACAAGCACTTAGTGCTTCTTGGTGGCCCACCACAATTGGGAGATCTCGACTATCTCCCGAGGTCGATGATGTGTTTGATGGTTTTGTTGCGAGAGTTCTCTTTTTCTATGGTCTCTTTCTCTGCTCCGATAGCGAGCAACCCATAAGTAGCACACTCTTCAACTGAAGGTAGCCCTAGCCACACGATAACGCGCTCAGCCTTCGTGAATATCAGCATCATGTCTTGAACTTGGGTCGACTTCTCTGCAATGTCGAACTGATTGATGCAAAACGCATCGATCCAGACGTGGCGGCTTCCGTGGCGGTATCGGAGACAAACGAGGGCTTCAACCATGTTCTGGGTCACAGGGACATCGGTTCCGTTGCATTTGATCATGGCCGTGGGCTCCGGATAGCCCCAACTATAAGAGAGCGCATCATAGAAAACGATGGAGGACCACGCCGGGACCACAACGCCCTCTTTGGCGATTAGGTCAACTGTCTGCAGCTCACAGTCAAGAGGATCAACGGCCTCTCCTGGATGGATGACGATAATTCTTGTTTGCCACGGGTGGATGGGCTGGTATAACTTTGAAGATACCAAGCGCCTCTCTTCGTCAGACGCAAATTTGTGGCCTTGCTGCGATACTGCCAGGGATATGGCTGGGCTGCGCGATGTTTTGATTTTTTGGAACATGCACCGAGGACAGCCCGTGAGAGACAAGCCATTGAGAGTCTGTTGTTCCATTACCGGTTGATTGATTCAATTCCGCAGCAGAGCACCGGAGCAGCGGTTCAGCTGGACTCGTAGCTTGCTTTACACAACGAGCTGGTGAGCTGCTAAGGCTCTGAATTTTCTGTAGGCACAGTGTGCCAAGGGACAAAGCCGCCAGCCTACCAGGGTATACAGATGCAGGTGGGTGCCTATCACGCCTACCACTTCCAGAGTACTGTACCTAGGTAGGCAGATTGGGCAGAGTAGGTTGGGTGTGGGTAGGTGTACCACACTCTAGACGGCTTCGGGGAGCACTCAGCAGGCAGAAGGTAGCGAACAGCCTATTTGTGTAGATAGGGTGGACGAGTCACCTTGTTCACCGTGTAGTTTATGCGTTGTATTTCCTTTGCGTTGCATTTCAAGCCTTGCCCGAATCAAGTAATCCACACTCATTTCATTGAATTCATTTATGCTTTTCCTTCTATGAAAGGGACATCTATCAAGCACTTTCAACCGTGTCAAGTCTAGCCGTGCCAATACGCCCATAGGGGTGGTTGAAAGACCCATCCGTACATCCATATCATCGTCAACTCGACAAAGTGGTGGCGGTCATGGTGGCGGTCATGATGGTGCTACCTTAATCAATCACTCCCGGCGGCAAGACCGAGATATAATCCAATGGCGCAGGCTCAATACCATCTGCCACGCCTACAATCTTCAATATATCTCCCTGCCCCACTGTAACATTGTGGAAGGTGATTCTTGTGGCAGAGTGGCCCTGCGACAATCGCTGTTAGTTTCTGCGTATCGTAAAAGCCCGCCCCGGAGTAGATAACCGCCAGGAACAAACGGATCTGCCGCGAACGAACCAAAGAGGGTTAGCACTTACATCAAGATATATGCTTGGAGCGTGACCTAGACGGTCTTCGAGGTTACCAACCCACGAACCGATCTGAACGTTGTTGAGAGATACTGTCCACTTCGACTTGCCGCCAATCATGTCGTAATAGTTCACGGCAAGGTCATAAGTGCCGTTGGGGAAGTTGAGAGTCGTTGTTGCTGTTCCAGTTGTGGCGTTTGCCGAAGTCACAATCGCGGTGACATTCGAGGCAGCTTCGAAAGGTGATACCGTGTACGGCTCATAGCCTTGAAGGGTCATGCTTTCTGCCTCTACACGCCACGGGTGGTTACCGACACGGTTCTGGCTGTCCGCAATGCCTGAGACCTTGTGGTAAAAGTTGGTGATTGCATCGCGCCACACAATGGAGTGACCTGCTTGGTATGTCAAACGGAAGAGAGTCTCGTTATACCGCTCCTGGTCGACTTTGCCCTGTAGATCTTCCCATTGCGTAACAAACGTCTGCGCAGTGTCTGCACCAGCGTAATGCGCGTCGTAGAAATGCTGGATGACAGTCTCGCCAGAGTGCAATTGTTGCGTGTAGTTAACGTGATGGAACCATAGAAGCAGATTGTCCGGTGTGGTCGAGATATTTTCGTACATGGCCGCAACTTCCACAGGATATTGTCCTGCAAAGCCTGTTCCGTTGGACACCGTGCGATCCATCCCAATGGTTTTGTGGTCTGCTCGCGTCCATTGACCCCAAGGGTTGTTGTCTTGAGATTGGGGATTAGGTCCAAAATGCGTATATAGAATGTCAGTCAGAGTTTGAATACCGAGATTGCCCGTGTAGTTTTCGTACGCTGGCCAGGACAACATGGCCATGTTAGTGATGGCAGCCAAGACAGCTGGATCAGAACCAAACGTAAGCCGAATCCAGTCCTGCAAGATATCTTCTGGATCACTCGCAAAATCCCACGCTAAACGCCCATAACCATACAAATTTGACATGGAAAGATGGCTTCCCAACCAGGTGTCATTAGTTCCGACATTGACGACAGCGGCTGCGCCACCGAGAGGTCTGTTAAAGCGCCTCCCGGTGACTATATCGCGCACGAGGGATTGTGTATGGTTCGCTCGCATGTCGAAATCCAGGACTGTCTTCCATAGAGGGGGCAGGTAAACCAAGTGACATTGCTGTCCTAAATACTCTTGTGTGACCTCTAGCTCAATCGCCGTGCTCGTATTTCGCAGGTAGGCAAAGAGAGGCGAAGCAGGCTCACGTACTTGGAAATCAATTGGTCCGTATTTGATCTGCACAACGGCATTCTCTGCAAATTTGCCATCGAGACCAGTGAAAAAGTCGACTGCAGCGTTCGCGCGGTCCTCTGTCCATACCGATTCATTCAGATTGACACTGTCGTAGACGAACGCGCGAAACATGAGGATTCCGCCGTGAGGCTGTAGAGCGTTGGCGAAAAGATTTGCCCCTTGGGCCAGTGTACGATTGTAGGTGATTGGTCCTGGCTGACCTTCAGAGTTGGCCTTGACCAGGTATCCTGCCATATCAGGAACGCGTTCGTAGAGAGTATCAGTAACATTAGTCCACCATGTTATGACATCCGGATCTAGTGGGTCGAATGTGCTGAGATTGCCATAGACCAGGTTAGCCGTCGGGGAGGCAAAGTTTAGAGCGATGCCAACTTGAACCCCGTATGGGCGGAACGTGTCTGCGATTCTTCCGAGCCCTTCCACATTCTCAGGACTCAGAAGAGACGCATTGGCATTGACATTGTTGACAATGATCCCGTTGATGCCTATCGAAGCCAGGAGGCGCCCGTAATCTGAAACTCGATTCAGATTGTTGACGACCGTGCCATTTGTGAAGAAAATCGAAGGCCCGCCGTATCCTCTTTCGATAGACCCATCCAAATTGTCCCCTGCTTTCTGGTTAGCACCGGAGAATTATTGTACGAGAAGAGACGGAACTTTTGAAAAAGGCTTCTCTAATGCTGGTAGAGGACCCCAAGGACACTTACATTGATTCACCCATCGAATCGGCGCGTCCGGGTTGGAAGCGTATGCGACGCTGGAGAAGTTGCCTTGTGCAAGCATTGAAAGATATTGGAAGGCACCATAGAGAGCACCTCGTTCGTTGTGGCCAAGGATTTGAATCGTCGAGCCCGTAGCATTGAGCCAGAAACCGTCGTCCACGAGTCTGGGGATATGTGGAGCACCACCAAAGGTGTTTGCGTATTCTGCGACGGTACCGACGAGGATTGATGACGTGGTGTTGCCTGGCTGGTAACTGACTGGATAGATGACCGTGAGATTATGATCCAGGATGCCTGCAAGGCCTTTCTGCAGCTCCACGGCAGCAATATGCACAGGTCCATTTGCTGTAGCATTCAGAGCAATAATATTTGAAGGTAGACTCTGACTAAATTCGGGAGTAGAAACGGGTGCATAGCGTAGCCAGGCGTTGATGCCCGTTTCAGCAGCGGCGAGGCTTGCGGCCACGAGCAGAAGGGATGAGCGCATCGTGCTGGACTTTTTGGCGATGCAGCTTGCGCACCTACTTACTGGGCATCCTCCAACTCATATATACTTACAAAACAGCAGAATAGCCGGCACTTTCACCAGCGCCTCCCATTTTGGGCTTCAAGGCTTCCCCATACCCCAGGACCAACGACTAACCTTGATTTGAGCTTCTCCGCAGAACCACTCGCGTCCTTGATTGGTTGCATAAATTCGATCAGCCCTGAAGATGTCTTGAACAGGGAAATGATATACTGCTCGGTCCGTTTATGCCGACAAGGACACGCAGGCATTGCTCCCGGGAGGGGTGACATCAAAGCATCGGCTAAACCTCGACCAGCGAATTCAGGCTGAATAGACTGATAGAAAGCGGAGGAAGGAGGTCAATGAGAGAAGATAGTCCATATTGACGGCTTTCTCTCCTTTACGAGCCAGGAGATAGAGCAGAGTACAGATACGTGGAAAATAGATGGGTTGAGGAGTCGAGTGAAAGTTGAAGCCGTCAGAACGGGAGGATTCTCGAAGGCGTTGCGTGGGTAGTTGTATACTGCGCCGTAAAATGACTAGTCATCAATAGGGCGGAGCATGGCAAGAGCATGCTCGCATGGTCACGTCACATGCTCTTTCCTTCGCCTCGCAGCCTCGCAGGATGTGCTTCTTGAACCACTCCGTCGTCGAATGGGCCAGATCTACTGAAGGGCGAATGAAACAATAGCTTGACTCAGATAATGGGGATCTCGCACTCCTCACCCCAACTTTATCTTCAAGTCGACGGCTACGGCGGCCATTTTGGAGTCCGTGAAGTCTCGGTGTCGGACGAGGATATGAAAAGGACGAAAGACAACACAGCGGTCTCGCCTCCTTGCAGATGGCGTCGCATCTTGCATGGCCGTCTTCGGAAAATATGGATTTTTTTTTCTGGTTTCCTAAGCCGTAGGACCTTGGAAAGAGGTGTTCAAGGCCTTCTATCATGAAGCAGGCCTTTTCCCTAGCATGCAACCTTCGCGAACCCTGGGTAGAGAATGCACCAGCGACGAGATTCCAACTACATCCAGTCCTAGGGACCCATATGTCAACCTGCGATTCACGGGTCTAGAGGACGCATGTTCTGCGGCACTAACTCGACAATATATCCATCCTGAGATCACGCCGTCAGTCACGTCGACATGTTGGGGCTTGATCAAGGCAGAAGCCGGACTCACCGGATCTTTCACAAATGCAATCTTCTCGAAGACCTTCCTATACTCGTCATGGATCTCGCTCTCGGTACCCTTGATTTCGACACCTATGCCGCGCTCGTTCTCCCAATCACTGATCGGAATGCTCTGTCTCGTGCAGACGCCCAAATCCTTCAATACCTCGACTCCATTCTCTCTCATTCGCTTCAGAGCCTCGGGCACGCTTGGCACGGTGAATCCGAGATGACCAAATCCGAGATGCCCAGGTTCATTTCCCGTCGAATAGTACCCGGGATCCTGTTTCTCTGAACCATGGACATGATACAGCTCCAATAATCCCAAGGTATGTTGAAGGTTAGCAGCGGTGTCGGCGCCAAATTTCATCAGATCTGCCCGATGTTCGTCGGCCTGAGGGTATCCGAGGTAATATATCGTGAATGGACCGACATTCATGGTGAAAACGGTCCGCATACCCATGACGTCGACATAGAAGGGGATGGATTTTGCCGGATCCCGGATACGCAGCATGAAGTGGTTCAGCTTATAACCAATGGTGGGATGGTTGGGAGGAAGGGGAGGATCACGCTGTTGGTTGTCGAATTGGCCATTTGGCAGAAAAGCGCCATGGGGGAAAGGAGTGGGTTGTTTTTGGTCTGAAGGGGATGCCATGGTGCTTTATCCACGACGTGTGTCTCAAAGCAGGTGTAGCAAATACAGAAGGGTAGATCCAGGAGGCGCCACTTGCCGAACCACTTCGTTATGATGGCGATGTATGTGGGAAAGAAACGACCGACAGAAGGATATCTGGATGTTAGAGGAACCTCCTACTCGCACCGCTGAGCAGTGAGCACTATTATTATATACATCTTTTAACAAGTCTGAATGGCTCGCCCACATTATACACGTGCATAGGCGCCCGAAAATGTAGTCTTTGTAACTACCGAAATCCACTTTGGACGCCATCTTTGGGCCCGGGATAGACCCATTCTGCAACCCCATATTCTGTACCTCGTACTCTGTACTCCATCCTGTTCATGTTACCCTGGCTTTGCGGGGCGAATCCGGTGGGTTTAAGAGGAAGACCGGGGACAATGCCGGTAGACAACCTGGTGGTGCTCGCGGGTAAGGTCTTCTATACAAACAGACCAAGCCAGATCATGCCGGATGAAACGCCCTTCACCCGGAGAAGCTGCTTGGACTTGGAAGAAGATACGCTAATACTTCCTTCACAGTCACATTTCCCCAGATGATAAGTTCATTGAAGATCTTCCATCACTTGGAAGCCATTTGCCTTTCTAATATACTATCACACAACCAGCGCTCATAGCTTCCATCCTATTCGACATCATCTCCATACTCCTGTTTAACGAAATCCACCACTTCCCTCCCCTCGTTCAGCAATGACCCTGCTCAAAGTCCCTGCAAACCGAGTGACACGATCGGCGTCAAACTTCGCCGTCTCAATTGCCTGTAGAACATGCTTGATGCCCACTCCCACGACCTCACTACGTGTAATATCCCGGATCTCCGCTATCGCCCTTGATGCCTCGCCGGCTTCGAACGCTTTGGATTCATTCATGACGAATTCTAGTTCGTCGTAAGTGCGCACATTGGCGACGGGTACGTCGCTGTTAAAGTGCCGCCAGAAATCCAGCTGTTGCAGGACCGAGCGTTCCGTTGCAGTCACAATTATAAGTAGACTTCGGCCCGGCGGAGGAGCTTTGCGCAATAGCGCTACCAAGGTTTTCAATATGGGGTTGGAAAATCGAGGGCCGATGGGCGTCCACTCGGTGTATTCTTCAATATCGTCCAGGACCACACAAGACATCGGCGATTTGTATGCATCCATGAATACCTTGCTCAGGTATGAGATTTTCTGGGATTCGGACATTTCCAACGTATCCTTGTTGCTGATCAATTTGATGAACGGGTATCCGCTGTCAATGGCGATCTTGGCTGCAAGGGCCGTCTTCCCGCAACCAGGGGGCCCGTGGAGGCACACCGAGAACAGTGGCGTAGATTCAGGGTTGCGCACCTGTTCCACAAAGAGTTTCCCTTCGTCCAGCACGTCCTTGATATACTGAGAAAAGTGAATGACACCTCCCCGGAGGCAATACGAAAGCTCCTCTTCAGACACTCCAAAGGCCGGCTTCACTTCTTCCAGAGCGTTTTGGAAGTCTGCACGCTTCACTTTCATGTCTGCCACGTCATCAGTGATGCCCGCCATCGTTCCCACCTTAATATGTCGCGAAAAGGCAAACGACGTGGCCGATTTGACCAAACCGCCAATCTCGGCACCTGAAAAGTTCTTGGTCTTGTGGGCGAGTTCCAGGAGATCGACGTCCGGGTCGAGCACCTGGTTGTCACGCATCTTTTGCGTGTGGATCTTCAGAATTTGCGCTCGGCCATGTTCGTCCGGTAGGGCGATTTCCATGTGTAGCTCAAGACGTCCGGGACGCAGAAGAGCATCATCAATCATATCTTTCCGGTTCGTCATGCCGATCAGGAGGATGTTGTTTAACTGATCTACGCCATCGAGCTTGGAGAGTAGCTGGTTGACCACACTGTCTCCTACTCCTGTGCCACCGCCGGCCCCGCTGCCTCTTTGCTTACAGACAGCATCCAATTCATCAAAAATGATGATATGAAGGCCGGATTCGTCTCCCTTTTCTTTATATTCCTTTTCCGCATCGGCGAAAAGTTTCCGGATATTTTCTTCCGACTGGCCGACATACTTGTTCAGCACTTCAGGACCGTTAATGACTTTTGGTTCTCTCGCATTGAGCATTTTGCCAATTTGTCGTGCAATCAATGTTTTGCCCGTGCCCGGAGGACCGTATAGTAAGATGCCCTTCACGTGCTGGATACCTAGCTTCTCCACAAGCCCAGGAGGGAAGACGCGCGAGGCGAATGCCCTTCGGAAGATGGTAACGAACTCGGCATCCAGACCACCGATGCCCATATCCTCAAATTTAAAGTCGGGAGCAATGATAGAATTGGCTGCAGGCCGACGGGAGGATGCCTTCAGATTTATAGGCGTCTTCCCATCCTTGAAAAAGTTGATTTGGGTTTGCGGTGTTAAAATGCCTCGCGCATGAGGATCAGACGTGGTGGGTGCAGACTTCTCACTCAAGTCTGCCAGTTGTACTGTCTTGACTGTGAGGTTCAGGGGAATGCTTCTGAGGTCCATGAGGAATCGCTGACCCGGGGCGAACATTTGGCTGTTGAACAACTATGAGCAAAGTTAGTACAAGACCACCAATGAGGCACTTTTGAGCATACTTTGGTAATCTCTCTGGCTAGATCATCCTGATCGTATGGTGTGTCTGTGGTTTTCCGCGTACTGGCAAAGCCGATTTCAACATCCATTGAGCCAATGTATGCCTGGGCCCCTTGGCTGAATGGGTCATAGACTTCTGCCTGTAGTAGATCTGTCAAGGCTACACCCATCCAAGACCGTTGAGGTTCTGAGAGACCAATAGTGCCTCGTGGAAACACATCGAGAGGTCGAGCTGAGACGACATACATGCCGTTGATAAGCAGGAAGACGTCGGTGCCATCGTAAGAAGGAGGAACGTCCTGCGAGGAAACTGCTACGAGGTTGCGGAAGGTATACGAATTGTCTGGGGATTTTGCAGGTTGTAAGGTCATGACAGCACCCCGACCTCTTGCAGGGGCGCCTCGACTGGGGCTCTGCCGGTGGCCCATCGGACGTGGAGGCATGTTTCTCGTAGGCAGTCCAGGACTGCCATATCCTGGTCGAGGAGAGTCGTAACCATTCATGTGTGTGTCGTAGCCGCCGCTGGCGGCTGGAGGATAAGAAGGGCGCCCTCCTCGATTCGGGGGTGATTGCTGGCCATATGGGTCGCGCTGAGGAGGTTGCCCAGAGCCAAACAAGTTGTTTCTGTTGAGAAAGGACATGGTTGGAACGAGGGAAGAAGGCGAAATGCGTTGACAGGACGTCAAAAGCTGGATAGAGAGGACAGATCGATTTGGCCACAGGCACCAAAGTCGCGAAGTAATTGCACTTGTCAAGAACAGGCACGGCGGCTCTAAGAGTGTTTCAAGACCCCAAGGGCCAAAACTGCGCTGCCTCTGAGGCATCGGCGTTGAAGATGACATCCTGGACAACCAACTACTCCGTGTCCCGAAGTTTCGCCGCCTAGCCCGCAATCTGGTGGCGGTGGTGGCGGCAGAGTGGCCTCAGCCTTGCAGCCTTGATCAGTCTTGTCTAGATTTCTTCCCCGCAGTCAATTGTCGCTCGAACACGCACACCTCCTGGACTAGCATGATCGGACCATGCCTCTCCATCTCCTCAGCAAGAAATCGTGGAACGTCTACTCCCCTGCGAACATCGAGCGTGTCAAGCGTGATGAAGCCAAAGCCCGCCGTCGAGCCACCGAACAAGAAAAGCGCAGTCTGAAGCAGGAGGCGGGTGATCGACTGTCTACTTTACAACAACAGAGCAAGAACCAGAGCAGAAGCTTGAAACGCAAGCTGCCGGGAGAAGATGATACGGATCGCGATATTCGACTTGCCCTGGAAAATTCACCCGTGTCCGCCAACAAAGAGAAGCAAGACTACGGTTCCCTCGTTGATGCGCATGGGCATATCTCTCTAATACCTGCACCCGAGAAACGATCTTGCGTCGATCAAGAAGAAGCAAAAGATCCGTACACCGTCTACCTCACCGACGCCACTGGCAAAAGAGATCGATCTAAAGACACGTGGTATACGTCTATCCAGCTAGACCGAGAAAAATGGGGTGAGGATAACCCCCGGAAACAGGAACGAGAACTCGCACGGCTCAATGCAAACGACCCTCTCGCGGCCATGAAGAGAGGGGTCAAAGCTCTCAGGGAGAATGAGAGACAGAGACAGGAGTGGATGAGGGAGCGCGAAAGGGATCTAGAAGAGGTCGAAGAGATGGGGAAGCAAAGACACGACAGAAAGCGCAGAAAGAGAGCAGGCCATAATGAAGACGACTCGGAGAGCCTGGAAGGGTTCAATCTAGATGATGGACACGCGAAATTGGAAGTTACTGAGCATCATCGGGATGGAAAGGGCGAAAATCGACATGGGCATCACCATAGCCACCACCACCATCATCATCATCGGCATAGACGATGGCATCGAGATTACGAAGCTATAGAAGATAGCCAGGACCATCACAAAAGGCATGGACACCATGGAGGAGACGATACCAACAGAGCCAAGAGCAGAGAAACCGAGGAAACCTGATGGAGTCAAGACGTTTCAATGCAGAGTTAATACTCTACTTCCGCTACCCAAGTTCTACCGGCAGGTCTGCATGCTGAATGCTTAAATACTTCTAAGGATTTTGAAAGCAGAAGGGGAGCCCGAATATTCGGGAAATTCATTGGTGTGGTGGACGACACTGTGAAGCAGTCACCCGCTAAGTCGTAATCACTGGCATCCTCCACGTCACCTGGATCACTCAACATCAATCGTGAGCGTGGGAACTCTCGTCTGCTGATGGAGAGAGAGGGGCCAACAGTCCTTTGTGAATATCATATCACACAGGGGTTCACATGAATATCTGGCTGTCGCTGAGCTGCTCTCACAGCTGATGCACGCCTCACACATCACGGCCATCACGTTCTCGATGGGATCGAACACCCCAGAATGTCTAAGGAGAGATGCACTCGCCTCTGCATCCCCTACAGCGCTACAGTGCCTAAGCACAAAGCTCACCCACCGTAAGCACTGTCCACACTGCATGGTCTTTTCTTGCTTAATATACCATCAACCCAAGACCAAGGCAACCAACGGTTTGACGCTGAGACACACCGTGTACTTAATGAAGGGAAGAGTGTCGAAGGATGACAGAGTGCTCGTTGTTCTGAATAGAGCTATCTGTATCACCGAGATATGGGGAGGAAGCAAGACCAGAATGCGTACCACGAAGTTGTCTTTCAATGCGGCCATGGCTCTGTCGCCCTTGGTGAGTCAATCGAAGAAGCCATATTCAATACCATGCATATGCTCAAAATCCCCAGAGTTCAAGCGAGTGTCGTAGAGAGAAGCGAGTGTTTTTTGGTTCAAGCGATCCATTCTCTGAATGCCGAGGACATCCAGGCTTGCAGGCGATGGACAGGGACTGAGTGATAGAGACCTTGCCGTTGGGGATGGCAGAGATCAGGAAGAACACGGCTTGATATTAAAACCCTGTCTTCTATGCCCATCCTTTTCCCAGATCCTTTCTCAATTGCTCTGGAAACAGAGTCAACACCTGCGCAATATGATCTGATGGGGAGCCAAGGTTGGGGTTTCTCGTGGCTGGGCGAGCTTCAGGCTCCGCGGATGGCCTTCTCAACGTTCCGCGCCACCTCTCAGCGCGTTGGTACAGGTTATCATGATATATATTTTTTATCATGGCCTCCAAAGCCGACACTGAGTTCTCTTCGATATTGTCGTCGTCCGGGCTGGGCTTCATTTTCCTTTTTTTTTTTTCTACCAGTATCCGCTCGAAAACCTCCAAAATATGCTTCAATGCGCTTGGATTGTCGTAATAACTGAATGTGCCGGCTTCAACCTCTGGGAGGAAGGATATTGAACAACATCTGGACACTGACCTTGTATATGCGCGACTCTGTACTGTAACTGCAATAGCGGCGGATGGCCTGGTGCCAGCTCCTGACATATAGCCGTTGCCGCTGGGCATCGGATTCTGTCCATTCCTTTGACGAGAATGTAGTAATCGAATCTAACAACCCTCTGGCGTGCGTTAGTAAGTGGACGATGGGCATGTCGCATCCCGTGTCCTGCACAGCACTGGTTCCCTTAGTCAATGGGTCGTTGGACGGAGAGTCTTCGATGAGGACGGCGTTCGCGTAAGACACACAATCGAACTGCCCGCCCGATTGGCACCATAATGTCTAATGTGGACTGATTACGGCCGGCTGGCGACGCCTTGAGCTCCTCCCACAGCCGTGATGCCGCTCTTACGTGGATCTTCGCCACCGAATAATTCCCCTACATGTTCTCACATATCCAGGCGACCTAGCACGCGACTGTCAGGGAAAGCTTGTTGGGCGCCTTTGCAATACGTTCAAGCTCGTTCATGCAGCTCGAGCGCGCAACCAACCACAGAGCGAATCAAGATGCTTCCACCCCATGACAGCGCCAATCTATTATTGCCGCGGCCAGACAAGAAACCCTGCTGATCGTGGGAACATCAAGATAAACAAGATCAGCAGAACCAGCCCGCCGTCAAGCCGTCAAACCACTACTGCGTATCCTCAAACACCGATCGACGACTATATGCTTGTCATGATACCACCGCTTTAACCACCGTTGTCCAGGACGTGCAGAAACATCTGCATACGCGGTGATCCGATTCATTGGTTAAGACAGTAGCACCAGAAGATGGGATATATATGTCCGTGGTCCTTTGGGGTTTCCATCTTCAGGGCAACCTGTCAAACCCTCGCTCACCGTCTAAGGCCAGAAACAGCGGAACTCGTCAGCCCGATGTGACGACCTCATTCGGGTCGTGCGTCCTCAGATTACCTACGATTTACTTTCCTCTCAGGGGCACCTCTCTAAACGCCATGGTTGATCCCTATGCTCTGATTAATTACAGGATAGCACAGAATTATCAGCCCCAATGTACGGATGTAGGTAGGGTAGGTCTCTCACCACAAGGCGTCCTTGTCACCAGCTGAAGACTCGAGCTGAAGACATGCTCCGAAGGCAAAGGGCCTGGTCAGAAATGCTTGTTTTCCAATTGAGTTATGCAATTATGTTATTATTAATTATATAACTTAAAGCACACGACGCGATGCAAGATTACAATCACGGAAATAAAGCAGATGGAAGCTCAGCAGTGCGATCTATACCGCCCATCTGTCCTGTCCTACCCTGTCCTATCCTATCCTGCTTTTCTCATGAGAACACCGCCAGTATCGATGCTTGTTTCCATTCCTGTCGTCGCCCAGCTCCACCACATCATCTTCACAAGAAAAAATAGTGAGGTTGTCCGTCCTCATCAAACCGGACGTGCCAGCAAGGTTCGACGTTGTTGTGGTTATTGTCGTCATCGTCGTCGTCGTCGTTGTTGCCTGCCGGTGACGTCTGGTAGTACTGAGGGCTCGACCTTAGACGACCGCCCGCCCAACCCTGGCCCGGGCTGTGCTTGATTTGGAGGGGAGTGGGCTTCGACGTTGCCCTCGGCAGCCGAGTCTGTTGCATCGCACACTTCGGTGTCGAAGGCAAATTTCCGGCTGCGAGGCGTGCCGCGTAGTTGGTGTACCACCACGAGGCGGTCTGGCGCGGTGAGGTTTCATTCAAGCCATCATACCCCTCGTCGTCGTCGGGGTGGACCATATCCTCGTAGTCTGGGAGGGGACTTTCTTCCTCCTCGTGCTGCTTTTGGACAAAATCCTCGACATTATCGGGCCCGTCATCGTCACCGTCCTCCTCCCCAAACCCATACCAGTCTTCGCGTTCGTCCTCAGGAGTGGAGGAGTAGAGTCTCTGTCCCGAAGAATCATAGTGTAGCTCGGTTTCGTGACGTGAGTCGTACCCGGTATTGTCGGGCAATTGCTCGTTAGCTCCCGTTTCCGCTTTTATGCCGCTGGTGGTTCTGGCACGCTTAAAGGTGCTCGCGCGTGTCCAGACTTCATTGCAGACCTCTTGAACGTCCTCATCGACGTGATCCAAGGTTCTCTTTTGTCCCGCTCCCACCTTTCCTATACCTGCGCGCCCCTTAATATTCAAATGCTTCACTCCAGGATTTGTCACCTCTCCCTCCAGGTTATGATATTGCACCACTTTCCATCCTTGAAGGAGCCGGATCTGCTCTTGTAGTTCCGCAATTTGCTGCCTCATCTTTTGGTGCTCGTCCAGCAATTCTGCCTCTCTCCTCTGCCAATAGTCCCGTATCCCATCGGGGTCATCTGCCTGCAATAAGAGCTCTTGGTACCAAGCAAGCAGGTCCCTCATTGTTGCAATTTCTTGCTGGTACGGGGAGACGATCGTGGAATGGAGATCCTGCTTGGTTTTCTCTTGATAGAAGAGCTCCATGTCGTTGAAAATCTCGCGCAGCTTAGCCTGCACGGACGGAGTTTGGTAGAAAAACGGAGGCCCGTCATCACTACGAGATCGTTGAGAAGCGAAAGGGGTGCCAGGATCGGACTTCAGAAAATAGGTCTGAGGCAGGCAGTGATTGGGACTGTGTTTCGGTAGATCTGGAAGAAGCTCAGGATCAAGTTCAGTATCGGCACTTGGAGCCCTGTTGAAATGTGGCCGGTCGTCCCATGCAACCCATATCGATGGCGTTGAAGAAAGGGTTAACCCAGGCCCAAGAGTTGGCTTTAACTTGATAGAGGTGCAATCTGCTCCCTCTCTGACCTGTCTGGTCGAGAACGCAGCAGATCCCTCAATCTCCCAAGTTTGACCCTCTGAGTCCCTAACCCACATTTCAACGAAGGCGTGATTGTCGTTGGTTGAGCGTGCATAGTTTTCCAGTACGAGCGTCGGGAATTTGAATTCGTACCGACCGACACCCGCCTTAATGTCGATGAACAATTGTCCCGGGCGTGGGTCTTTTTCTGTGGCAACCTTGAGTTGGGCCGATGAGGATTGAGGGCCATCTTGTGCACCACCGTTCACAGGAGATTGGCAGTCTCTTCTCTGGTTGCCGCCGCCCCTACCGTCTTCGTTACTCCTGTCTCTTTTGTCCTCAGTATTTCTGGCGTCGGAGTCACCCCCAGCATCACCCACAGTATTACCACCGCTCGGAGCGTCCACCTGGTCACCATCAACGCTATCTTCCTCATTTTGGACGATCCTCTCATACAGGAGCATATAGGGGGTGTAGCCACCCTTGTGGTTGAGAATGTCTTTGAAAGAGATCTTCTTCACCCTTAGTGCATCGTTGAAAACGTGCCAAATTTCTCCTCGGCGAACGTAACAGACGTAATGACCTCGATCTTTGTCACCTTGGTGGTTCACGATGGCCTTGAGCTGGTAATTGGCCGACATTTTGGCCGGTTCGCCTCGCCTCTCGAGAAAAGGGGTCAGATCTAGCTCCTCCGGAATGTCTACCTGTGTGGCGTCCTTTCCGTACATCACGTTGCCTCTTCTGTCCTTCATCAGCTTGAAGCGTGCGAGCTGGACAAAGAGAACCTCGGGCGTGGAGTAGATCTTCTTCCAGTGATTCCTCTTTGCGCCATCTTGATTTTCTGAGTCGAGCCCTACTCCTTGACGTCCGCAATCACTGCAGAGCCATTCAATATCGTTTTTTGAATTCTTCGCAAGGCAGTCTTCCAACCTCACCGGAACATCGCTATTGGGTGTAGCTGCCAGCGGAAGCGACAATATATTATCTATAATGGGGGACGAGAAACGGGTTTTGACGTTGCGCCGGGAGCCGCATTGCATGCACCGGACACGCTGCGTTTGCGTGACTCGTAACAGCTCATATATGTTTAGGTCATGCAGGTTCGCAACTCTGATCAAGGTAGTCTCTTCCATTCTATTCTTACAATCAGCTCAGTATAGATGTATTGAATGTGACTAGGCAAGACTCACCTGTGTGCGTGTCGGCCAACCCACTCCTGGATGAAGTATCGGAGCTGGTCAACACTGAGTGTGATTAACCAGCCCAGGAATTCGGAAGCACACTGGTCTTCTCCGGCTTCTTTCATTTTCGTCCTGAACATGTCGCCCGCAAGAGCGATTCTCTCCTGATCGCGCTGCGGATCTGTAACGTAGTTCCAAAAGATTTCCATAGCAGCATTGAGGGTCTTCCGTGTATTGTGGCTTTCATCCCAATAGACTCTGCTCAGCTCGAACAATTCACACCACACGTCGGTGTAATTGGTGAGAAACAATGTCTCAGTGTCGTCGTCAATTTGATCATCCCTGCTTTTTAGGCCAATTAATGCGTCGATGTGGGGTTTGCTGTAAGTTTTGACTCTCAACCCTGCTCCCGTCAGGTTGGGAATGTGCCGATTTTCAATCCAGGACATAAATCTGTTGCTGTGTAGTAACATGACTATGGTGGCATTGCGATAGCAAAGGTGGCCTGGATTCTTGAACCCATTTCCAACATCTGAACGTATTATTGACCTCGCTGCCACTATGGCCTCCCTTGGCGCCCTCAAAGGCGGGTGGAATTCGGGTCCATCCGACGTGGTCGGACTGGCTCCCACAGAAGGATCTACTGCCGACCTCTGCGCGTCCTCAGCCTCGCTCGGAGGAGCCGAGTTTTCTTTGTCACAGCCCTTTGCTTTTGACGTTTGCTTGCCTTTCGATCGACCATTCCCTGATGCTTTGGTTTTCGGTCTTGTTTCCCTCGGTGCTTCACGTTTCGGTAGAGTCTTCTGCTCGGCCTCATGTTTGGACTGACTTTTAGCTGGTGTTTTACTTTTCGGTGAATTCTTCGGCAGTGCTTTGCTTCTCGCTTGACCTTGCGCTGCCACCTTCTGGGGTCCATTGCTGGCACTAGCCTGCGCAGGTCCACCAGGTCGTGATCGTGCTTGGGCTCTTGTCGCCACCATGATGAAGTATAGACAGCAGGTTTTGCAGAATCGAATTGACAAACACTGAACAAGGGATAGGCGCGAGGAGGGGGTCGGAGAATAAGAAGGAAAAGAAGTGACACGCTGGAACAAAGAACAATGGTGGGAACTGCGCAAGTGAAGTCGAAGCACTGTCCGGCACGTTTGCGGACATAGTTGAATGGGTGCGGCATGGTGAACAATGGGCGCTTCGAGAATGGAATAGACCAAAAGACCAACAACAGCCGAAACGGGACATGTCGCTGCAACAATGGGCCGAAGATGAATGTAGCATGGCGCTGCGTGCAGAAGAGAAGAACAAAGTTGAACCACAATGAGAGTGTTCCAGGTGTTGTTGTTCATCACGTTGAGAGGCCGCCCAGAGGAGTCAAACACAATCACGTGACGCTCTGCAAACAACAAGCCTGTGTATGGCATTGGGCTCCTCGAGAAGTTCCTAGGCTGGAAACTTCTGTTTTCATAATTATGGAATAAAGACAATCGAGTCGTATCGGTCTTGTCGCTAAAAAACACGGAAATTAGTTTTTTGCGGTTTCTGTCGGTCCTGTGGTCGAAATTTTCAAGAGGATATCACAGACTTCTGGGATTTCCCATTGCCAAAAAAGCGTCTCCAGTCTTCTGAGTTGCGATGATTCCCCTCAACTTTGAAAGCTGCAATTCCAGATCCATTGTTCGGTGGAGAGTGTAAGGGTACGGGTGCTTGTGATGCTGCCGCAGGCTTCTCTACTGCAAGCTTCTCGGATGCCACCAAGTCCACAGACGACGCTGTACTCCTTAGTATTACCATATTCTCCAACTTATTCGTTCGCCGTCCTATTCGTAGATAGAAGAGACTGGCGGCTATCAAGGCGCAAATGCCGAGAATCACGCCAATGGCAATACCAGCTTTGGCGCCATTACCCAGTCCAGCAGAAGTAGAGGTTGAGGCGACGGCTGTCTCGGCTGCTGCAGATGCCGCAGATGAGGACATAACGGTGGGCCCCATCGCTGCGGGAGTCTGCGCAGAGCCCTGCGGGCTCTGTGTCGCTGGTGTTGGGGTTGACGCTGTTCGTGTAGCGGCCAAAGCGTAGGTCGTGGCAATGCCTTGGGTGCTGATCATGGTGAACCCAGCCGCGGTAGTAGAGTCTGTCTTGTTCTGGGAATCACAGAGCATGAAGTTGCAATAGGTAGGGAACTGGGGAATTTTCATCCCCGCTTGGATTGGCGCAATGGCATACGTGCCACTGGATTGGACTGGAATATCCAATCAACGTCTTCTCCTTATCCTGGTCGGGTTCAGCAAGCTTACTCTGGTTTATATCGGCCAATGCGAACTCATGCGAGCCTGGACTCATCTCACAAAATATCGACAGGTCCACACTCTTGAAATCCGTCCGGTAGCTGACTTGGATCACATCAATATTGTTCAAGGTCAACGGCTCCGTTGGATACAGAAAGGTCGCATGCGGCGCCATATCCGTGTTTGTGGTTGTGGCTGTTGCAGTGACTCTGCTTGAAGAGGTTGTCAATGTGTCGGTGATCGGTATATCGGTTGTGGACGAGATTAAAATCGCGCTCGCTGTTCCCGGTCCAGCGTCGCCGGTGAAGTCAGGACGAGGGTGCATCTGCGCCGCACGCCGGATATGATACACCAAATCTTGTTGTAACATTTAGAGGACAGCGACCGGTCAATGATCGAAATCGCAGTTTGAACTTTCGTGGCCGTTCACCCACATAGTCCCTGATGGATTGACATACACAGGGATCGCTTGGTAAGAGAGGGGTGTCTCATGTTAACGGCATTCCTGGCTTTTGACAGATTTCCGGCACCGGCAAGTCCACGACAAAGTTTCAGAAATGGAAAGGGCCTAGTGATTATTGACGCTGCAGAGGAATGGGAGACACCAGGGCACAGGAGAACAAGCCATCGTCCCGATCTGGAGAGTACGGCTATCGAGGGAGCTAGGGTTCGAGACATTGGTCGGATGGCGCAGAATTTTGGCGAAATTGCAGCCATCTGGCATCACCAGCCCATATCCCAAGTGGAGCTGCCATACAGTCACTCTGGTCGCTAGTCAACATGTGGATCTCACCGATATCATGGTAGAGTCCCCCGTACTCATCAGCAATCACCGGTTGTCATGAGGGCGAGGTGAAAAGCGTGAAATCTGAAGAGGTGGAAGAGGGAGTGAGGGTGAACTGGAGGAGAGAAGGAAGCGTTCCGGTTGTACCCAGTACATCGTATGGAGGATGAGTGTGGGGAGCTTCAAGTGGGAATTGTCGCGACTGACTGCCTGCCTCCCCACATACCTAGTAAGTAGGTACGTAAGTATATGTACCTACGTAGAACCTTGTACCTAAACCGCGTGACTTAGGCACCCCAGCACATCCTTAGCCGGTGCTATTTACCTTGCTGCCGCCCGCCCGGGCCCCCCTCCAACCGGGCTCCCCTTTTGGTACCTGCAACTTAAATCATGTGGTCCTTTCTCCCCCCTACTCACTGGACTCAATACAGGGATTGCGCAACCACCCACGTTTTACTTGGTACACGAGGTGTAACCTCCCCTGACTGACGCAACAGATAACTCGTACATTTGATCTGTCACGCAGTGGCTCGATAGCTGAAATAACGGCAGATTTTGTTGTTCCATGTCACCAACTATAAGTGCGAGTCTTTGCACCAACACCTTGCTGTGCCTCTCTCAAAGAACTGTCGCTTATTATGCCTAAAGCTCCAAAATATCTTTTTCAAAATGCACTGCTTCGCCAGCCCTGAACCGTCGTCCCAATCGTGCCGATACTTCCTTCTCGACGGAGGCCATCCCCGTCCAGGTTCAGCTTACCAAGGACTTCCGCTGGAACGGTAGGTATATATTTCCTCGCTCGCTCCCTGTTTGTGCCGCCAATGCCCGCTCCATAACTGATGAGCATGTCTGTCGAGGTCGGAAGCGAGAACGGAAGCATCAGAGACTGATCCAGTGTCAAGGCATTTCGGTTCATGGGTGGGTCCGTGTCCTGCTCGACTGGGGAGGATATGGAAGGAGCTGACGCGTGTTGGGGTGTGCTGGGATCTTTGTTTGCTGGCGCTGGCGTTCCGTTTCGCCTTGCAGGGGTCGTCGTACCCGACTCTGGTGCATCGACCATGGGCGTCAGTGGTCGCTTGATCAATGACTGTTCGCCTCTCTGCAATTGAGTTAAGAACTTCATGTGTGCTTTGGACAGGCTCTTTTCGCCGACTTCTGCTCGATAATTCTTGACGGCATGGATCAACTGTGTGGGAGAAAGGCGTTGGAGCTGGACTAACGTTCCAACAAGAGATTCATGATCCTCGCCCAGCGAACTAAAACACTGCAACCATTGAAGCAGTTGGATGATGGGTGCGAGATGCCGCCGTGCGGCATCGACCGTACTCTCTCCAGTCGATATTGTGGAGCCGTTCTCGTAATGTTCCGGTTGTCGATTATTCGTCCGCGCCCAGTCCTCAATGGCAGACACATTCATTCGAATTTGCATAGCCTTAGTCCTCGAAAGGTACTTCTTTGTAGTCATGACCCGGTTGAATAATTCTGCACCAATCCAATAAAGCAGCTGCGAAAGGATCTGTGATGTGATGACTGAATGAACATCGTACAGGTCAAGCACAAACAAGGTCGAAGACAGAAGCGAGGTGATGTTGCGTGGAGATGTCTGGGCCCGCCGCTTGGGTGAGGGAGGTCGAAACCGCTTTTCCGGCGGCTCATCCTGCGCTTTCGGCCTGGATTTGAAGACCTTCCATTCTCCTTGGAAAGCAATGTCATCCAGGCCAGGTATTGTTTCGTGGTCCAACATTGCTACGTCCAGAACCTTGTTCATTCTCCTTTCCGCATCTCGGATGATGAGGATAAAGGTCTCATTGATCAGCTCTGCAAGTTCAAGCTGATACTTGGATGTGACCTGCACCAGGCCTGCGTCCTTCTTTAGATAATGTAGAAGCAGGGTCGCGTTGGAAATCCAGAAAGCGAGCATGGTCATGTCCCATTGGTAGTGTTCGATGACATCGTTAATGAGATCCATGGCTCTGGTGAGTACATCGTCTAGGAGGGAGGCCGTCATGTGATAGTTGGCATATCGGGCCATGAGGAAGATCAGATTCGCTGGTATGGGCTTCTGCGACGGAGATCGTTGCGGAGTCATATTGGTGATGATAAGGTCAAGGATGGCATCCAGCTTGTCAGCCTGAAAGACAAACATCTGGTCACCAACGCAACGATCCCAGATAAACTCTTCCTCGTCAATCTCAAGATCAGTGGGTGACTAGAAAAGTCAGTAAAACATATCATGCGCTATTTTCTGGTTGGCTTACCTCTGGCTGTTCGTCAAATCCCAGAGTGGACAAATCAACCTCCAGGTTAGCCGCGCTTTCTTGCATTAGCATCCGTCGTTTCATTTCGTTCTCTGCCATCTCTTCTTCGAACCGATCCTGGGAGAAGCCCGAGTTGTAGAAGTCATCTCCGAGGCTGGACATTCCGAAATGATAGCCATTCTCATGCAGGTAATGAGAGAAGTCGGACCCAGGCTGGACAAAGTCAAGCGCGGTGCCTCCAGAGGAAGATCTGATATCAGGGTCGGCTCCATGATCAAGCAGCATTTTGGCGATTTGCTTGTGGCGATTTGTCATTGCCCACATCAAGGCGCTCCACTGATTTCGATCTTGTTTGTCGACGATGGCTCCAGCGTTGAGAAGCGCCGCCACAACTTCATGATGTCCCTGGCCCATGTCAGTCTGAGGAGCTGCCATGCTATTATGGCTCCACATACAAAACAGCTAGCATATATCAGCGGCACTGTCCCCTCCTCGTCTGGCTGATTGACATCGACATATTGCTTGGCCCTACCTCCAACCAGCTTCTGAATGCGGGCGACGTCTCCATTGCTTGCTGCCATATTAAGGCTCTTCTGCAGAATCTCTTTCTTCTCGCGGTCCGACAGGTGGTCATCCATAGCAATAGCATCTTCATCCTGTCCAGGACTACCATCTTCCCGGTGGTGCGCCTGAGCTGCCACCATTTCCATTAGGCGCGAGTCACTGTCCTGAATACGGGCAAAGGTTTCTTCGTCATCGTAGGCCGGGGTATCCAGATGCAGATCGAAGGTCAGGGTTCTTGCGGGAGTCGGTGCCGTGATATACTGGGATGAACCTATCCATACCGACAGCTTGTAAGTATTCGTCTTCACGAAGCACGAGACCTCTGTGGGCTTCTTGCCTTGCCATCCATCATACATCTCTGTTTCCTCGCCATAGTTGGGAAAGGAGCGACGGTCATCTAGGGACGTCGGCAGATCATCTGGAAGCTTGCGAGAGGTCTGTTGAGAGGGAGATTGCGGGAGGAAGTGGACGTCGCTGGGCGTCAGTGGGTCACCAGCGTCCATGGTACAGGCTTCACAGAGATGCTAGCAGGCGTGATCTCATATCGGGAGGAGGTCTTGTGCTGAAGGACAGGGCTCATCTGGCTTCTGCTGTAGCGGTGTGTTTATAGGTCGATGCCATACTCTATTGGAAGCCGAAGCTATCTAGGTGTTCAATCTGGCCGGTTCCAAAGGACGGTGGTCTGTGTGCGGCGGTCCATGGTTGGAGGTTCACCTCTGACCTCTTGCCCGCACCGATTGTTATCCCAGTCGGAGGTCGAGTCGCCCTTGTTCCGTGCTTGGCACGTGATGCCGCTTTAAGGAGACCTCGAAGAGACGTATTCACTCTTGAAGCCCGTTCTTGCTTCTTCTTATAAAAAAAAAAAAAGGTAGAGTACGAGTATCTAGACAAGTATAGTGAAAGATGGTTGAGTATCTCTTTACTTCATATCTTACGTAGAAACATGCCTAGAGGCATTGTTCATGATACTCTCATAGACCCGCCGTGAACGGGCGCACCTCTAGCGGTATTAGTCGATAAAGCAACGAGATGTTTAACAACCTAGAAGATGAAGGATGTAGCACGTGAAAAGCCCGTCCTTTAGAACTGATAGTCCTTGATAGTCAGTCAGCCTTCCCTGAGGAATCCCAATTCCATTCAGAAGATCTTATTACTATAGGATGCAGACTGTCAATGCAAAGGCGGCAATACAACTTTCCAATCCCTAGCCTCTGCTACAGCCCCGCCGGCCAAGAACATGAAAGCAAGGTGCGAAATCAGTTCCTCTGGCAGGTCCAGAGGTAGAATGGTACGTTCATTGTAGATAGACGTCGCCTCCGATCTAATAGCGGATGAATTTTAATTTGCTGCCAATACCGCTTTGTCAGTTATCGTGCAACGGAGTTTTTTTTATTAGTCCTTTTCAATCCTTACGAGGATGATACCCAATTCCGCCTAGTTAAACTGGCAGCTTACTACCCCTACGTGGTATTTTTGCCCCCTACAACCTACCAACACTTTGTGCTCTCTACTGTCAGTCACGAATCTTCGTGGAAAGGATAAACATTTTTACACGATCTCCCCAGCTTGCATGCTTAACAATGAGGTGCTCGCTGGGTGGCTCCGTCAGTGTTGACACTTTTTTTTTGGTTCTCTGGATCCTCACGAGCTCATGCCTCGCCTCTTTGGGTGACCGACTGCCTGATTTCCGCGAATGTGTACAAGTAGGTCCCCATTGGATACCGCCGTCAAGCCTTATTCTCTTCTGACGTCTGCAGGTCTGTA